TAAATATACACTTTTGAACTGCCTAGTTAATGCATACAGTACGAACGTAAACTAACAGGGTATCGATATTTAAGGTGTCTTTCTTCTAAAATAGGTACCTTTCTTCTAATTTTTATCAAGAATCTTTCTTCTAACTCATTAACATAAAAATATTTATACTGACTTATTTTTTAATTTGAATATTTTAAGCTAAAAGATTTGCGCCTACTTGGGCCGTGCGCCTACTTGGCCTTGCGCCTACTTGGCCTGCGCCTACTCGGTCGCGCCTACTCGGTCGCGCCTACTTGGCCCGCGCCTACTCGGGCGTGTCCCGTTTATTTGAAGCTTTTTTATTCTAAAATGAAGAGACATTTTGAGAAGAAACAAATTTCAATTGTTGAGAAACTTTACAAGTACGAAAAAGTTTTAAAGAATTATTTTAAAAATTATTTCCCAAATTTAGACAACACCACAAACAGTCTTATGCATCAGCTGGAGGTTTTAATAGCGATGATGACGAATTAGAAGAAAGGCGAGAAAAAATTTCTGAAGCATTACAAAAAAGTGAATAATTAAAAATTTTTTAAATCAAAAATTTATTTTTTTAGATCAAAATAAACTTTACGAACATTTGAGTCCGCCTGAACTTTGCCTAGATTGTGAAGGCCCTTTGTTTTCCGATGCCTATCTTTGGAAATATTTTAGTCAACCAAGTTGTAATAAATGCAGGTTTTATTTGTTTATTTTTAAATTAATTTTTATTTTTAAGAGAATTGGAGAAACACAAATTAATTACTAGAACAGAAGCAAAAACTAAATTTTTGTTGACAGATGCAGATTTGGATTGTCGAAAGCCGCCACTTCGTTACATTTCTCGAAAGAATCCACACAATCCACGCTATGGAGATATGAAATTATATTTACGTTCACAAGTAATTTTATTTTTATAGATTTTTTGGCACTATCCGAAAGGAATGCCGGCATCCAATTTTTCCTTTTTTCTTTCCCATTCGATGAAGAAAGAAAAAATTGGATGACGGCATTCCTTTCGGATAGTGCCGATTTTTTACTAAAATTTGCCAATTTTTTAAAATCCTCGATTAATTTAATAACCCCAAACAGAGTTTCTTTTTTCAAAATTATTTTTTAAAATTTTAGTTAGAAGCAAGAGCACTCGAAGTTTATGGTTCTTTAACTTCCCTAGAACAAGCAAAACAAAAACGAGAACTCAACAGAGAAAAAGCAAATGAACGGCGATTTGAAAAGAAAATTCATTCAATGCGTAAAGAGGTGGGGGAAAATAATTTTTTGGAAAAATTAAAATCAGAAAAATTCTATTCGTTTTATTAATCCCTAAAATCCCTTCTATTTTTGAGTGTCTTTCGTTAAAAAAATTAAAAAAAAAACAATTTTATTTCAACTAAATACAGTAGCGGGTTTAGATAAATTATTAATAACTGATATTTTCGCTAGCCTCTCTTCAGAATTTTTCTTATTATTATCTAAAGTAAAAAGTGAAGATTTTGATATTTTCTCTTCTGATTTGTGTAATGGCTCGAGATTTTCTTTCTAAAAATTTTTATAAGAAAATTTTTTAAATATTCGAACCTTTAATGAAATATCAAGTTGTGCCCCAATAAGTATTTGATATAACCAAGAACCTAAAAGAGCACCTCCAAATGGGCAAAATATGGGTATCCAGAACCATTTATAATTGTTATAACTAAAAATAAATTAAACAAAATTTTAGAGACTTTTTTGGTTGATATTTTGGAGCAAAAACTATATTCCAGATTTTCGGAAAAAAGAGACCCAGTCCATAAATCGTCAGGAATTTTGATCATATTTTCGGAGGGGAAAATTTTGCCCGTATGACAAAATTTTCCACCGAAAGCGTTTAAAATTCGAATTTCTGACTCGCAATTAAGAATTTTGGAACTTACGCCCCCAATAAAAATTTTCATTTTTTCTATTCTATTTTATAATCCAGAAATCATCAGGACTTCTGTTCGTTTTATTAATCCCTAAAAAAGATTTTGCGAGTATGACTTTAGACTAACTCCTAAATACATATATCTAACTAACTCTTAAAAATATAATTTTATTCTCTAAATTTACCTAAAAACTTCCCAACCATAACCAGCAATTAAAGTAAAAAGTCTGGGTCCAAAATCTCTAGCTGGATTCATTGCATTGCCTGAATTTAAACCAAAACCCATGCAAAGCATAGCAAGCATTACACCCATTAATGGGGGTTGTGCTGCTATTGGAATTTCATTTCTCTCGTCTGTAATAATTCCTAAGCTAAAACACAGCATTGCTGTTGAGAAAATCTGAAATGGATTTTTTGTGATTTTTTTTTGTGTTTCTTTTGTATTTTTTAAATCCATATATTAAAAATTTACCTGATCAATTACTGCCCCAATAGTACTTAAATGGCTGCCTGGATAAGTAGCAAAAATAGCAGCTGTGGCATTTGGTCCACTAACCGTTCTAATTCCTCCATCAAATTCTTCAATTTTATCTTTAAATTATTAAAAAAAAATTTTTCTTCTCTCTTAAAATCTTACCATAATATAAAACAAAACAAAGAGCGGCCCCAACAAAAGCTCCAGCCACTTGGACAATTGTATAAAACCAAAAATATTTAAAAGAATTCAGTGTGCCAAAAGACCAAGAAAATAAGGAAACTGCCGGATTTAAATGAGCACCACTACAACGATAGGCACACTGTACTGCCAAAGTTAACGTTAATCCCCAACCAATACAATTACCCAAAGCTGATAACTTTTCTTCTTTGGATAAAAACATTTGTGCATTAATACATAGGCCGACATACTTTTAAATTATTTTTTTTAATTAATTAAAGATAACTGAATTATTAAATCTGGGAAACAATTCTTAGATTCAACTATGGGTAATTGGTTTAATTCTATGGGTTAATTGTCCGGCTGTATTAGAAAGAGATGTACTTCTCATACTTTTCACCTACTTTATCTATCTTTCAGTTTCCCTTTCTTTTAAACTACTCCCCTAAATTTTCTCTAAAAAATTATTATTAAAATTTAAAATAATATTTAAAAAAATATTTACAATAAGAAAAGTAGTTGCCACAAATTCACAAAGAAGGCAACGATATAGCCTGTTATTTAGTCGAAATTGTTCTCTAATTGCTTTTAAAAGCATTTAAATAAATTTCTAAAATTCAAATAATTATTTCTAGGTTTAATTAAAAAAAGTTTTGTTTAAGAAATAAAAGTTGATAAAAAATCATCTTTTTTTTTATTATTTTTTGTCTATTATCTGTTTATTTCAAATTTTTAAGTACAAACATAAAAATGATTTAAAATAACAAAGTCGTTAATTAAAAATGATTAATTAATTTTGGCGTGTTCCAAAAAATTTTTTATTTGGTTTTTTAGTTTTTATTTACTACAAGTAAATAATATTGAAAAAAACTTGAGTTAGAAAATTAGTAAAAATTAAAAAAAACAAAAATCCTCGTTAGTTTATTTAGAATTTTTGAAAACGAAAAGTGTTTCAAAAAGATTTTTTGAAATAAAAAGGAGCTCATTCATAAAGAAGCATTCGTATTTTTGTTTTTTTATGACAAAATTTAAATATTTTTAGATCCTGGTCATGTGTTTTTAAAAAATTGTGATTGGGTTTAGCTATTCCCGACTTTTAAAAAATTGTTTCCATGTATTTTTTGAGAAAGGATCTTTGCCCAAAAATTTTCCTTTCAATTCTTAAGAGGCAATTTTAAATGTTTCAAGGATTTTAAGTTTAAAATTTAAGTACAATGAATAGGTTTGATCGATTTTTGTTTCGATTTTTAAAATTCAAAAAAAGAATGAACATTCCTTTTTCTCCTCGTTAAAATAAAAATAGAAAAAAGTATTTGCATAGTTATTTGTATTTTTATTTAATTTTTATATCGAGATATACCTATAACAATTGATGAATCATTTATTCTCTTTTGGTCAAAAAATAATAAAAAAAATTTTAAAAATTATTTTTCCATTTAATCCTTTCCCTATTTTTAGATGCGCGGTGAATGTTTAAAAGCTGCAAAGGCAGCAGCTTCATCGCATGAACATAAATTTGGGGCTGAAAATTATGATGAGAGGAGGAAAGATTATTGGAAATGCTGTACAGAATGTGAATATGAAATGAGATATGAAAAAGTTTAAAAAAATATTTAGATAGGTAGCTTGACTTTTATTTTTTATTTATTTTTATTTCAATAATAAAAAATAGTAAAAATTAAAATATTACTGAGAGAATTGCTTGTAGTTTCTCTAAATTAAGATTTAAGAATTTATAGACTCATTGTTATCTGACAGAGAATTTTAAATAATATTCATTGCAAAGTTCAAAGATTGTTATTTGTTTGCTTTATTTATTAAGTATTTAAATATTTTGGAATTTTTGCAGAATTATTGCCTTATCAGTTTATAGGAAGCTTGAAAATTCTTTAATGGAAGAGCACTAAACAGAAAGTTTTTTTTGAATTTTGTTTCTTTATTTCATAGAAAAGCAAATTTAAATACGTTTTAATTAATTATTCGATCATTAATCTCGCAAGATTGATGCCTCGTATCACTACCATTGAAACAATTACGAGGGTATAAAGAGAAAAATTTATTGTAGATTTCGAAAAATTGAAAGAAAGCCCGGTCTCTTTAAGACAAAAATATTTCGGTGAAATTGCTGTGAGAAAAAGAATTAAAAAATTAAACTTTTAAATTAAACTTATTAAATTAAAATATTAAACTTAGATTTAATATTTTCAATTTTTTGTTTTTATTTTCAAAATATCATTCGTAAATACATATACAAACATACATAAACATAAATATAAAATAATAATAAAGCACTTAATTATATGTTGAATGGAGATTTCGAAGTTTTTTTTTTGGGAAGTCTAACAAAGAAAACAAAGAAAAATAAAGTCAAAATAAAATGCTAATTTAAATAGTTATAAGATGCCTCCTAAATATTTTTTTTGTAAATTTTATTTAGACAGGTAATGTTGGATCGTAATAGTCATCTTCATCCTCACTCTCGTCGCCATCAATCTAAAAAAATATTTTTTCTGGGGGTCAATTTTAATTTTGAATGTGGATTTAAAAAATTAAAAATTAGGGTTTTGAGAGAAATTCTAAAAAATATTTTGTACTCCTGCCGTTTAAGGAGGCCCCTTTCTCTGTCGATTATGAGACTATAATTTTGGCACCAAATTTCAATTGAACCACATTTCATTTGTAAAAATAAATTTTAGTTAAGGAGTAAAGAAGGATAAATTTCAAGGTAGAAAGAGAACACTGGTCTCATAATGGTCAGAGAACAGGAGAGAGAGTATTTTTCTTTAATCAGCCGATTTTCTGTTTAAAAGAACAGACAAATCTGAAACCCCAAAAAAAGCAATTTTTTGATTTTCAGAAAAATTTTTCCCATTTCCCCTTTAATATGTACATATGTATATTTTACCGCTTTAAGTTCTGGTTGTGTAAAAATGTGTGGTAATACAATTTGCCTTAAGAAGATGAATAACATTAAAACACTAAAAAATAAATTTTAAAAATTTTTAAAAAATATTTTAATTAACAAAGGAAAAGCCAAAGCAGTCTTTTTAAAATATTTAACTGTGTAAACAACAAAAAGGCAAATTAATTGAATCCTGAAAAAAAATTAAAAAGTTTTTAAATTTAAATAAATTAATTACCAAGTATATAAATGCATTCGCCAAATGCTCATCTTTAAAAATAATTATTTTATTTTTAGAATTTTTTAAATTTTTTCTTTAACCTCTTGTGCATATCTTGTATCAGGCAAATACTTTTTGGGTATAAAGAAAAGAACAATTCGATGAATTAATTGAACCCCTCTCAAATTCATAACACCCAAATATAGAAAAACACCAAAAAGAGAAGCTAATGGTAATCTTAAATAATTTCCTCCAAATGCGATTAGCCCGATAAGAAGAGAAACGCCGATTGTTGTTACACGTTGTTCTAACTAAAGAATTTTTTAATTAAACAAAAAAGCACTAGAGGAATATTTAATCAAAAAACATTAATTAAATAATCAAAAGAACTTCAAAAATTTAAACACAATCAACAAACAAAGCTTAAACTCACAACATAATCAACTTCCGGTCTTGCCCCAGGTGCAGTTTTCTTCATAACAGATAATGACGAACAATGTGCTAAAGACTGAACAGCAGCAGCACACATCCAAGGCAATCCAAAAAGCTTTTTACAAAAATAATCTTAAAATAAAAAATAAATTTCTTTTACCGAACAAAGAAAAGCACAAATTCCCATCAAAACCAAATCCCAATGCATTCCACTTCCTTTTTTGCAACCCCTTTCTTTTCGACAAAGTAATAATCTTTAAAAATAAATTATTTATTAAAATAATTTATTAAATTACTCAGTTATTTCAGTCTCGACAAACAACAAAATAAAAACTAGCAAAGCAGCAATAAATGCAGTTAAAATTGCATACCAATCAGAGGCACTTATTTTTGGTTTTATTATTAAACCATGACCGCGTTCTTAAATAAAATTATTTTTCTAAATATTTTTCTAAAATCCTTACTTTCAAGGTTTGTAAAATTTATATGATCGGGCATATCCAAACGTTGCAAATAGGGGTCAGGAAGGAAAAGATGAACTGAAAATAATGGAATAATTGAGAGGTTAAAGGAAGGGGGAGTTATGTATATTAGAGATCGAGATTTTTGAAAAGCCTGGGCCTGATCCTGGACTCTGGAGTTTGATTTATTGACCTGGGCCGGATCCTGGGCCCCAGGAAAAACCCAGGAAGGTCAAAAAATGCCTAGACCTGGACTCTGGGTACAGGAAAATCCCAGGCCTTGGTCCATGTTCAGCCCGATCTCTAATGTATATTTTCAAAAATTAATTAGCAATACCCATAAGAGCAATTAATGTAATTGAAATTAAAACACCAAAGTCACCAATTATTTTTCTTAACTAAAAAATAAAAAAAATAATCTTCCAACAAACAAATTAAATTTACATGTTTTCCCAAATAAAAACTTTCTCTCAACTTTTTCAACATAAAAGCTAAAATAAAAGTTGAGAAAACAACAATCGCTGTAAGTAAAGCAGTGTTTGGTTCTGCTTCAAAACATTCAATTTCCTTATAATGTAAATTGCTTTGATGTTTAAGATGTAAAAATGTTGAGTTTAAATTCTGATTTTGAAGTAAAGAAATGTTGGTTATCCTTTGGATTTGTTCAGAAACATTGTTTAAATTAATGTTTTCGAATGTTTGGTTAGTTAAAAAATGTTGTGTTGGGGGAAGAAATGTTGAAGTAAACAAAATGTTGTTAGAGAATGTTTTGTTGAATGTTTTTGTTGTTATGTTTGTTGGAATTGAGGAAATTAATGATATGTTTGGATTGTTAGTTAAATTACTAAAAGAGAAAAACATCTGTTTTGTTTATTTCTTCTCTATACCTTAATAAAGCAGGTGTAGCTAATGTTGTTGTTGTATTTACAAAAATATCATTGTTAATATTTTTAATTTTATTATTACATTCAGAATGGACACGCTCATAAAAGAAATAGTCTTCAACTGGATTTTCTTTAAATGTCTTTAAAAATATTTTTAATTTTATTTTTAAAATAAAATAATAAGACAACAAACATGCCAAACAAAATGCAAACTTTCAGCAATAAAAATAGCAGAAATTAAAGTGGCGAAAATGTCTAAAAGAGTAATATTTTTAAAAATTAATTTTAAAAAGCTTTTCCCTTCCATTTACCTTCAGTAAATCGAGTAACATAAACTAAAAGACGAGCCCCATCTAATGCCGAAATACAAGTTGCTATAAGAAAAATAAAAAGGCCAGCATAAAATCGAACACTCAAAAAGTCTAAATGTAATGCTGCACAAAACTGAGGAAAAAATTTTAAGAAATATTTCTTTCAAAAATTAATTTTACATTGTAAAGACTAGCTTCAAAAATAAGTACAGGGCCTGTAGCACTCACTTAAATTTTTAATAAAAATAATTTTTTTTAATTAGAAACTAAATTTACTAATAAGGAGTGGTTGTGCAGAAAATAACCCCCAAATAACTCCACAAATGCATTGGGCAAATAAACTTTAAAAATGAAAAAAAATTTTTTCTCCTAATTTTAAAAAACAAAACAGACGTTTCAATTGTCCCCATTGTTTCATCCTTAATTTAAAAAAATATTTTTTAATAAAAAAGGTTATTTTTACAGTGTAAGTCCCCATTAAACCACCAAACGATATTGCCGGAACAAAACTAGCAAAAAACATAAATACAACACTAGAAGGAATAAAAATTATTTAAATTATAATTAAAGAGAAGGACCTAGTTAAACACTGAAAATTAGCAGCATCCCGAATGTCTGTCCTAAAAACATAAAAGGGAAGTTAAAATTAAATTAAGATTTTTTCATTTAAAGTTTTAATTTTTATTTTGATTGAAAGTTCTAAAACTTGAATATTTTCGAATTCAAATTCAATATTATTATTAAAAAAAATTACAACTTGAAAGTGTTGTTGATTTCTAAAGGTCAAGACTAGAAATTGAACTGAAATCTCGATCGTTAAAAATTTCGATCGAGCCATAGAGTCAAGTCTCTCCATTCAAAACTTCTGTCTCAATATTATATCCATGTATTTCTTCCCACTTTTTTTATTAAAAATTTTTTTTATTTTACCAATAAAGTGGTAATCGTCTAGCAATGTCATTACGTACTCCCCTAAAGAGAAGACAATAAATTGGGAATAAATTATTCTTTTTTTCTGTTGAAGATAAAGAGGAGGAGGATGAAGGGGATGTTGATATTTGTTTATTATTTTCTGTTGTTTTTGAATGTCCGTTCGGAGGGGAAGAAGAAAATTTCGAATCTTTTCTGTATAATCTGTCTTGAGTATTTTGGGAAGGAGCAAAAGGTGTTAATGCAGCAACTTCTATTTTTGGTGTTGAAAGTTTTTTTAATTGTTGTCGAGATGGGATATTTGTTAACCGATCTGGCACCGTTATGACACGATCAACAACAGAAGCTAAAAAATTATTTTGAAGTTTATTTAAAATATAGAGGATTAAACAAAGACAAGACAAAAATGTTTAAAGAATGGGTTAAAACTAGGGTTGTTGGCGACCGGTTATTAACCGGTACCCCCGGTGTTCGGTTAATCTAAATTTTAGAAACATGGTTTTCGGTTTTGAGTTTTAGGCAAATACCGGTTTAATTTTGGGGGAATTTTAAGTAAAATCACCCATTTTCACAAATTTCCGTTTTTCGGTTTTTTAAATTTTCTAAAGACGGTTAATTTTTGACAAAAAATTTCAAAAATTCCGGTTTAAAACTGTTCGCCAACAACCCTAGTTAAAACTGTTGATTATATTATATCGCTCCGGTTATAAAAATATTAATGAGATAGCTCTAACTTAAAACAGCCCTTGAACATTAAAGAATAAGTGACAAAAATTTTTTGTTCTCTTGAGGTGAAGCATAAAAAGAGAGCTTATTAACTCAAAAAGAGTTAATTGAACTTATACATATATGATTTCCAAATAAATAGTTAATGAAAGCATAAATTAGTTATTTGGGTCTAGTTTCCCCTTTTAGTATATCTTAAACCCCCCCCCTCCCCCCATAACCTTTATCTTAATTATTCTTCACCTTTTTGTTGAACAGATTTCATTTCCTTTTCACGTTTTCTTAAAGCTTTCTTGAATTCATCACCAGAAATTAAACGCCTTGAATCAACCTTAAAATAATTTTTTTTCAATTTTAAAGTGTAAATGAGAAAATATTTTAACAAAAATTTTAATAGTTTTACTCCTCTCCGTTTATTTAATCCGCTAAAAAATAAAAAATATTTGTGTGAATGTTCTTTTTTCACAAAATTGCGCATTATGGATTTAGATATAAATAGTTGGACAGATAAATGATTGGATTTTGGGGGAAAAATATATATATAATTGGTCCTTAGTGAAAAAAATGACGAAAAATGACGTTCCAAACATTTGAAAGAACAAGATGAAAAAAAAGAATATTTTTAATTGCCAAAACAATTAAAAAATAAATTCAAAATTTAAATTAAGACCCAACAAAAGGTTAAAGATTCAGAAATTTAGGAATCTTTCAAAATTTTTGAGTAAATAAACAAACCACTAACCCATTAATAACTACATATACTTAAAATATTTAAACACAAAATATTTAAAAATTAATTTTAAACAAGAAAATACCTCTCCAGGTAATATAACCACAGCGCCGTCCAAAAATGATTCAAGACCTTCAATCAAATGGGAACGATGATCACGATTGGAGAAAACATTGTTTTTGAAGTACTAAATAAAAAAATTTTAAATTTAAAAATTAAATAAAAAATTTTTTGGAGGATAAAAGAGCGGATAACTAAAAAATTTTTTCAAAAATATTGAAAATAAAAAAATTACCTATCTTAATTATTACCCAAATAATTAAATATGTAAAAGATAAAAAATTCTCAACTAAATTTAAATTAAATATTAGCTAAAAATAAATAAATAATTTTTGTAAAATTTTAAAAAATTAAAAAATATTTATGTAAATAACAAAATAACTAATTTACAGACTATGTAAAAACCGATAGAATTTTTGAAACAGGAAACAAAAAAAGTAAATAATAAAGCTTTTGAAAAAGAGAAATTTTACTAATTTTTAAGTGTTTGAATCACCCGTTTAAAAAAAGCGAAAAAAGAAAAAAAGTTTAAAGATTTGAGAACAAAATGAAAGTTTAGGGATTGGGGGGGGAGAGGGGGGGGGGTAGATCTAAAAATTGTTTTGGTAAGGTTATCGAAACAAGAGAGGTTCCGATTAAATTAACTAAAATATTAATCAAAACTTTAATTAAAAGGAGAGAGGTTAATAGACTAGCTATTTTTGCTCTAATTAAAGTAATTGCCCTTAATAATAACCTCTCTCTCCTTCCATTATAAACAAACAATCCCTCCAAACAATCACCCCCCCAAAAAACACTTAATTTGCTTTTACCGTTGACAAAATTTAGATAAAAACATAAAACAATTGTTTATCTAAATATATTCAATAGTCTGCGCAAAAGTGGAGGGAAGGAGGGGGGATATATAAAAATAACAAAGAGAAAAGGTTAATGAGAGGAAAAGATAAATAAATATTCTTTAAATGAAGAAATAAAATTTGTTTGTAATTTACTAAAAAATATTTGGAATGGTTGGATAAATATTAAAATTATTTTGTAAGAATCAGCGATCTTCAATCAAAAAATTTCTAATGGGGGTTGACCTGTTTAGCTAACAAAACAAGTCAATGTACTGCAAGGATATAACTTAGTTTCAAGCTATTGGCCCTCCGGTACGATAGGGGGGGAAGACAAATTTTGTTAAATAATTTTAAAAATAAAAACCTAACTATCATTTTATTAAAAAAAGGAAATAACTAAAAATAATTCCTTAATTGACAAATAATTTTAGCTAACAGAAACTAGCTTAATAAAAAGAAAAAGATAGAATTTGATCCAAATTCGATTAGACACTTTCCTTTAGCGTTTCTATTTATTTTTAAAACAATTATTTTCATAACTAGGGGGGGCAAGAGACGTTTTGGAAATTGTCCAAAATATTAAAATATTCCCCCCACCTTATTAGCAATTAAAGTAGCCAATGAAGTACTCATTTCGTTATCTAAAGGTTCTTGATCAGTTTCATCACCTTTAATTTTAATTAATTTTTAAAAACAAAAATTTAAATTAATTAATTACCAATTTTAAAATGAATGTGTTGGTGATTATTGTTTGGAGTTGAGGTTATTGCTTGTAGATATTTATTTTTTTGTTCAATTTGTTCTGGAGATTCTTCATTTGAAGAACTAAGTAATAATGGGTCAGTTGAAGAAGGATAAAGATTGTCCATTTTTTTATCAAAAAATATTAGTATTTAAATATATAAATAATTAGTAGTATGTTGTTAAAAAGGCACAAAAATAAAGAAATAAATATAAGTCTGAAATAAAATTTTAAAAAATTTTATAATTTTATATCGACGAGTAAGGTTGCTGGTTCGCAAAAAATCATTAGACATCTGGAACTGAACCGAAGAACAAACCAAAAAAAATCTCAGTTAGATTTGGTTACATTCTGAACGGACATCCCTACAGATGAGTAATTAAGTAAGGTTGTCGGACTAATAACCTTACTCATCAAAGTCTAAGTTATCGGTCAAAAATTTTGTCGACATCATCAAATACTAAAGTCCGGTCTCAATAAATAAATAACTAATCAGAATTAAATCAGAAAACTTTTTCTTTATAATTTAATTGTTATAAAGATTTAAGCACAACAATGGTTCTTCTGACTAACAACCAGTTTTAAGTTATGTTTTAACCAGCATTTATGTAATAAAGTACAAACATTTAGAATAATTTTTATTTCAAATTTAGAACTTGAAACAGAAAAAGTTTTAATTTTCAGACTTTTAATTGAAGTAAAGAAAAAGTTTCAGAAATCAAAGAAAAACAAACAAAAATCAGAAAATGTGTGAAGTAAAAAATAAAGTAAATATTTTTAAAAGGGATAAATAAATATATACAGAAAGTGAATAGAAAGAAGAACAAAACAGTTTTTTGTTTTGCTTCTCTTACCAAAAATTTTTTTTTGATTAAAAAAGTGTGAGCACTTTTCAGATTTTTTTATATTTTTCTTTTGTTCTAAAAAGAAAACATTAAAATGTTAAGAATTTAATAAAAGAAAAGGGGAAGGAAGGGAAGAAACAAAAAACTTGGGATGCGTTGATCTATTCACAAATTAAGAAAAAAAGAAAGGAAGGAATGGCCAAATCTTAAAAACTTGCTGCTTTTTCTTTTATTTTTAAAGTAAAAATTAAATATTTTTTAGAGCTTTTGTTGTCTTCCTTTTTTATTTGGATATGATTTTATTGAAATATATATTTTTTTCATAAAATAGACTAGGGTATACGGAAAGTAGACGTTAGATACTGAACTATTTAACCATAAAAAGTCGAAGGTTAAAGCAGGGAAGAGTGAGCTAGGTATATAAATTAGAGAACTTTATTGTCAGTATAATTATGTACATACATACCAGAGATGGGTCGAAACAGTCAGAGGTGTCGGAAATCGGAATTCCGACCCACCTCTGATAGCATAGAGGGTTTACGTAAATTTGTATATTATATTCCATTAATTATACTTTAATATCTACAACCTTTTTTGGGAAGAAAAGGAAAAATAATAGATAAATTATTGGGGCCATCGAACAGACAAACAAACCGGAGAGAAAGGGAAAAGAATTTTTTGGAAAGGAGAAGGATTGATTATGCTTTTAGCTTGTGTGAAATATTATATATTTATTTAAATGGAGGCTAAAAATATTATTTATAAAGGTCAAATAAATGAGGAAATGCAACAAAAAATAATTATTTAAATATTTTCTAAAAAATATTTTACAAAATGGCAAAATAAATAATTTTGTTTTCAAAAAGAAAATATTTTTTTTCGGTAAATTGTTCGCTCTATGGGATGGAAGGTTTCGAAGAGAATTTTCAGGGAAAATAAGGAGGATTTCTAGAATTTCTAGACTTTTGGGAACAGAGGAGAGGGCTAAAAGTCAAACGAATATTTTATCTTCATCAGGAATCTGATTTTGTAAGAGGTAAAAATCAATTATCTGCTTCGTGTATTTTTATTTATTTATTTATTTATTTATTTACGCCTTGATGGCGCGAGTTCAATATTTAATATGAACAGCCCGGACCGAGACGAGATCTTGATAAAAAATCTTGGTTATCGAGATCGAAATTTTTCGAGATATCGATTCTCTTACAACACTCCCAGCCCGGGCTCTAATATTTATTAACTTTAATAAATAAAAAAAATAAATAATAAAATCTCAAATTGTTGCCAAAATATTGAGAAAGATTTTCAAACAAAAAAGGTGTAGAAAAAGAAGAAAATGTTCAACATTTTTGTTTTAATGTTTGTGCATATATGTATTGGCATTCACTTGTTTTTTAAAACAAAGGAAGGAATATATTAATTATTTAAAAATAACCTTCTTTTTTTAAATAAATAAATAAAAATCAAAAAATAATTTTTTTATTTTTAATCTAACCAACTATCTAAAGCTTTTATTTAGTAATTTGTTTATCTAATTTGTTTTTATTTACATTAAATAATAAATATTTTTTGTATTTTTAAATATATGTTTATAACTTTCAATACAATTTAAGAGCCGGAAACGGTGAAATCTTGCAAACATTTCTTTTTTAGAGAATTTTTTAAAATTTAATATCTTGGAAGTAAATAAAAGAAAAATTCTGAAATTTTTTAAAAAATACTAGTATGTTTTTAGAGAATCTTTTGCTTTGTATATTGTTATTTAATTCAAGATGTCATTTAATATGAATTTAATATTTACTGCAAAATTTCACATTCATTTAAGGCTCGTGCCGTGACAAACATTTAATCAAAAAATTTATTTTATTATCTCCCCTTCATTGTGTACAATTCTTATCAAAATTTCCATTATTTAAATCCTCTATATCCACAGGCAAAGTATCCCAATATTCAACAAGTCCACATGAACTTATTCTCTTTTTTACATCATCTTCATAATAACCTAAAAATTATTTTAAAAAATAAATTTTTTTAAAATAATTAAATATGTACCTCCAATTAAATATTCTTTGCCAATTTCAAGATAAGCGCCACAAGCAGCGCTTTGTGAAGCCGTATAAACAAAATCTTTCTTTCTTTTTGGATGACATATTTTATCCTTTATTTTTAAATATTTTTAATTATTCCAAAATTAAACACAACTTGCCTTGTAAATATTCAAAATTTTAACAGTATAACGAACTTCTCTTGAAAACCCTTCAGTTTCATTTATATTTTCTTTTTTGAGTGATAAAATATGAGCGGCTTAATTTTTGTAAATTAATGTTTTAAAATTAATTTTGTTTATGTTTATTTTATTTATTTATTTATTACCCCAATCAGACCGACAATAATTAATTTGGATTGATTGTTGGGCACATTTACATGCATTTACAAAATTAATATTATAATGATATATTATTAGAAAAACAAAAAAATAAAAAATAATTAATATTTTCATTCTTCAAATATTTAAATTAAATAAAGACAAGAGGGGGGGGGACACTTTCAACATAAAATAAAATTTTCTTTAAATGAATAATTTTATTTATTTTATTAAAACGTTTATTCCTTAAGCAAATAAAATTTCGATAAAATAAATGACAAAACAGGTGAATAAAATTTTATTAAATAAACGTGTGAAAGGAAATAAATGGTAGAGGAAGTGAAGAATTTTTTTTTGAAATTTCTTTTAGTCGTGTGGTAATTTTTGTTTAAAATTTAATAAAAATATTTTTGAAATAATAAATACAAAAATAAATTAAATGCTATATTTTTTGTTTAAATTTAGATTCCATCATATTGATGAATTAGGAATTATTGAAGAATTAGGATAAAAAATCAAAGCAAATTCTTAGTAACGACTTAATTAAAAAAATTTAAAAAAGTGAAAATCTTTTCTCAATTCTTTTTATTGAGACAGGAAGATTATAAGACAGAAAATATTATTCATCTGAGAAACAGAACAATCTTAAAATCAGAGATAAGATCAGGATACATCTTTACTCAAATAGCCCAGTCAAAAAATTTTGTAAAAAACATATTCCCGTTGGTGAGCTAAAAAGTAAGTTTTATTCTGGAGATCTTTATTCAACTATATTCCGGTCTAAAGAACTAAGAATACAAGGCTTTTAAATTAATAAAAGATTCGGGCAATTATTTTACCAAAATTGTGTAAGAAAAATTAAAACGATTCATGGGAATATATTTTATTATTAATGGGGAGTATTCTAAGTTTTCAATGACTTTTATGCTTGAAAAGCAAATGTCATCAGACAAGTTAAATGAAAAAGACCATTTATCACCTTCTTTATCTCAACTAAAAGGATAAAAGGCTTATATCTCACAATCGGTCAAAAAACGGCAATTAAGATAACGCAACGAATTAAATCACATTCGTCTTGAAATTTCTAGGCAATAACTTTTAAAATTTATAAGAGATCTGGGAAATTCTCTTTCCAAAATTTTGGGGAAAAACATTACTCAAGATTCTTTCAATGAGTCCCACGGACACCTCAGGCACCCTCCTTTGTCGTCAAAGGGTAAAAACAGTCGTTCAAAAGGATACTCCTTAACTCATATACTCATCTCCCTATTCCTATATCTCAGTCAAAAAAAAAGAAATCCCAAATCATACAAATATTTATTTTAAACAAACAATATATACAACAATGTTTGGGCAATATATTATCACAACAAAAATACATTTACAACATAATAGGATGAGAGTGATTGCACAACATATAGGACACAATATACAGTGGGAATATATCACAAGGGTGAGAATCTTTTCTACATGGCAATCACAGTGGCACTTCATGATCATCACGCATCTTCCGCTTCCGTCCTATTCGCGTTCGAAGCGCACGTAGAGACGTTTGATGCCCTGCTCCTTCTTGACCATGTCCCACTGCATTCGCGCCTTCGTGTTCGAGTCTTCGGTGTCGTGGTTGTAGACCGCGACGTCTGAAAAGGAAAAAAAGCTTGATTGTGGCAAAAATGAAGAGTGCAGCAACAAACATTGGCGGTCGTCCTCTGGCAGGTCTTCCTTGGTCAGGAGAAGAAGCCTAACCGTCGCCGAGCTTCCAGGTTTCAGAATGCCGACAGGGGGCCGGATCTTGATGAGCTCATTGCTGAAAAATAAAAGAGGGTTAGGTCTGTCCTAAACGACGCAAAATGGTTGACGCTTACTTCGTGCACTTGACTTTGTAGAGCTGGATCGTGTCTCCTTTGTTCTCGATCTTCAGCTCCACGAGCGGCTCCGGCGGCGAGTCCTCCTTGACCGGGAACACGATCCTGTCGTCGGGAGTTGTCACCAGCCTGAAAAATTGAGAAAAATTAGTGATGAATTAGACGATAGATAAAGAAAGGTTAAACTTACATTTGAAGAGTGAAGAGCGCGAAGGTTGGAGTTGGTTGGAGTTGCTAGTATTGAAGAGGTTATTCGGTGTACTTCGAGCCGTGCTTTTATAGGTTTCATGACAAGAAACTAGGTTAGATAAAACATATAAAAGTCGCAGCAATTCATGTCAAAACAACAAAACATTCTTCAATTCGACGCGAACGCAAAACGTTCTATCAACTCATCAGAGGTCGCATCGTCTCGTCAACATGTTCTTCATGCTACTGCTGCTGTCCATCGTGGTTGCTGTGGTCTACTACGTCACATTGTATCCGGTGGACAATCCCGTTCCAGGGGAGTATGAGGTGATGTTTTTATGTCTAAAGCGTGTTTAACTTTTAATCCCTGTTTTAGGTAGGGTCGGAGAAAGGGACTTCGGAGGCTGGAAGTGAGAAGCGGTCAGAAGCCAGCCCAGAAAGTGAAGGCGGTGAAAGTGAATTTGAAGGTGAATTTTGGGTTTACATAAAGTTAAATGTTTGAAGTCGTTTAGGTGCTCCAGTGCCAGTTCCAATCTACTTGGTAGGGCCAGTGGAAGTGAGGGACATGAAGGAAAAAGGCGAAGATTCAAAGCAGAGTAAAGGAAGATCGGAACGAAGTACTGGAACGGCATCGAAAGGGAAAAAGGCAAAGAGCCATAGCCGAGGCAGTAAACTCCCAGTTCCAACGAGTGCGGGAGAAGCTGGAGCTGATGGGAAAACTTCAAAGGCTAAGAAGAGAAGTGGTTCATCCGGCCGTCATCGTCGCAAGAAGGATGCAAGCAGCAGCAAAAGTAGTCGGACAGTTGGTTCAACAAGCGATGGCGGGGAGGAAGGTAATGAAAATTGGGCTAGAATAGAAAAACAGCCGTTAATATTTTATGTATTTGCAGCGTCTAAGTCCAAGTCCGCTGCAAAATCCAAGGCCGATGCTGGAAAAGTTCGCAGTCGCAAGTCTGGCGGGGGTTCTAAGGGTCGAAAGGGACAGAAAGGTGAATTTTTGAAATTTGTCATTTCAATTGTTAAAGACAACTTAATTATTTTAGACGGCAGTCGTTCTCGCAGTCGAAGTGCAAGCAGTGGGAAATCTTCCAAGAAGGACCGGAAGCATGCTACTCCTCAAACGCCATCAAAGAAGGATCTGTCTAATAAGCCGGTGAAGCTCTGAATGAATCAAGGCATAAATACGCGCAAAACTCATCTCTTAGAGGCTCTGAATGAGAGGGAAAAGAAAAAAAATTTAATATAAATATTTCCACCAATTTCTTTCTTTCTAATTTGTAAAATAAAAATGTTTTCTTTTCCCCCTAAATTTTGTATTGTATATTTTGTTTTCAAGAAATAAAAGATCTACATATTTTTTAGTTTTTGTTTTGTATTAACAAAATTTGTTTTTAAATGAAAAACAAAGAAAGATTTCTATGTAAGCAGAAATATTAAGAGATTCCATAAATTAAAACTTTAATTCTACATAACAAAAATGGCCAATAAAGACGAAATTGAGATTATTTTCTATTGTTCAATGCAATGGACATATCCTTGTACATAATACCTATGCCATTGTACAATTATTGTATTCAGTTTTAGCTTCAAGATTTAACAGCTTATTATTAGGCAGATTGAACATATGTACCCAATTTTAATAATTATTTTACGCTATAATAAACTAAATATTTTCTTTATAAATTTGTTAATAAATAAATAATGTATATTTATAATATTTATTTTTGGTTTATTCGTGAAAAATAATTTAAAAAAATTTTTTAATTTAAAAAATAAACATGTTAATTACAATTAATTTAAAAATTATTTATTTTACAATATTTATTAATTTCTCCATTATCTAACTTTTCCTTTAACTTTTTTGAAACTTGATTCCATTTTAAATTAATTCTACATTCTGATAGAAATTTTGTATTTAAATTAAATCAATAACTTGCTTAAATTTTTTTATTATTTTATTTATTAAAAATATAAACTAACCGCTAATTAAATATTCTTTACCAATTTCAAGAAAAACACCACAAAAATTTTGTGGCGGGGAAATTAATTCTGCTTTTCCTTGTACTCCCTATAAATTTTTGTTTTTGAAAATACTTTTTAATTAATTACTTACTTTGTACATCTTTATAATTTTGACTTTATAACGAGAATTAGAACGATTAAGTATCTGAACATGAGCAACTTGAAATTTTTTAAATTTTATTTTTAATCTAAACATTTTCTTTAAAAATAATTAAGGGGTAATTTTAAAAAAGTGATCAAATTAAAAATTTTTGAAAGTTTGTCGACACTTAATTAATCCAAATTTGAAAAAGAGACTATTAGATATAGCAAAGCAGAGTTGGTTATAGCTATTTCTCTCCTTTAGTAGATAGTGCAAAAGGTTATAGGGCGCTGGGAGCGACCAGAATCTTCAGTAGACCGGACTGATCTCCATTAGACAACGCCGCCTACTGCATAGCCTTAGGAATTAAATGGCTATCTGCCTTACAATATGTAGTGATCAGAAATTTTGTAATGCTTGGGGTGATGTTTTTATTTGTCTGGTAAATTTTGAAACAAATTCTAGGTTAACTCAAAATTATGCTTAATTTCTTAAATTTAAAAAAAAGTTTATTTACCCCAATTAGAATGACAATATTTATTTTCAACCGTTGATGGATTACAAGGACAATTACTTGAATTTATACATTTTAAAATAAAAATAAAAACAATTAAATAAATAATAATTATTTTCATTTTAATTTAAATTTATTTTTAAATATTTTGATTAAATTTTCTGTTTATTTTATATTAATTTTTATAATTGAAAAAAAATTTTTTAACTAAAGTTTTTAATGTATTTGAAACACGTTACTTCCTTAAATAAATAAATATTAGTAATGAAAACATATGATTCGTTTTTTAAACAATTTTATGAAATACTAAGAATTTTTGTGAAGCATTTAAATTTTAAAATATTTGTTTGTTTATTTATTTTTAATTTATCAAAAATATTTTTATTCATTTAAATTAGGGTTGAGCGGGATCGGGATCCCGGTCGGGATCGGGCGGGATTATCCCGGGTTTTTCAAATCCCGATCCCGATTTTTCTGATCCCGCTCCCGAAATATATATCCCGATCCCGGCCAATCTCAATCCCGAGCCGGGATCCGGGATCGGGATGTGCATCAGATCCCGATGCAAATCCCGACTTTATAAATTGACTAGAAGTCTGTGAAATAAAGTTAACAGAAGAGTGGAGGCGTGAAAGTGAAAAAAATTTTCGCCTGCGGCGCAGAAAAGGGAAGAGATTTGGCTTCTTGACATCCAAAATTTTCAAAATTTTCGCCTGCGGCGCAGAAAAGGGAGTGACTAAGACATTATAGAGATGCCTTGATCACTGTCTTTAAAACTTTAACGAAATATTGAGTGATTTGGTGTGATATCGAACGATCAAGGGGTGTTGAGGGGAGTATCGGTGGATTTGGAGTATAGAAGGATATCGGTGAATTTACAGGGATTAAGTTAGATTTGAAGAGAAATCGAGGGCTTAAGAGATATTACTACATGAGTTATCACTTAATCCCTCAATCTCAGTTCTTAATCGTCCACATTTGAACGTAACGCACTTAATCGTATAGACTTGAACGTTTAGACTTAAATACCCTTGGCCTTCCAAAAAAATATTGCCTTCGGCGCTTAAAAGGCAGCTAATCTGGCACCTTGGCCTTCCAAGTTTTTCAAAATTTTTGCCTGCGCCGCTTAAAATGGAAGAAGCTCAATCCCATTTATTCCTCCCCCCCCCCCCCCTACATACCTTATCCTCCCTTAATCCCCTGAACCGGAAAGTAAATCATGCGTCTACTAGACTTAAACTCACTATTTCAGCACCGCAGTGGAAATTTTAGAATTATATTGAGTCGTATGTGAAGAAAATAAAAATTTAAAAATTTTGAAAAATTTTTTTAGTAAATCCCGATCCCGATTTTTCAATCCCGGTCCCGATTCGGGATCGGGATCGGGATCTTCAATCCAAATCCCGATCCCGATTTCGGCCAATCCCGATCCCGTGTCGGGATCGGGATCGGGATCACCATTCCTAAATCCCGATCCCGGGTTTTTCTCTAAATCCCGATACCGCTTAACTCTAATTTAAATATATAAAACTGGATTGCTAATTAAATTATCCACAGGGTGCGGCAAATTTTCCACCACTTTTGTTTTTGCCATAATTTTCTTCAAAGTGAATGAATACTTCTCAGATATCTAAAATAATAAATATTAAAATATCTACACAAATATTTTTTTGTTTAACAGACAAAAATAAATTTATTGAGTAGGTTGGAGGTTCTTGGGAAATCTCAGGATGACCGGAACCGAATAGAAAATTTCCGAATATCCAGACTTTTTCAGTTCCGGATTACTTTTGAGGCCTTATTTGTTAGTCATCTTACTATTTAATATTTTCTAATTTAAATTTAATTATTTTAATTTTTTAAATTTAATTTAGATATATTTTAATCTTTTTTTAATAAATAATTTCAAAAGTTAAAAAAAACTTTTGTTTGTTTTATTCAAAATCACACAATTAGAAATATATTTAAGGAAGTAACGTGGCATAAAATGTCATGATTTTTTAAAAATAATTCTTGAATTTGTTTAATAATTTCAAAAATTAAAATTTAATTTTGCCCTCCCCTTCTCCTCCCTTTCTCTCCATTTTATTATTTTCCATTTCTTACAATATTTACTATATAATTAATTCTTGATCCGTTAAAAAACTATTTTGTGTGGTAAATTCAACGTCATTATTTCCTTCTTTTTAGCAAGTATTTTAAACACTTTTAAGTCATCATTATTTTTCCTTCAGATTTTTTAATAATTAATTAAACAATTAAAAAATATTTAAAAAGAATGAAAATAATTATTTTCTGTTGTTTTGCATTTATTGTATTAAAACAATTAATTGTTATTGTAAATGCTTGTACTTGTGTGATTGCAACAATTGAGGAAAATTATTGTCGTTCTGATTGGGGTAATAAATAAATAAAAAATATTTTTTAAATAAATATTTAAATTAAAAAAACATTAATTTAAAGCCGCTCATATTTTATCGTTCAAAAAAGAAAATATAAATGAAACTGACGGGTTTTCTATGGAAGTTCGTTATACCGTTAAAATTTTGAAGATTTACAAGGCAAGTTTTGTTTAATTTTGGAATATTTAAAAATAATTAAAGGATAAAATATGTCAACAAAAAAGAAAGAAAGATTTTGTTTATACGGCTTCACAAAGCGCTGCTTGTGGCGCTTATCTTGAAATTGGCAAAGAATATTTAATTGGAGGTATTTAATTATTTTAAAAAATTTAAAAAATAATTTTTAGGTAATTATTTTGATGGTAATACTAAAAAGATAAGTTCATGTGGACTTGTTGAATATTGGGATAAATTGGAACAATTAAAATTAGATTTAAATAATGGAAATTTGGATAAAAATTGTACAAAATACTAATAAAAAAAAGATTTTTATAAAAATAAATTGTAAATTTCCAACTTAAAATAAAAAAATAAATACTATATACGTTCTCCTGATTTTATATTAAATTTTATTTTCGAGCCGAGCCAATTACTAATAAAAAACGAAAAAAGTTCAAAATTATCTAGGGTTGGATACAACCTGTTATTAACCGGTACCTCGGTTTTCCCATAGTTTTAACAATTAAAAAACATTTTTCTCACATACATACCATTTATTTAAAAAAATATTTTTATTTGAACGGGAAGTAAATTTTTATTTATCTAAAAAAATTTTGAAACATTTTTATCGTTGGAAAACAATTTTTTACAAATTTTTTTCAAATTTAAGCTTTAAAATGACGTCTCGTCTATTATTTAACCAACATTAAATTGTGTCAGATTTTTGTTTTGAATGAGATCAACGTGTCAAAGACGTTGATCTTTTTGACACGTTGATTGAAATATGTATAAAATAAATATTTTTAGATAAATAATAAATATAAATTTTTAAAAACTTTCCATAGAAATCAACAAAAATTCACTTAATAAAATGAAAAGATTATTTATTTTTTGCCCTATTATTGTTAATAATAGGGCAATTGATAAATGTTATAAGATCTTGTTTATGCAATACTTTAATGACCCAAGAGGATAAATATTGTCATGCTCATTGGGGTGGGTAGATAAAGATTTAAATTATTTATAAATATACAAAGCCTGGTTACCCATGATTTTGTTTATATTTTAGTCTTTCTACACTTCCAAATCCTCCAAATCTTTCTAACCCTTCCAGTATCCGAATCCGAAAAATTCCTCTCAACAATTCTAAGTCATCATTATATTTTCCTTCAGATATTTCAATAATTAAATAATTAATTTTATTTAAAAATTTATAGAAAATAAATTTAAAATATTTAAAAAGAATGAAAATAATTATTTTTTGTTGTTTTGCATTTATTGTATTAAAACAATTAATTATTATTGTAAATGCATGTTTTTGTACGGTTGCAACAATTGAAGAAAATTATTGTCTTTCTGATTGGGGTAAAAAATAAAAGTCGAAAAAAATTTATATTCTTTAAAAGCCGCTCATATTTTATCACTCAAAAAAGAAAATATAAATGAAACTGAAGGGTTTTCAAGAGAAGTTCTTTATACTGTTAAAATTTTGAAAATTTACAAGGCAAGTTGTTTAATTTTGGAATAATTAAAAATAATTAAAGGATAAAATATGTCAAAAAATAAAAAAGAAAGATTTTGTTTATACGGCGTCACAAAGTGCTGCTTGTGGCGCTTATCTTGAAATTGGCAAAGAATATTTAATTGGAGGTATTTGAAAGAAATTTATTTTTAAAAATAATTTTTAGGTAATTATTTTGATGGTAATACTAAAAAGATAAGTTCATGTGGACTCGTTGAAAATTTGTCGGATCAATTAAAGGAAGATTTAAATAATGAAAATTTGAATAAAAATTGTACAAAATACTAATAAAAAAAGATTTTTATAAAATGTATTGTAAAATTTCCAACTTAAAATATAAAATAAATTCCCTTTATTCTGATTTTATATCAAATTTTATTTCCATGCCAGTTCGCAATAAAATCAACAAAAAAGTTTAAAATTCAACTTGTTAGTAAGCGGTACCCCCGATTTTCGGTTGTCGCCGGGTTTAGACCCCCCGGTTTTCGGTTTTGGTTAACCGTTTGTGTCCAATCCTAGTTTTAACAATTACAAAACGTTTTTCTCCAATATAAAATATTTTTATTCGAAGGGGAAGTAAATTTGTATTTATTTATCTAAAATTTTTTTGAAACATTTTTATTGTTGGAAAAATTTTTTTTACAAATTTTCTCAAATATAAACTAGGAAATGACGTCTCGTCTATTATTTACCCAACATAATATCAATTTATAGTACATAATTAAATTGTGTCAGATTTTTGTCTTGTTTCGAATGAAATTAACGTGTCAAAGACATTTTCTAGTTTTTGACACGTTGATTGTTGTAGATAAACAATGAATATAAAATAAATATTTTTAAATAAATATTAAAATATATTTTTAAAAACTTCCCATAGAAATCAACAAAAATTTACTTAATTTAATAAAATGAAAAAATTATTTATTTTTTGCTTTTTATTTTTAATAATAGGGCAATTGATAAATGTTATAAATACTTGTTTATGCAATACTTTAATGACTCAGGAAGATAAATATTGTCATGCTCATTGGGGTGGGTAAATAAAGATTTAAATTAATTATGAATATACAAAGCCTGGTTACCCATGATTTTGTTTATATTTTAGTCTTTCTACACTTCCAAATCCTCCAAATCTTTCCAACCCTTCCAGTATCCGAATCCGAAAAATTCCTCTCAGGGATTTCCCAGGATCCGTCAACCCTATAAATACTCTATTAATTTTTATTTAATTAAAACTCTGAAAAGTTTTAGTTGCTCATCTTCTAATACTTGGAAGTAAAACTATAGATAAACAACAACAATATAATGTTAAATATTTAAAAGTTTATAGGGTAAATAAATAAATTAAAATAATTCTCAAAAAATATTTTAAAGGATACAAAAGGAATATTGAATGGAACAAATTTAGTTTATTTTTATGCCCAATTTCCAGGTTGTGGAATTTATTTAAAAGAAGGAACTGAATATTTAATTTTTGGTTAATTATTAATTTTAATTTAAAGAGAAATTTATTTTTTAGGAAGTTACACAAATGGAAAATTTCCAATTAATTTAAATAAATGTTTAACTAATTTGGAATGGAATAATGTTAATGGAGCTTTTAGGGAATCTTTAAATAACGGGTATTTTGATAAAATTTGTGAAGCAAGTGAACAAAATAATGATGATTAATTAATTTTAAATAAATAATTGTTGACACAAAAATTAAATTAATAATAAATGTTCCGGATATTTCATTAAAGTCATAAAAAATAATATTTGTTGGTAAATTTAAATATTAGGGCTTTAATTGTTTTAAACACAAATTAGAGAGAAGATAAATGAAGCTTTCACACATAAAAAAATTATAAATTTTACTAAATTTTGTTTGAAAATCATTTGGTATCTAAGTTCATTTGCCAAATTAGGTGTGGATTATATTAGAGATTTTCATAAAAAAGAGAGAATAAAAATGGAAAAAAAAGGATAATTTCAACTAAAATTTATTAACAGTTTTCTCATTTTTAGAGATATGATTTGCAGACTTTTCCCTTGGAATAGAAGATCGATCAGACTCAATCATCTATAAATAGTTAATAAAGGATAAAATCAAAATATCGAATTTTTACACATAAAAATGTGTAAAAAATCTGAGAAATGATCGTACCTAATCAACTCAAAAAAGATATCTTATATTAAGGGAGAACATTAAGTATAGGAATTTGGCTGAATTGAAATACAAAAAAAATATTATGTATGTATATTTTAAGCATTTCACGGTAATGTTTAAGTATACCAATAAAATATTTTTAATTTTTGACCTTTAAATTTTTTCAGTAAACAGGTTAGAGCTCTACATATTTCATAAAATTTTTTATTCTCATTTTATTAACAAAAATTAAATAATTATATTTTTGGAGTGGTTGTTGTTTTTAATTTACAATAATCATTTAAAGCTTCATTATTTAAATCTTTCTCAATTTCTTCGGGTACATAATTCAATTCAATATTATATCCACATCTATATGTCTCTTTCCACTTATGTACGCCTATATATCTTTCTCCGTTTAGATAATATCCTAAAAAAGAGGGGAAAATCTGAAAAGAACTTTAGGGAACGGGGGTCGGTGTACGGGGTACAACTCTAATTCTATCTTACCAAAATTTAAATATTCAGTGTCATTTTGAAGATAAACACCACAAAGGCTATCATTTGCTGATGTAAATAAATAATTATTTTTAGTACATTCGCAATCTTTGTCATCCTTTTTTTATTAAAATATAAATTTTTATTTATATAATTTACCTTAAAGATTTTCAAAAATTTAGCGGTATAACGAATCTTCCAATCCGGCTTGTCAAGACCTTCTTTTATCGTTTCACTTTTAATTATTAAAATATGAGCAGCTTAAATTTTTATTTGGAGAAATTATTTTTAATTTAAAATTATAAAAAAAGAAAACTATTTTCAAATTATCTCCTCAATTTAACATTTATAAAATATTAATAATTAGGACTGCCATCGAGAATTTTAAGTGTATTTTTCTGTACTTCCAAAATAAGATCGAATAGCACCCCTGTTTATAAGTAATTAAAATAGTAGTTTCTAACCCACCCCAATTAGAACGGCAATAAACATCTTTAACTGGTATTAAACAAGTACAAGCCTTTACAAAATTAATTTTTTGTTGAATTAATAATAAAATTAAAACATTAAAAATTAAAATTATCATTTTAATTTTAAATTTAATTATTTTTATGATTTTTTAGTCAAACTTTCTTAAAAAAAAATTAAATTTTCTAATTGTTTGTTTACACAAATTTTATTTTAAAAAATTAATCTAAAACGTTATTAAAATAGAAAATTTATTGCCGAAATAAATTATTAAGGGAATGTTTAAATGAAAATTTCTTTGCGTCTGTGGCAGAAAATAACATTCAAAAATGCAGGAATTTTCTGTCGCTTATTATTTTTATTTAAGTGTGGGTAAAAAATTTTTTTTAAATTATTTCAGTCGCAACCCTTAATTTTTTGGGATTCGATATTCCCGGAATCATTTTTAACCCCTAAATCGGGGAACCAAATTCGACTTTTATCCCAACAAGAGACATTCCTGGGAGATAATAAACCCGTATTCTTTTATTCTTTATTCTTAACTTTATTTTCAATTTATCAACAAAAATTAAATAAATATAATTATATTTTCGGAGTGGTTGTTGTTTTAAATTTGCAATAATCATCAAAAGCTCCACTATTTAAATCTTTCTTAATTCCTTCGGGTACAGCATTCCATTCATTATTATATCCACATGAATTTATATTTCTTTCTCCATTTGAATAATATCCTGAAAAATATTTTAAATTTAATTTATATATTTACGGCGAATACAGATGGATAACCGCAGACATAATTTATCATATCTGTATCCATATCCGTATCTATGTCCTAGTCTGAAAAAAGCATCCTTTTTTCAATAATTTTCTAAAAAAATTTTTTTCATTTTTTGTTTTCATGTTTTCGAAATCTTTTCAAATAATTATTTTAAAGAATTTTTTATTCTATATCTATGAATATTAAAGTTATTTACGATCAAATTAGGAAAAAAGGAAATTTGGAGGAAATAACAGAAAAGTACCAATTATTTTATAAATTATTTTTTTATTTAGAAATTTTTATTCTATATCTATGAATATTAAAGGTAAAAATTATGTAGAGACGGATTGCTATCTTAAAATATCTTGATGATTAAAATTTTTGAACAAAATCTCATCTCCTCTATTTTTAAAATTAAATTTAAATTTTTAAAATATTTCTTCAATTTTAACTTACCAAAATTTAAATATTCAGTGTGATTTTTAAGATTAAGACCACAAATGCTTGGATATAACGATGTAAATAAATAATAATAATTATTTTTAGCATATTCACAATCCTCTTCTTCACCCTTTTTTAAATTAAAAACTAGTGTTAGGCACAGTCGTTACTCCCAAAAGTATTGCCTCGGTATTTTTCGGTACTTTTCGGTATTCCCTGCATTGGTACATATTGTACCTTACACTTGTTAAGTCGTAACTTTTTATGAGTGATCAGATTTGATCCATCACTTGGGAAAAAGATACCGCTTAATGAGAGCGTTCGAATGCTATAAGATTAATTCGGATTGGATTAATCATAATAAAGTTATTTACGATCAAATTAGGAAAAAAGGAAATTTGGAGGAAATAACAGAAAAGTACTAATTTCTTTACTCAACGTATTTGTATTCGAAAAATCCATTTGCCTAACACCAGTAAAAATTTATAAATTTTTATTTATTTACCTTAAAAACTTTCAAAAATTTAGCGTTATATCGTACTTTCCAATACCACTTGTCCAAACCTTCTCTTATTATTTCCCTTTCGAGTATTAACATATGAGCAGCTTAAATTTTTATTTAAAAATTATTTTTTAATTTAAAATTAAAAATAAGAGGTATGTTTAGAAATTAAAGAAAAAACTATTTTTAAATGATCGCTATTAGTATTAATCGCTATAATTAATTTCCACACCCCAATTAGAACGGCAATAAATATCTTTAACAGTTATATTTAAACAAGAACAAGTTTTTACAAAATTAATTTGTAGTTTAATTAATAATAAAATAAAAAAATTTAAAATAAAAATTTTCATTTTAATTTTAAATAATTTTTATTAATTTAATTCTTTTAGTGAATCTTTTGTTAAATAATAAATTTTTGAATTATTTAATAAATATTTGTATAAATTTTCTTTTTAAAAAATTATTTTTAAAACGTTTCTGACACGTTTATTAAATTAAAAAAAATCTAGAAAATGTTGTGTTTACATAAAAGTCAAAAGATTTTTTGTCGCAAAATTTATGTTATTTTTGTTTGTTATTAGAATGCTAAAAAGATTTTTTAGCCCTTAAATCTCCAACAATTAAATTATAAACAATATGACGTTATCTACTAAAATATTTTGGGAATGAATGATCGGAGCAAATATTTGCGCCATAAAAAACTTGAGCCATTTGAGGAAAGCTGAAAATATGATCGGTTAAAAATTAGATTACTGTTCACGCGCTATTGGCATAAATATGTATGTAGCCTAATAATTTCATAAATTAATTAATTTTCCTCTTTCGTTGTAATATCAGAGTCGATGAAATTAAGAATTTAAATAAAATTTTAATGTGATTTTATTTATGCAATATATTTATTAAATCTTTTTCAAAAATATTTTTAATCAAGAAATATTTAATTTATTTAGAATAAATTGAACTTTAATAGAGATTTTACGGTTATTGTCAATCTAAAATTAAATTTTAAATAATAATTGTTAATATAATAATATTTTCGATAAATTTAAATCTTAGAGCTCTAGTTGTTTTAAACACATTTATTAGACAGAAAATAAGCGAAACTTTCTTCAATGAGAATCATAACATCTATCTGATTTTGTTAGAAATAATTGTTCAATATAAGTTATACTTTTAATCAAATAAGTAGGGCGAGGGATTCAGATAACTTAAGAGAAATAAATATGGAAAGATCGACCAGACCTAATCAGATATAAAAAGTTAATGAGAATTAATCGAAAATAACGAATTTCTACACTTGACAACTTGAGTAATGATCGTATATACAAAAAGGACTCTGAAGGTTGTACACAAGATTAGTAGGTACACAAGATTAGGTTAAATAAAAGCCCCATTATTTAAATTATTTGTTAATGTTTTTTAATTACAACTGATATATTTTTAGATAAAATATATTTCAGTAAATAACTTTATACTTTTTTTTATTAACAAAAATTAAATTAAATAATTATATTTTTGGAATGTTTGTTGTTTTTAATTTACAATAATCATCTAAAGCTCCATTATTTAAATCTTTCTTAATTTCTTCGGGTACAGCATTCCATTCATTATTATATCCACATAACCCAATATTTCTTTCTCCATTTGGATAATATACTCCTAAAAAATATTTTTAATCAAATTTATTTTAAAAAATTAATAAATATTGAAGATTTTCTTTTTAAGAGATTTATGAAATTAAATTAAATTTTTTAAGAAATCTTTACATTTAGAAATGTAAATCCAAAGATTACAATGCCTGTCTATCTTTATGCAATTTTTTAGAAAATACTTTTTTATTTTTAATTTGGGGTTTTCCCGTATTTTTAAAAGATTAAATTATAAATTTTTTGTTTGTTTAAGAAATTTCTATTATTTATTTTTCTCTCTTGGAAAATGTTGAAGTTAAAAATTAGAGACGGACTTGAGTATCAATCGTCGATATATCTTAAATAATTATCCTGATAACTAAAAATTTTTGAACAAAATCTTGTTTAATCTCTAATAAAAATAGGAAAAATACAAATAATAATTAATTTTTTTTAATTTAATTTACCAAAATTTAAATATTCCGTGTTATTTTTAAGATTAACACCACAAAGGCCATCATTTGCATATGTAAATAAATAATAAATATTATTTTTGGTATATTCACAATCCTCTTCTTTACCCTTTTTTAATTAAAATTTCTGTTAGGTATATGTAATTTGTTTATTTATTTACCTTAAAAACTTTCAAAAATTTAGCAGTATAGCGAAGTTTCCACTCCCAAACTGCACCTTCTTTTATTTCTTCACGTTTAAGTATTAAAGTATGAGCAGCTTAAATTTTTATTTAAAAAATTATTTTTAAAAATTGTTTTTTATAAAAAGAATTAAGTTTAGAAGAAATTAAAGAAAAAATTTTCTTTTTGTTTTTGCAAACTTGAACTTATTTAGAAATACTATTACTTATTTTAACTGATAGACTAACAAAAGAAAATACTATATATAATTATTTAATTATTCCAAAATTTTTCACCCTTTAATTTCTCATATATTAAAATATTTCCAATTTACTCCTCTTCAATTTAACATTCATAAAAAAAAGTTTATAACATACCCCAATTAGAAGGGCAATAAATATCTTTAACTGTTGTATTTCGACAAGAACAAGCTTTTATAAAATTAATTTGTTGTTCAATTAATAATAAAATTAAAAAATTAAAAATTAAAATTTTCATTTCGATTTTAGATAAATTTAAATATTTCTATTAGTTTTAATTATTTAGTGAATTTTTCTTTAAGAAATTAAATTTTTCGATCATTTGCTTACACAAATTTCACTAAAATAAATTATTTTTAAAACGTTTTTGACACGTATTTTTATCAAAATAGGTTTATTATCCAAGGAAATAAATTTTTAATAAAATGTTGTGTTTACACAAAAGTTGCCTTGCGTTGCGACAAAAAATAATATTCAGAAAAAAAGGAAAAACAGTTGCAATACGTGTGTATTTTTATTTAAGCGTAGTATTGGAATGCTAAAAAATTTTAGACTTATCACTTAAATTTTAAACAAAATGAAAATTAAAAACAAAATATAACAGTATCTACTATAATATTTTAGGAAATGATAGAAGTAAATATCTGAGCCTTAAAATGCTCGGTGGGGAAAACTTAAAATGCAGTTGCTATATTTAGTGTGGCAACTTCAAATACTTACAAATTAGATTATACTGCTCAAATGCCGGCTTAAACTGATCACTGTGGTTTCGGTTTCACTGATTTTTCAATTAGTTAGATGTATTTGACATAAATATATAACTATAAAAATCATAACAAAATTAATTTTCCTCATTTGTTGTAATATCAGACTCGATAAAAATTAATAATTTAACTAAAATCTAAGTGTGACTATATCTATTTATGCAATATATTTATTAAATCTTTTACAAAATTATTTTATTTATTTACAGTATTTATCCATATCCCCATCTTTCAATAATTTCTTTAATTTCTCGTCTACTTTTTCCCATTCTTGATAATATCCACATAAACTTATTTTTCTCTTTCCATCATCCTCATATCCTCCTAAATTTATTTAATTATTTTAATTATTCCCAATTTTACCAAAAAGCAAATATTCTTGTCCATCTTTTAGATTAACTCCACAAGCAGCACTATTTGTTTTAGAATAAACACAATCAATTTTATTATTTTGATTACAAGTTTTGCTGTCCTTAAATAAAAAAATTTTTTAGCTTTTTTGAAGCCAAAAATCTTTTTTTTTCAAAAAAAACCAAAAAGAATTTTTTAGAATTTTATCTCAAAATATCTTCAGTCGAAGTGCTCTGATCCATAATTACTAGGGTTGCCAGCTCGCTAGAACCAAAACTCGAAAGATCGAGCGAGCCGAGGCTTTTCAGCTCGAAAACGAACCGAATCGAAAAAAACCAAGCTCGAAAAAATGCACCGATAAATTTCGGCTCGACTCGAAAACGGCAACCCTAATAATTACAAAAATTCGTGACTTTCAAGACCCAGAAGGCTTTTCATGAGGAATTTTCGCGAAGGCCTCTTCCTCCTTTATTTAAACCTTTCCTCCTTTTATTCCTCCTTTTATTAAACCTTCTATGTATGAGATTGTAGGAAAGAAATACAAATGAGCATTCTCCTTCAAAAACTTCCCTTCACCTATCAATTATAAATTTAACCAATTTTTACCTTAAAAGTTTTTAAAAGTTTAACAGTGTATTCATATTCACTAGCCCCATCTTTATCTCGTACTTCTGCACGTCTGAGTGATTTTACATGAGCAACTTAATTTTTATTTTTTAAATTAAATTTTATTCTTCTAGCTAACCCCAACCAGCATTACAATATTTCTCTTCTACCGACATTCTTGCACAACTACAAGCATTTGTAAATAATATTCCCCATAAATTTGTTAATAAAACAAAAAAATATAAAATAAATATTTTCATTAAAAATGTTATTGAATGAATTTTTAAATTTATAAAAATATTTTTGATTTTTCTTTATTTTGTTTACTTTATATTCTCTTTGTAGAAGTAAAGTTTTTTTTAACAATTTAAAGCTTGATGTCATTTTTTAATTTTGTTTTTTTAGAAAATTTGACACGTTAATTTCTAAAAATAATAAAAATAATCTGTTAAATATGAATTCCTCGAAAAATGTTAGAAAATTTTAAAACTTATCATGGGGTTAGAAATTACTATTTATTTAGTCCTGAATTATTCTAATGCAAAACAAAAGTTGGATATAAAGAGGATTCAATCTTTCAAGATGTTTTATTTTTTTGAAGTAGTTTTCCAATGATTACAGGATTTGCGGGATTTTAAGACGTTATCCCTACACGATTTTAAAAAATCAGGATTTAAAAAAATTATTCATTTAAAAAGATTCTATAAATCGCACGTACCCACATTATATTTAACTTTCTTGAAAATATTTTGGGGCTAAAAAACTCTCTAATCCAGAAAGAAAATTGAGTTAAAAACAGAACAAACTACCACTATACGATTTTTAAATATTCTGATTAAAGATTCCTTGTCTTGTACGTACTTATTAAATATTCTCCAAAATTTAAAAATAATTCCGCGATTTTTCTAAATAATATTTACCTCGGCCTCTATCATAAATGTTAAAAAAAATATAAAAAAGATCACACCAAATTATTCATAATAATAAAATGTATACATTAATAACTATAAAATGAAAATTAAAATGGGGAGACGAGGGACACAAAAAAGTGCACAACAAAAAAACATCTCAAAAATGAGGAAAATAGGCGATTAGAAAGGTGTGTAATCCAAAAATATTTTTATTTGTTTAAAAATTATTTTCGAAAAAAATTTAAAAATAAACAAATTAACAAAATCACACACCGATTTAGAAAATTAAAATAACTTTAAAAACTATATATTTGACGAGGAATTTATTACAGAAGACTGTATATTTGATGATGACGATGTTGTAACTTCTATTGTCTTTTTGTCTGTTGCTTGTTGTAGTGATGGAAGTTGTTGTCTACTTGGCCCAGAAGAGCGCCTAAATGTTGCTGCTGTTGATGATACATTTGTTGAATGTTGGTGGTTACGAGCATATACTCTATATGCGTTTAATAAAAGACTTGGGTCGTGATGTGTTTTAACAAATTGTGACAAAAATATCCACAAGTAGTTGTGCCACTATAAAAAATAAAATTAAGAATAAATTTTAACATTTTTCATCCGGAATTAAGTTAAAATAGGTATTCATAAAAACAGGTAATTCTGTGATTTATATATGAATTTTAACTACAACAAAAGGCGGTAAAATTCATAAATAATTTCTATTTAAAATATATAATTTAAATTACTGGCCTGTTTCTGGACGAGTAAAGGTTCTTTTCTGAAATTATTAATTTTATTTGTCAAAGACATTAATTTAAACTCACTTTCTTATTAAATCGATGACATATTTTGTTATGTAGTTTCCAAGCTTAACCTAAAAAGATAAAAAAATATTTTTTTATTTTACAAAAAATTACAAGGTATTTAATAGCTTCAGATTCAAGCGGATCTCCTTTGCTGACAAGTTTCTTCATATATTTAAGATGCGGTCGGAAAAAATCAACACATTTTAAAAAAGGTTGCCCGTTGCGATCCTTCAGGTCTAACTCATATTTTCGTTTATTGACAGCCAAAGATACAGCTCGTTCAAATGTTGTTGGAGGATGCTTCTGAAAAAAAACAAATTAAATAAAAAATCACAACAATTAAGCAATAAATCTAAAAAAATATTCAACTACCTTCTCACTGCTATTTGCATTGTCTGCCTCAGAATTATCCCCTTTCTTTTTTCTAATCGTCAATACACCATCTATTTTTTCACGCTTCTTTTTCTTCGACGAATCTCCTTCTGCAGTATCGCCTTCAGTTTTCTTTTTTGACCTTCTTCGCTTCTCACCAGCTGGAGTTGCTTCACTTTCACTAGCATTTTTAGATGGTCTTCCTCGCTTCTTCACTGTGCTAGAAACACTCTTTTTACCAACCTTTGAAAAATTATTTTATCGGATAAATTTAATTTCAAGTAAAAACCTTTTTGCCTTTCTTCTTTTTTCCACTTTCATCATAATCACTAGTTTCATCATTATCTGATTCAGCAAATGTTCGAATTGTCGGCCGGTTCCTAGGTTTAAGCTGTTGTTGCACATTTTGCTTTTCTTCTTCCATTACACGTTCAATTTCTTCTTTTGGAATAATTTGTGCCCAATCACGATCACATTCTTCTTCATCCTTTACAGACACTGGAGATTTACTTGCTCTGCCTGGACTGTCGTCCATTCGACTGGATTCATCAAGTTGTGACAAATCTGTCAGCTCCTTTTCATCATCGATGGTGAAGTTAGCGTATTTGAAAGAATTAAGTAATTCATTCGCTCTAAAATTGTAAGTTCAAAAAATTATACATCAGAAATAATTTTATGAGGATATGTCTAGAGAAAAATTTAATTTCGACTGGTAATAAATAAAAAAATCAATTTTAAAATCAACTAATGCAAAACCAACCCAGCAGTTTCGGTAGAATCTCTCGTCTCTGCTTGATTCAAAATTTCATCGATATCAAATTCCAGATCTTGAGCTTCGCCTTCTTTTTCAGAGAATAATTCAGCTGCACCAAACTTTAGGATTGCGGCTAATTCAGACTTGTCAAATTGAACGCGTGATGATTGATTCATGGCGTTTTTAGAGAGTGCAGTTTTGCCCATTCGCTGGATGACTAGATGATCAAGAACAAGTTTTTTCTTTGCTCTTTCAACAATTTCTTCTTCTACCGAACCTCTGGTGACGAGTCTGTAGATTTTGACCTAATAATTTCGATAAGAAAATATTGCAGAACAGAAAAAACCTGTTTCGTTTGTCCAATCCTGTGAGCTCGACTCACTGCTTGAATGTCGTTATGTGGATTCCAATCCGAGTCATAAATAATAACAGTGTCAGCTGTTGCCAAATTTATACCCAGACCTCCGGCTCTAGTAGAGAGCAAAAATACAAATTGTTGAGCACCGGGAGCATTGAAACGATCAATAGCATCCTGTCTGCTCTGTCCTGTAATGGAACCATCAATACGCTCATAATTGTAACCCAAATAGTCAAGCATTTCTTCAAGAATGTCTAACTAAAACGAAAAGTTTTACGGCGATTAAATTTAAAAATTAACTATAACTTTGAAAAACAAAACAAACCATTTTAGTCATTTGAGAGAATATTAATATTCTATGGTCTTGCTCCTTTAAACGTTTCAACATTTTCTGTAAGAGAATGCATTTTCCACTATTTTTAATCATTGATTCTCCATCATAAGAGCCATTAACACGCTTTGGAGCTTCCATGCTAGCTTTTGGGAATAGAAAAGGATGGTTGGCGCATTTCTTCAATTCCATTATAATATTCAAAAGCGCCATCTGAGATCGGCCATTTTTAACACTCAACGCTTCAAAATTTCTTGTCAGAATGTTGCGATAATACTTCCTGAGATAGAGAATAAAAAAGAATTGCAAAAGAAAAGAATAACTTTTGCAATGGGCTCAGCTCAACGCGAACAATTAATTCACTCTTTGAGGGCATTCCAGAAAGAACATCGGCCTTCATCCTTCGTAACATGTGAGGACCAAGTCGTTGATGTAAGCGTTGGATTTGATCCTCTTTTGAAATTTCAGCAAACTCACTCGTGAAGGATTCAAGATCGCTATAATTCGTATAGATTAATTATGAAGGAAAATATGTATGACCGTATTTTCTCAAGTCGAAATTAAAGGGTATAGGATTCAGATATAAAAAACTAAATTTAAATTGACAGAGATTGACATTATTCGGATTTCCCTTTCATTTTCAGCTGATATGTCTTGAATATTTGATTGGAAGATTTATAAAAGTTAACGAGTAAAAAGTTGTAATTATCTAGTGTTAACTTAAGGGGATGATATGAAATTTAAAGAATAACCGAAGCTCAATAAATGCATTATTAAATAAGCAAGGTAATAAAATAGAAACTTTATTAGACGCAAATATATGCAATAGCAGTTGGATAAGACAAAAAATTATTGCCAGAATAAACTATTAAATCGTGAATAAAATATTGGGGTAAAAATTTAACAAGGCAATAGATTTGATAAGGCAAGTTTAGATATTATAACTAAAAATATCTTTAAAATATTGAAGATGATTTTAAGTTTTACATTGATGTCAATGAATATGTTCGAAAAAAAAATAAAGATAATCTACGAACAAAAAAAGAGTATACTTTTAAAGTATTATGTTAAGGCGAGACATCGTTTCCAAAATACAAACAATGTAATACATTGGGTAAAAATAATAAAGGAGATTATAAACATTAAGCAAGAATGTTGCAAGACTCCTAGTTAAATAAATTAAATAGTTTGCTCCGAAAAGATTTATTTTAATTAAATATAAATATATATAAAGGTTCGTGCCGAGCTCAAAATAGAGGGAGTGCTGGCAGAGGGGAAAAGGAAAAGCCGGTGGGAAAACAACAACTGTCCGTTCAAGATTTGTTTTTTGAAAACTTGACAAAAAAGGGGCGTTGCTTCCCACCGTAATACAAAAACATATTAAAATTTTTATATCTCCAAGCACTACAATATTAATATTCTAATTAGAATAACAAGTCCAGCGGTGGGCCCCAAGAGTGGCAACCCACATAGGGCGCGCCGAATCCACCAATTAAAACAGACCTACTTTTTAAAAGATTTATTCAAGTGAGAACCGGCCATCTTTTGGGTCGGTGTGAAAACTTGAGATTTAATGAATCTATTTGGCCGGTTCTCGCTCGCCTTTTATGGGCCATTGAAAATGGGCGTAAATAATTAATCTTAACTATGACAAATATCATATGCAAAATTAAAAAATTAATTATCAAAGGATATATTTAAAAAGAGCTTAAAATCAATCTATGGATAGAAAATGAGATAATACTTTTCTCAGCAATATAATGTTAAGGCGAGATATCGTTACCAAAAAACAAACAATGTGATACATTAGATTAAAATAAGTCATGAAAAGGAATTTTAAAACATTTAGGAAAAATATAAGCAAAATTAGAATTAAATATTATATTAGCAATATCCGAAACTCATATACATAAGATGGACTTTTATATGCCATGAGTTTTCTCACCAAGATAAAGAAATCAACGCTAAACGACGATGCCATAAAAGGATTAACAAGTATATAAGTTCCGGTATCTTATAAAAATCTATTTGAAAAGCAGTACGAAAAACAAGTTCATGTAGAATAGAGGCACTTATAGGCAACCCAGTTTTCTCATTCATGGTCTAGTATGTACAAAAATATATACAAAATTATGGCGCGAGTCAGCGCGCCATAATTGGATGCAAGCGGGGTACATATTTGAGGCTGTTGAAATTTTCGCATAAATCGGCAAGGAGCTTAACATCGATCAATAGGAAAAACAACTTTCATATCCAAAAGACGCCTTGCCGAAATATGCCTATTCAAACATACGAGCAAATTGAAAGTTCTTCTGTAAAGGCAGTATGATACACACCAGTTCATGTAGATCAGAGAGGCAATTAGCCTCTTACAAATCCTGAAATGAAGAGAAAAGGAAAGTAGAAGAAATAAAATATCGACGGCAGTGTCAAGTTCAAACTCGATAAAATTAAAACATGGCAGTGTGACATCCAGCTATGAACGAGAAAATACGGCAACTACTCAACATTTTTGAGTAACATAGTCTTGAGGATGGGATTTTTATAATTAAACCGATTCTGCCCTGGCTAGATCCAGGGAGTGAGACGACCTTTCCACACCCCCCCCCCTCCCCCGAAAGGAAAAAAATTTTCAAGTATAAACTAAACCAGTCAAAAACTATAAATTTTAACTTACTTGAATTTATCTGGACTCAGAAAGTTCAAAAGATGAAACAACTCTTCCAAATTATTTTGCAAAGGAGTGCCCGTGAGAAGAAGCCTATAACCAATATCAAACTCCTGAAGTGTCCGAAAATAAAGGGATTGGTTGTTTTTTAGCCGATGAGCTTCATCAACAACCAAAGCGACCCAGTCTATTGTTGACAGAATTGCTTTATCGATACTAATCAACTAAAAAAACAAAATTATATTAAAAATTTAAAAATAGAAAACCTCGTAGGAAGTCAACATGACATGGAATTTTGGTATTGGCTTGTTGACTTTCTTTCGGCGTTTCTGCTCTTGATGATGAGAACTGTGATTATTGGTGGAGGCAGGGAAGAGGAAATCATTCTCGCTAAAATAAAGAATAAATTAAATTTTATAACATAAAAGAAATAGACAGGGTCCGTTCATACTAAATTTTAGAGCTTATCGGTCCGACCTTGATTTAAAAAGCGAGTTAAGGAGCTGTCACAAAATGACAAAATATCAATAAAAATTGCGAAAAAATCAAATTTTGTAAGTTCTGATTTGCAATAAAAGACAAAAAACTAACCGAATAACTTCACGACTTTGCTTATTTCCAATATAAGTAACAACATAGAGATCGGGCGTCCAAAATTCAGCTTCTCTCTCCCAGTTGATCAGTGTAGAAAGAGGAGCAGAAATAAGAAACGGACCATTGGTGTATCCTTCTTTGACAAGGGAATAAAGGAAAACGAGAGTCTAAAATAAGAAAAATATCTAGAACTTAAGAAAATAGAAAATAAAAAATAAAAGGGATCAACCCAAAAGGCAAACCTAGGATGTTAAATGACCCAGAAGGTCAAATCCTAAAAGGTCAAATCCAAATATTTGAGAGATAAGGATTTGTGCATTGCGGGTATTAAGAGAATATCGGTGGTACGTATTAAGAGGATACCTATGGCAAGTTTCAGATAAGGCAAAAGTAAGCAGGCAAACTATTCTAGATCAGTCAACTTTATCTAAACTAATATTTGGATTTGACCAATAGGGAGGGACTTGATCTTTTGGGTCATTTAACCTCTTGGGTTATTTGACCAGACCTCTTGGGATGGACCCAGATAAAAATGGGAAATATTTTTTATCTGCCGTAAACATGGATGATGCCAAATTTTTGGGAAAAAATGATTTCAAGAAAAAATTATTAAGAATAGACACTAGACCTGTATTGTCTTTCCCAGCCCCATTTCATCCGCTAAGATTGCATCCTTTTTGTTAGCCCAACAGTGACGTAACCAATTTAATCCTTCCAATTGATGTTGATGTAATGTGCCGCCCGTTTCAGCTACATAATCTGGTTGTTTTTCATACTTCTTTTTAAGCTATAAAGTTTGAGAATTATCGTCTAAAATCATGTTTTGTTTAAAACAAACCTCAGAAAGAGGCTTGCTGCATTCTCGCCTAGAGTTCTTTTTCACATGATGTTCATCTTCGTCGTCTTCATCATCTCCACCACTTGGAGAGGAGGAAGCTTCCCCATCTTCTTTTTCTGCATTCCTTTTAATTTTATCCAAAACACTTCTCGGAATAGGTTCACCAATTGTTAGCTTCCTAAAAATGATGGGAAAATAAATCTATTTCAGGGTAAGTTCAAAATCAAAATTACCTATGTTTCCAATATCTAGCAATAGCATCTTGATATCCAGGAATGTCGAGATCATCACGTTCCCATGTGGTCTGATCATATAAAAGTTCACGCCACTTCACAAGATAATCAAATTCACTATCTTCATATTCCGCATGATTAACCACTCGATGTACCTTAAAATGTCTAGTAGAATGGAATTTTATGAAAATAACCTGCATCCACTCTGGCTTAATTCCATATCGATAATATTTTTGCTCCATATTGTGAGGATCATCTTCCTAAAAAATTTATTTTTAGGGACTTGATAACAAATATTGTATTCGCTAAAAGAAAGTTGCCTTTACAAATCGAACCGTAATAAAATATAGTAATGTATTTACTTAATGTTATAGCGAAGTCTTAACAAATTATTATTTTATTCCAGAGTAACCCGACAACAATTCTTAAAACAAAAAACCTTTTCCTTGTCGTCGATTTTGCCCGTAATTAAATCCTCATGTGAACCATCATCCACTTCAGGCGGTACATTCGGATCCATCCGTCTCCAATAATTACGAAGTGCTTGCTTGTAATTCTGTTCCAACACATCTTCATTAACCCATTCACAACGCCTTAAGTAACAAGAAAAATAAATTTAAACCCCGATTAAGATTTAAGAATTAAAAATAACCTACTCTTTGTAAACGCCAAAGCTTTGTAAAAAATTTAAAAAAAACCTCACCAATAGCTCATATATTTCCATTTGATAAAGAATTCACGATCACGATAAACATCCCCATCTATACTATTTTTATCATCATCTTGTTCTTCGTTATCTTCGTCACTTGATTGAATAATATTTTTCTTCTTTCGCTCAACCCAACGCCAAGAAAGGATCTTTTCGATAGCCTTTTTAGGTTCCTGGGGCTCTTGCGAAATCTCATCATCAATAAGTTCATTATCAGATGAATCAGAACTGCTCATTATAATTTGTCAATCTTAAAAATTGACATTATGCCAAAAAATTTTAATCAAAAAACATCCCACCAAATTGGATCGGCAATTGAAAATTTTTACTTTTTTCGACAAAAAACGAGGAAAATTAGACTTGAATAGATTAGATCGAACATTATTAGGCATTCAGAATGTTATTTTAGTGTTTGGATTAATAATAAATGCTACTTTAGTTCGATAGAGGATGTTTAAGATGAATAAATTAGAGCAACGTTTATCTTTGAAAAAAATCGATAATTCACATGACTTTGAATTAGATACATAAACTCCGAATGCCTAAGGTTCTGAAATGATCTAAGCTGTCTAAAACATCCGGAATATAGAGGATACGTTAAAATTATCAAAAATTCAAAAAAAATAGGGAAAATTTGCCGAAAACGCCTAGAAAATCGAGTCAAGTATTTAATTAAATCTTTAACAATGACTAAACTACGTGGAAGAAATTCTCAATTAAAGAATAACTAAATTATGTATTATACAGTCCCACAAAAGATATGTATAGTTAAGAATAGCATTAAGAACAGGGTTAAATTTATTTAAAAGTCTGTGATTCAGGAGTGTGCAAAATCTACCACTATACACAAAATATCTTGTTCAGACTTGAATGGATGGTATAAAAATTCTGGAAAACATACTAAAACTCGAAAGGATAAAGCAGATTTAATTCAAAAGAACATACAAACACTCTCTAAAGAACACGGCAAAAATAGTTTCACAAAATCGATCAAAAAATCTTAACGTAAAATACCAAGTTGTAGATTGCCAAAAACGCGCTAAATTCAAAATTCTATTCCTACCCACAATCCTGCACAAAAATTCTCGACAAAATATTAATTAACAATTTTATTTTAATTAAAAATATAGAAATACATCAAAACAAATTATTTTATAAAGAAATAGAATTAACAAAGCCTGGATAAAGGCACGGTATTTTAAAATTATGGAAAAAAGTCTTGAAATCAGAAGATTTAACTTAAAGTAATGGAAAAAATATTTAAGCAGAAAAGATTTTACAAATAAATATTTTAGGTATTTGGAAAAGCCACCCTATCATTTAAGTTTAAAAAATAAATAATGTAAGCAGAAAAGCTTTTTTGAAAGGAAATTTGTCTTTAAAAATTTTTTCCAATAAAATCAGAATTTAGAAGAATCGAAAAAAATTCTGAAATTTTTAAACCAAAAATTTCCTTTCAATTAAAAAAAATAATTTTAAAGAATAGTGAATAAACCATTTTAAATATTTTTGCCACAAATTCTTCCAAAAAAATCCAATTAAAGTTCATCGCTCGGCTTCTTATCATCGGCCTTCTTTGCTTTCTTCTTCTTGCCATCACGTCCATAGCCTTTCAATGGATCTGTTGCATGTTCAGCAATGAACTTGATAAAGTCATTCACTTCACGTCCGCCTTGGTAGGGTACGGGATTCTCTTTGTCATTCTTTGGAACCCAAAAGATGGTAGGAAATCTAAAAATATCCTGATTAATACTTGTACAAAAAAGTAAATAAGTAACCCTTTGACATCGAATCTCGGTGGAACATCATCTGAAAAATAGAAATTATTAAGTTGTAACAAAAATAACTACTCAACACAATGATCCTCAGTGATTCCCTACTACCAGTTTGAAGACTATATAGTAGTCGACCCTCACTTTTAGGTATTCTTTAGGACTAAGGAACTCGTACTACCTTATAATGAGTAACTTAAATTGGGGTAGCTTAAGTGGCTAACCAGGATATCGTGTTGTCAACAAAATTTAAAAATAAGTAGCAGAACCGAAAAGTACCCTATTTTATGCTATCTAAGATAGAGGTCAAGTGTATACCTTCTATTACAATTTTAATTTTTAAAATAAAATTAAAAATTTTATATCAAAACTCACTTGCTGTTGCGTCACACTTGGCAATGACCACATCCTCTTTGGCCATCTACAAATGTTTTAAAATATTAGTTAGTAATTGAACAAATACATATTAATTAAAATTCTAATAGTTTACTTAGTTCTTATAATGATAAAGGTAGTAACAATCACAAAGTGAACTATCCTACCTTTTCAGCAAGTTGTTCATATTTGGGAGCGAGACTCTTACAATGACCACACCAAGGAGCATAACTAAAAAAGAACATATCTACCAAATGATAAATATAAATTTACAATTCAATCAAGACATCCTTGTCAGAATCTGTCACCAACTCCTTGAAGTTCTTAGCAACTACAACTTTCAGATCGCCTTGTTCTGCAGGCACTGGTTCGCTCTTCATGTACGGCTCAAGCTTGTTGGCCAAGAGATCATCAACAAATTGCTTCAAGTTTTCAACACTAAAGAATATACGCATACTTGGTTGAAATATTACTTAAATTTAATCACACCTAAATTCCTTATTCATGGGATATTTCCCATCATCCGTAAAAGCAGCAACCAAAGGTTTATCACTTTCTTTTCTGTCAGCAAGACCATTCTGTTCAATTTCCTAAAAAAATAAATCAAAATATCAACACTTTTATCCCTTACATTAGAAAATTCGTCTTTGTTGCTGACAGCAAAGAATGCTTTTCGTTTGTAGTCTTGTGCAACCTTTAACACACGATTGCGCCAGTAATTCGAGCCTTTAGGATCTCTGGCATAATCAACGTTGTAATAGACAACAATATGTGGACGCTGTGTAAATTGGAAGAGGTTGCCTTGTGTACGAATCGCGCAAAGTCCATTCCTGTAAAATTAAGTTTAATTATGAACAAAGATTTTCAACGCAAAATATCGTAATATAGAAAACATATTCCAAAAACTAATGTTAAAAATTACGTTTCTTGAACCAAAAAGTTCTTGATTTTGTCAGTATCATAATTGCCGTCATAATGGAAGAATGAAGGCTCGAATTTATTGTGAAGCTTCTTAGGAACATAAACAACAATATCACTGAAATAAATGTTTAAAAGATCAATTTGTTTAAATTATTTTTAAGCGAATTAATTGTTTTTACATAAGTAATTTTAAGAAAAGAATAAATTGTTAAAAAAATTAAATATAATTTTTAGAGCGCAGACCGTACCGTACTACGGCCGTATTTTTCGGTATTTATCGGTATTCCGTATCGGTAGTACGGTACGGAATACGATACGGAACGAAATTCCGCGCTCTAATAATTTTATGAAGGCATGATTTGATTTTAACATTTTTCGAATATAAATATTTGACTTCTTTTAAAATGTAATAGATCATAAATTATGTAATAATTAAATATTTAATACAGACCAGTGCATGTATACGGATACAATATCTAAGATGCCTGCGGATATCCGCCGTAAATATCCGCATACCAAAATCCGTTCCCATTCACAGGTCTTATTTGATATATTCAGAAAGAGTTTGCAAAAGTTTAGCCACCGGGCAGGATTCGAACCTGCGACCACCTGCTAGTTGTTGCTAGGCGCTTTCGCTCACTATATGCAGGAGCTCTACCGTTGAGCTACCGGGGCATCGACTAATGCTTTCTCTTTTTCCTTTTTAGATCGTTTATCCCCCGCCTAAGCGTTTTAAATGCTGCTAGGTGAATCATCCTTACATCTCCATCCCTACATCAGACCGGTCCCTCGGTCAAGCGCCATGACCGTGGATCGGCTGGTTCACCCAGCAGCAAGTGGGGATCCCTGTTAGCGGCACCAGAAAGAGTTTGCAAAAGTTTAGCCACCGGGCAGGATTCGAACCTGCGACCACCTGCTAGTTGTTGCTAGGCGCTTTCGCTCACTATATGCAGGAGCTCTACCGTTGAGCTACCGGGGCATCGACTAATGCTTTCTCTTTTTCCTTTTTAGATCGTTTATCCCCCGCCTAAGCGTTTTAAATGCTGCTAGGTGAATCATCCTTACAATTCTTATCAACTTTTAGATATAAACAAATGTTAAATCTTTGGTTATTTTCTATTTAAAACTTTAAAAAATATCTTTTAAAATCACACACTAACAATGAGAAATGTTTTTAACCGTGCTTAGCATTTTTAGCAATCTAAGTAAAGAACAGATGCATATCCTTCCAGTTAGAGTTCAAATGTGTTGAGGTTTTAACAAGTTATATACTTATAGTTAAACTTAACATCCAAAGAGGAAAACAAAAATGCGTTAATCAAAACGGGACACGCCCAAAACAACGCGCGGCCATAACAACGCAAAGCCATATCTTGCTTCAAGATTTCCGAATCTTGTCAAATTTAGTGTTAAACGATTCCTCTCATCGAGCTAGAGATTGGTACCAAAAATTGTTAAGGGCAAGTAATTTTCCAGCTAGGTATGACTTTGCGTTGTTATGGCCGCGCGTTATTTTGGGCTGTACCCAATCAAAACCACTGATAAATTTTAAAAATACTTTTCCGATTTTTTCCGATTCTCAAGTTGATTTTATTGGAATGTTTCAGATTTTAGAAAATTTCACTTAGCTTCTATTAAGCCTTATTTTCACAAAAAGCGTCTGGCGATTACAAGTAACATTCAAAAGGAAAGACATTCTCAATGATATCTATTCTTAATATCTAAAGTCGCAAGGCGCAAAACGACTTATATACCAGTAGCAAATTTCCAATTTAAATTCAATTTAATTTATACGTTTTTTTAAATTCAATTTCAAATTTGCCATCATAAATACCCAGATATTATTCTCCAATGTTATTTAAATAGGTGAATATACATGTTGAGAAAAAAGTGAGATTATAACTCATGTGATTGTAACTCGATAGGTTGAAAAGCAATACTAACCAAATGTTTTCAAAGTTAATCTAGCTTAAAATTGGGCAATGGAAAAAGATACAATTTAGTAGAAACAAATTTTGCACTGACAAAGAGCAGCAAGCGTAAAAACTACACTCTATGAAGCATTGAAAAAGATAATGATGGATCATTTGACAGCTTGGCTCATTGTTTGTTATCAATATTTTGAGATGAAGCACTAGTCGGTTTTGACCTGGATTAGTCCTTACATTGTTTTTTAATTAGAATTAATAAATGATCACAAGTTGGCTATCACAAAGCTATAAGGTTAATTTTTAAGGAATTATCAAACAATAAATGGGGAAACAAATGAAATATTAAATTGATGTCTAAAACGTGAAACTTCTCTATAGCTATATTAAAGCGAAAGCTTATGGAAATTATCACTAGTAACGATTGAAAATATAATAACTATTAAATGATGAAAAACAAAGACTAAACGAAACTGTTAAGATCAACTTTGTTATGAATCTACCATACTAAAGTGGGTTACGCTTAATTTACTAACATAAAATGTAGATAAAATATAAGGCATTTATAGACGTGCACAGAGACAAGGTTAATTTATCAGAAACACAACTAGTATCAAAAATCCTCAAGAATAAATGTTAGTTGATAAATCAATACTGATTAAGTGATCACAAGTTAGCTATCGCCAGAATACAACGGGTGTTGGTGAGATAAACGCACAATAAAAAAAGAATGACAAGAAAAATCAGTGATTGGGAACTGATCAAAATCTGAACTAGAAAACTTAGTCAACATGAAAAACTGATGATTATATTCCTATCATTTTTAAATAAACCTTCAGAGAATTATAAATACCGAAAATCAGGAAAAACAATCGTCATAGAAACGGTGATTCAGTGGTAGAATGTTCGCCTGCTACGCGGGCGGCCCCGGTTTTCCCGGCAGTTGCACCAGTTTTCTACGGCTATTATGGTACTACAAAGATATTTCATAATAATTATAAATTTTGAATGATTTTTTTCGGTACATTTTTTCGTTACTTTACTACCCCCGCCCCCACCCCTCCCATTCGCAGGTTATATTTTATATTTTTACTTCCAATGTAAATTTCTCCTTTATTCAATTCACTCAATTTTCCCTGTGGGATGTTCAAAGAGACATTAATAAAAAAGATAATTTCTTACAAAGTTTTCCCTTCAATCAATTTCCCCTAGAAAGGAGGAAGTCTGACCATTCTGTACGTATGTATGGAAAAATATAAAATATATCCTGCGAATATATGGGAGGGGTGTGGCAGAACCGAAAAGTACCCTTTTTCAAATAAAAAACAAAGTTTAACAAAAAGGAGAAAAATTATTATTTTGAATTAAGTGAATACTTTACTTCTAGGAAGGGGGAAATAAAGCTTAACTTTTTTGTTGGGAACCCCGACTAACGAATTTGGAAATGAAAAACTCGGGAATCTCAAATCGAAATCGTTATTTTCACTTTGAATTTTTAACTAATTTTTGATGAAAAACAATATCCTCAAGAATTTCGTATCAGATTCGCGAATCTGAGTCTTTGGTCTCGTGCTACCTTTGTTAAGACACACCTTCTCGACACTAAGACGAATAAAAGTTCAAGAAACGAAATCAGATGACAATTAAGAATTTTCAAAAGATAGCCAATTTTAACAAGTTATCGCCTCAACATTTATACACATTCGTTAAGACTATAATAATTATAGCAAAACTATTCTCAATACAGCAGATATAGCATATGTCAAAATCTACCATATTTCCGAAAAGCAATCTCACAATCTGTCAGTCTTATCGAAGATGTCAGTGAATTGTCTGACGATAAACAAGCTCTTGCTAGAAAATACAAAGATTTCAACAAGATCCGAGTAAACTTTAATAGAAAAATTAGTTTTCCAGATACTTTTAGTACCAGATGGCTAGGAAACCAATGAAAAAAAGGATTAATATCTTATCGAAAGTAAAGACTGTAATTCAAAAATTAAATTTTAAAGCTGACTTTAGAAAAGATGTAATGCGTTAAAGTTAGGATTTACTTTATAATCCTATATATAATTTTTTACAAGTTACATACCTTTATAAATAAACGTCAAACTAGACTCAGAAAAACAGAATTACAACCACATTCAATATTTATGAAAAATACAACTCTCAGTTGAATACTACTTTGTTAGAAAAACAAAACTAAAACGAAGACAAACATCCAACCGTCGACTTTAAAAGAATATAAAGCTGGTTTTACTAAAAGAACCACCATCAGTAAAGTGAATATTGAAGAGTAGGCTGTCTTTATAAATGGTTGGAAAATGAAAAATGTTAAAGGAAAGGGCGGCCGCTATCGGAAATCAATACTATTCGATGTGAATGGATGTAAAGAATTTGAAAAATAATTCACGGCTGTGTTAGCAAAGCCCAAACGCAGCCTTGTATAATAAAATTGATACGGTACTTAACAGTAAACATAAAGAGAGATTAGAGATATGAAGAACTACTAGTTGTTTTGGTAACAACCAGCTGACGAGATTAGAAAAGCATTATCGGGGGGGGGGGGTTACAATTGATGAAAACAAAAAGTGAAAATCTGTTATATTTTAAAATAAAAAGAACTAGAGATAGTAGTGAAAAATACATACATATAAATTATGAAATACTATGTGTGTATAAGGGAATAACTTTCAAAAAATTTTTAACTAATAAAAGTGGAGGTAGATTTCATCATTTTTCTACCGTTAGACCAAAAATCAGTGAAATGAATTACATTAAAAAATTTACTCTAAATAAATTAATTACTTTACTTTTATTCCTCATGCTGACCTTTTAGTAAATCTATGATGAAGAATCTAACAGAGTTCAGGGTTAGATTCTACGAATTACAACCGTTTTTGGATTACAATTACGAAAAAATTCGGAGCCACATTTTTACACCCCAAGTTTTTTCACTATTATAACAGTTAGCCCTTGCCTATTTTGATCTGCTATGCTATATAGAAAAAGAAAAAGACGAGAATGTTCAGATTTTCCTTCCCTTCATCCTTCCAAAACGGAAAAACCGTTGGCAAAATACAAAAGAGGAAAAAGAAGGGAGAAAATAAAGTCTGACCATTCTATAAATTCAGAGGCAAAAACTTGGGAGAGAAAAAGACGGACTGAAAACAACAATTTTGCCAAAAAATTGAACAGGAAAAGGAAGAGAAATAATTTGGATATAATGGCACGCGGCGCTAAAAATAAGTTTTACGCGACTTTGGCAAGATACCTATATTCTATTTTGAACATTTGTGTTTATATTTAGATATTTAAAATAAATTTTTCTAAAAACATACTCGGTGTATCCAGTCTTTTTGAGCACATCTTTAGCCAAAGAGTGAGCAAAGCGAAATCTATCCCTTTCAGTATCGGCAACCTTCTGGTACGAATCTTTAAGTTTGCTGTTTTCATCATCAAAGAATCCAATAACACTGACGTCATCACTATCAATAAACTTCTCAAATTCTTTAACAGTTTTCAACTCCTTTGAGCTTGGGCCAGATTGTCCTCGCATATACTAAAAATTTTACAAATAAATTTTCATTTCGTTTTAACAATCTTATTCAAAAATTACCTTAACAATTCCTTCAGCTTCACGTGGACCATCATACTCCGACGCGACATCGCCATGTCTGAAGATTTTAAGTGTTGGAAAACCTCCTACTCCAAATTTATCACAAGTCGCCTTCTCCGCTGTGCAATCAACCTTGAAAGTATATAAGGTTAGAAAATAAATAATCTATTCCAAACTTTAATTAGAATAATCGGCGGATCATTGTTCTTCAATTTAGTAGCGGCCTTTTCATAATCAGGAGCTAACTAACAAAATTATCCGTTAAAAACAAAAGAGATTAATTAATCTACCTTTTTGCAATGTCCACACCAGGGAGCATAAAATTCAACTAAAGCAACATCGTGTTTCTTTATTTCTTTGTCAAAGTTGGCATCGGTATACACGAGAACATCACTTGAGGTTGCTATTGAAGCAATTTTTAATAAGATAAACAAAAATAATATTTCTTTAAACATCTAAAAGTTTAATTAAAAATTAGAGAAGAGGAAAGGATGAAGAATTCTCCGAAAGTCAAAAATTTCCAATTTCTAAAAGTTAACGTTAAAAAAATTTTTTAATGGAAAAACCAAGTAAAAGAGAATTTACAAAAATGTGGCAATAGACAACAAAGTGAGAAAAGTCTCAAGCAGACAAAAATAAATACTGACGGTCCCAAAACTAAAACCTTCACAATGATAGGAACGGAAATAAAAATGTTCTCGAAATTTGCACTTATCAAGAAAAAAAAGTATTTGCATATAATTGGGTAGTTGTGGATTATTTGACGTCAACTTCAACGTATTTTAAATTGTCATTTAATAAAAAAAGAAATTAAAAACGAAATAGTACAAAGAAAGAAGAGAACATGAGAGAAAGAGAGAAAAAATTTTAATTTGTTTCGAAACGAATTTTGTGTTCTGTAATTATTATTTTGAAACGAAACCGATAATTTTATTTTTTTAATCAATTTTGAGGGGTTTTTTATTCAGATTTTTATTTATTCTTGAAGATGACCGATTCTGCAAGCGAAGATGAAACTGTTCAGCTTATTGAGCTTAAAGTAAAAACAATTAAAGAAACATACCAATTGAGTGTTCGTGAAAATACAAACATTGAAAAGGTAATTTCTTTGTTATTAAATTATATTTTCTTTAAATTTTTAGTTGAAAATACAACTTTCTGAGAAAATCAATCAACCGACAGAAAAAATTTGTTTAATATTTTCTGGTAAAATTCTTAAAGATCATGAGACGTTGAAGGAGCACAAAATCGTTGATGGTTGGTTATTTTAATATTTATTTTGGTAATGTGGTACTTCTTTCCCTCTCCCCTTTTTTTCCTCGAAATAATAAAATCGACAAACTTAAAACGGAGCACAAACATTAATCTATAGCTATAAGTACCCGTTCTGCAACCAATTCCAACGCTGGGTGTGTGTACCACTACTATTTCCAATAGTTTTGCGCCATTCATAAAATTTTTAAGGGGGTATAAAGTCATCCAGTTCAATGTACACAAGCACACTACCAGACCATTGGTTCTGAAAATCAGAACGGGTATTTATATTCCAGAGTAATTTGTACCACATTTTAAGTCTGACCGTTTAAAATATTTTGAGGAAAAAAAGAGAAGGGGGGAACGAAGTCCAATTTTACCTTTATTTTTTGTAAACTATACAAGTATTTTTTAAAATTCCTTTTCTAATACATTTCATTCAAAACTGGATTTAAACTTACCTATATTTCTTTAATTGGTTTTGCATCTTTCTCTTTCAGGAATGGTTATTCATATGGTTATTAAAAATCCTCCAACAACTTCATCACGCGAGTCTACTCCTTCATCTGCTTCCTCGACTTTAACAGGGTCACAAACCACTGCAACCGCTGGAGCTCCAGGTTCCGCGCCCGCTTCTGGCCCATTTGGTGGAATTGGAGCAATTTTAAGCAATCCGATGGTTCGTGATATGATGAACAGTCCACTTGTTGAAAAGTATTTAATAATTTTTTTATTTAAAAAAATTAATTTTTTACTTTTAATAGTTTTCTGAGCAACCCAAATATGACAGATATGGTGCGCAATTTATTAGCTGACAACCCACAATTTCAACAAATAATCCAGAACAACCCAGACTTGGGCCATATTCTCAACGATCCTCGAATTATACAACAAACTCTAGAAATGGTTCAAAATCCGAATATGTTTAATGAATTGATGCGAAATCACGACCAGGCCATCCGTAACATACAAGTATATTTTCAAATTGTTCTGATATTTCTAAAATCTTTCTTTTAGGGAATTCCTGGAGGTGAAGCAGCCCTTCATAGAATGTATCAAGAAGTTCAAGAACCTTTGATGAATTCTGTTCTTGGTGATGCTGGTACTGGTCAATATGCGGCGAATAATACTCAAGCGCAAAATGGCTCTCAAAATGGTCAAAATTTTTGTCAAAATTCTTATAGGATTAATCTTTAATCATGCTAAAAAGTTTTTTCAAAAATTTTTAAAACGTCTTGATTTACCTATAAGTACTCTCGAGTTTAAAATGCTTATTGTTAGCACTTGTTTATCCCGATAATTTTTCATATTTTAGTTTCTTCACGAAGTCAACATGCGGGAGTGGAAAATGCGGAGGCTTTGCCCAATCCTTGGTCTCGGGTTGTGAATCAGCCATCTCAGCAGAACACTGGAGGAACAGCTGGTGCTGGAGCAGCGGCCGGCGCAGCTGGATCTCCATTTGGTATATTTAAATAGCTTTTTTCTTATTTTAAATTGTCTTTTTAAAGCTATGATGAATACACCTGGTATGCAAAGTTTAATGCGTCAAGTACTTTCCAACTCGTCAACGGTTGAATCCCTGCTTAGTTCAGCAAATATGCAGCAATTTGGGCAAATGATTGGAAACCCCGCAATGGCAGAACAAATGCGATCACTTATGACTAATGCAAATCCACAACTTTTCCAAGCAATGGCAAATCCTCGAGTTTTCACTGCTATGACACAAATGCATCAAGCTATGCAAGTGCTTAATGAGGAATGCCCTCAACTTTTTTCCTCAATGTTGTGAGTTTTTTTTCTTTTTTTTTGGTCTGAAAGTTAAAAAGGGTTCATTTATTTGCTTTTTTATTTTTTAATATTTTTCAGAGGTGGTGATATGTTTCGAAATTTGGGAGGAATTCTAGGCTCTGCCAATCAGCAGAATCAGCCACCAACAAGTGAAGCAAGCGCTGCAACTGGAGTACAAGGAACAAATTCAACAACTCCACAATGGTAAATTTTATGTTTTTATTGTTTTCATTATTCAATCATTTTTTAGTCCTGTTGTTCAGCCTACTGCAAATGCTACCTCTCAAAATCCCGCCATGCCTGCTGGTTTTGCTGAATTGTTGGGATCTATTGCATTGATGAATGTTGGGAATGTAATTAATTTTAATGTTTTTGTAAATCTAATAAGAAAATTTTTTTAAGATGCAGAATGCTGGTAATACTGGAGCCGCCGATCGCCAACCCCCTGAAGAGCGTTACCGTCCACAACTTGAACAGTTAACAGCAATGGGTTTTACAGATCAACAGGCAAATGTCCAAGGCAAATTTTTGTTTATATAAAATTTATTTTTATAATTATTTTTTAGCACTTCTAGCAAGTTTTGGGGATATTAATATGGCTATTGAGCGTTTATTGGCAGGTGGACTTTCACCAGGAGGGGGTGATTCTCCTAATGATAATGGGGGGAATGTTGAAAGAACTGATTGAATATAATTAAAAATTTAAAGAAAATATGATTTTATTCTTTATTATATACGTTTTTATTAAAAAGAATTTTTTAAACTTCATTTATCTATCCTTTAGAAAATGACAAAAATAAAATTTAAATCTTTAATATACATATTATATATTGGGGAACGTGCTAAAATAAAAAAATAAATTCTCTATCTCGGGGAACGGGACGGCACGTTCTCTGTTATATACCAGGGATCTAGCCGACAAAAAATTAAATTCTCGATTTTAGGGAAATGGGCCGGCTAGATCCCTGTTATATACACATGTGGGTAAAATTTTTGTTTAAATAATAAGAACTTTAATTTTTAAATAAATTTGTAAATAACGTTAAAATACAATAATAATTTTCTCCTTACGTCATCCTTTTCTTACAATTTCTATTCTATAAACTTTTGTTCTCAAATTTTTAAGAAGGCTAATTATTTTTAGAATTGCGTGTTTTTTTAAGAAAATAACTTTGAATGTGTCTATTTTTAATGTTAAAACATAACATCAACACTAGTGGTGTGCCAAAACAAAAATTAAAAAGCAATACGCGAAAAGTGGAAGAGCTAAATCAAAATATTGAACCTTGAATTTATATCTCATTAAGACTGAAAAAGGAGAGAGATAAAACTGTGAGACACTCACTATTCAAATTCTTATCAAATATTTATCTAAAAAATAAATTAAACTTAAATACATCATTTCTCTATTTATAATTTCATTTAATTTATCTTTTTTTGAGACTTTTTTTTTGAGCCATGCAGAATAATAAAGATTGTTGTTTGTGAGAATATTGTTTAAGTGTATAAATTAAAATATATTAAATGCGGGTGCATAACTAATAAAAAAAATTTACTAAAAATTTACTTGGTTTCATTTTTTTAGAAAATTTTTTCTGTCTAAAATAAATTACTCTTGTCCCTATCTTTATGTCGACGACTGTATGTACTAATTCTTAATATACATAATTATTCAATTATGTTTTAAATTTCTCTTTTTAATTAACTACTTTTCAGCTGTTAATTTTTATCGAAATGAATTTTATAATTTCCTAATAATATGTTTTAGTCTGCCATAAGCATTTAATAATTTAAGAAAGAATTTCACCTGCCCTATAATTTGAAAATTTTAATTAGGCAGCCCCCTATTCCCAATAATTGTTTCATAAATTTTTTTATAAGAAATTTACTATTATTAAAATAAGCCTTATAATTTTATAATTGGAAATAAAAAATCACTCAAACAAACTTTCACCTTCCAATATAAATTATTAACCGATAATTGCGGGTCCGAAAATGTAGGATAACCTCACTTTTACGATAGCCTTAACCACAAATTTTTCTGCACGAGAGCAAAGTACAAGTAGGGTTCGATTGTATTAATCTTTCGTTTATTCACAATTCTGAATTTAATCTAAAAATTTATAGAAATCCTTTTTAATTAAAAGAATATTTTTTAAATGTCCCAAAATAATTCTTCTCCCGCTCCAAATATGGATTTAACGACAGGAACACTTTACACATATACTTTTATACGGTAAATGTCCAGTTGGCGGTCCACATGTCCGCAAAGAGAATCTGCTTTTTTCTTTCCTTTTCTTGCATTTTTTGCGTCGGTAGCTTTTTTTTAATTAGGGTATTTTTATTTTTCAAGTATGAACAGGAAAACATACTGTATTGAGAAGGAAAAGTGGCAGAAAAGGAAAAATGAGTGGAGCACTTCTCCCAACGCAAAAAATGCAAGAAAAGGAAAGAAAAAAGCAGATTCTCTTTGCGGACATGTAGACCGCCAACTGGACATTTACCCTTTTATACTTACATTAATGCAACAATTTTATGGGACTATAGGCTTTATTTTTGATGCTTCTATTGTTTATGTAACGATTAAAAATAAGTGAGAAAGGAGCTTTTTGGGTTCTTTTAAGAAAAATTTTTTCAGATCTTTACATAAAAGTTATGGTTATTTGTTAGGAATATGTTCATTCTTCAATACTTTAATGGACACTACAAATTTCCTTCCAACATTTCTTGTTTTAATTAAAAAACAAATTTCAATGAAAACGTGTTTTTGGTTGCAGGCATATGGCTCTGTACTTGATATTAATGCTCCTTTTTGTTTATTATTTATTAGTCTTGATAGACTTTTGTCTTTTGTTAAACCAACTTTGTAAATTTATTTTTAAAATTTTAAAGTTAAATAAACCACAAAAAACTAATTCTTTGATGGGTTGGGGTTTGATTCTTAGGAGAAATTAAGTGCAACTCTTGGAAAGGGAGGCTCGGTTTTTATCTGTATATATCAGGTGTGTGCCTTTTCGCCTTCCGTCTTTCACCAAAATTCCGCCTTTTTTCGCCTTTCGATTTTTAAAATCTGTTTCGGCACATCCCTGGTATATAATGTATTTAAATTGCCTTTTTTGCCATTTCCTCTCACTTTCAGATTAGGAATACTTTAGAATGGCATTTGTAGTGGAGAACTGAGATTATGATTATAGAGGGGAATAATTATTATTTAGATTTTAACATTCAATCTTTCAAGTTTTTTTCCAAAAAATATTAAAAAAAATTTTTTCATTTAAAGTTATTTAAATGGATTAAATAAAAAAGCTTTAATTTATGTTCTACTAGCAAATTCATGTTCAATTTTTTATGTTCTCCTTTTAGGATTTTTTGCTTACAGAGATATTTTAGAACAAAATAAGTTAATTAATTTTGATTAAAAGAATAAATTCTCTTTTTTCTTTCTAAAGTATTTTAACTTTTTGTGAACCGGGAGATATTTTTATGGATTCAATGCAAAATATACTTTCATATTCTTTATTTGTTCCTATTTTTATTTCATTAATTGTTTATTTAATAATTCTGAAATTAATTAAAGGTAAATTTAAAAGACTCTCGGCAATCAAAAACTTGGGGATTTGATCGGATATAGCTACGGACATAAAAATCCGTTAGCTATTATTTTTAGATTTCCTACCCTTTTTATGTCTGAAATACCAAAAAATCTAAAGGACTTCCTCGGGGTTTTAATGGATCTTTGTGCCTATATTATAGATTGGACTGCGACAAGGATCCATATTTAGAAAAATATCAATTTGTTAACTGGAAGTTTAGACCGATCGTCTATAGTCCGATCTCTAGCCTATGCTAACCCTTTTATTTTTAAAACTTGAATGTCAATTAATAAATTAAACAATTTTTTAAGTTCACATTAAAAAACTAAAAATTCATCAAATGACCGAACAAATTAAATTTAATCATCAAATAATTAAATCTCTTCTTTTAATCGTTTCAATTATGATGATTAGTTATATAACATTTAGTATTTCACTTCAAATTGTTCCTCTATTAATTTCTGATTCAGCTAGTCAATATTTTATTATTCATCTTTCTGGCCAAATTTTGGCTATTGCAAGTATTGTTGATGCTCCTGTTTTGTATTTTTGTAGGTAAAAATATTTCCTCTTTTTTTAGGGAAAATCAAAAAAAAACTTGAGGGAAGGGAAAGTCATTTTTGTCATCAATCTTTGAATCCATTTAAAATCCCTTTTTTAAAAAAGATTTCATTAATCAAATCTCTCCCAAATATTCATTCCCGTATTTTTAATTTAAAAAGAATTTAAAGAATTGTTTTAATAAAAAATAGCCTCCACCCTTAATTTCTCCCTTAAAAAATAAAATATTGAAAAATTTTTAAATTTATTTTTAGTTCTGAATATCGTAAAGCAATGCAGAAAGATCTACCCTTAGTCAAAAAACTTGCAATTTGGATTTCGAATTTTAAATAAATAAAAATAAATAAATTTTAGAAATTTTTATTTTTTTTTTAAATTTACATAATTATTTTTTAATGAAATTATTAACAAATAATACATATTTGCACTTTTAAAAATAAAATATTGACAAATAAATGACTAGACTATAATTTAAATTTTATTTAGAAATATGCACTTATTTTGCACTTTTTATTATTAAAGTATTTGTCTCCTTCAGCTAGTGCAAAAGGTTATTCGGCAGCTGGGAGCGTACCAGCATCTTCAGTAGACCGGACTGATGTGTTAGCCATTACACCACGCCGCCTACTTATAGCCTTAGGAATTTATAAGCTTACATTATTTATTCTTTCAAAATTTCGACTTTAGTCAAAAAATTCTTTGGAGAATATTTTTTAATTTAAAGAAAGAAAAATTAAAGTGGAAATTAAAATTAAAAAATTAATTTTTAATTATATTCGAAAATTAGAAACAAACAAATTTAATTAAAAAAATTATTTCCTAATTTATTTAAATTCACGTCAAATTATTCTACGCCCAAACATTTAAATTTCATAAAAATTTGCACTTTAAAACTTGCCCTTAAATAAATAGTGGAGTCAAAGAATATATTGTTAGACATTTATTTTTAAATAAATTTTTTAAAATAAAAATATGTTAATTAAATTAATTTTATTAATTATTATTAATCAAAATGTGTCTATGGATTGGAATAGTGGTGGTGGTGGTGGTGGGGATAATATAGTAAATATTTGTTTAATTTAAATTTAAAAAATAGATTATTAATTAAATTTATTTAATAATTATTATTTAAATTTACATCTATTAAAAACAAGGACTTGGGAAATGGATCTGGAAAACCCCCCATTGAAACACATTTTCTATTCATTTTATCCTTAATTTCACCATTAATATATACTAGAGACCGGACCGTAACGAGATCTCGATAGAAAATCTCGGTTATCGAGATCGAGAATACTTCGAGATCTCGATTCTTGTACGACATTCTCAGTCCAGTCTCTAAAATACATACAATAAAATATTTAATTATTGTTGAGAAGTTAGTTAACATTAAAATTTAAAAATAAATCTAAAAATTCACTCCCCAAATATTAAAATTCAACTTCTAATTTAATTAATTTATAGCTTCATCATTTGGCGAAAATTCAAACAAATTTAATTAAATTTAATTTAGAATTCGATTCAAATCAAAATTGGAATGAATTAAATGATTATTTTAATTCAAATTTAAATTTAAATAATTTATTTAATGATTTGCCGAAGGATAATAATTATTATAAAAATTCTCCGATAATTAGAAAATTAAATAAATTATATAATTCAATTTCGTCGCTTTTGGAGAACAATATTACAGGCCCAAAGTATTTAATATTAAATTAAAATTTCAATAGGAAGGGAAAAATATTTTTTTATTTCCTTGTTTCATTTAAGAGTTTCTGTGTTTTCCCTCCACATATTTTTCTCCTTTAATTAAAATCTTAGAAAAATTTGTATGAAAAAGCTTGAGAACATTTAAAAAATAAAATTAAAATTCGTATTAGAAATTCAACAAAAAAAGAAAAAGCAATTGCTAGCAGTAGCAGTAATTATGTGCCATTATTGGGAAAACAAAACGAGGAGAATATAAAAAAATTAGAAGAATATATAGTTAAAGCTAATAAATTATTTTTACCAACGAAAGATAATGATTTAAATTATTTAAAATGTTTTTACCCTCTTTTGGAATTTGAACAAGTTGAGGAAATTAATTTTGAATTTGAAGAAGCTAATGTACTTATATAATTATTTTATTAAAAAAATAAAAATTATTTTTTTTTAATTTTAAATTATTATAACATAATGGGGATTAAGCGACGCCCAATAATTGCTGGAAACTGTCCGGCCTTTATTAATTTTGGTACCAACCTCCTTAGCTCGATGAGGAGAATCGTTTAATACTTATTTGTTAAGATTATGTAAGGATGATTCACCTAGCAGCATTTAAAACGCTTAGGCCGGTTCTACCAATGAAAGCATTTGGTAGAGTCAGTGGTAGAGTTCCTGTATATGGTGACAGGAACTAAGCTTTGGCTAAACTCTTTCTAGTAGGAAATCTTGAAGCAAGTTAGGTTTTTGGGCGTATCCCTAAATTAATATATTCTGGTAACAATTTTAATTTTCCAGATTGCCCTTCTCTTCTCAAAAATATTATTTTTGGCTGATAAATTTGATAAAAATATTCGTAAAAATATTCGAAATAATAATAATCTAGATTTATATAAATATTTTAATTCAAATTTCAAGCATGTAATTGATCAATTATTACCTAAAATAAAAGATAAATCACAAAAATTACATTCAATTTATTTAATTATTAATCGGTTTTTAAATAATGTAACTAATAATATTGGCGGAGATAAACAATTATTATTATATATTAATTATATGAAAATGAGTTTATTGTCAAATGAACGAAATTATAATAAACAAGAGGAATATTTAAAAATATTATTAAATTTATAAGAAGAAAGAAAAGAAAGATTTTTGTAAATTTTCTTTTAAATTTTTGATTAACAATTAATCAAGATTAAAGAAATATTTTTAATAATTATGTATATTATTTCTTTAATTTAAATATTTTCAACATAAATAAAGACACCATAAATTTTTTCCATTAAATAGCCAACCAGCTTTACTTTGAGCTTTTTCTTCTTTTTGTTTATTAATACAATCTTCAGAATTTTGTAATGGACATAGTTTTGTTTGGTGAATTAAAGTTTTACAATTTGCATTTTGAGGGCCACTTGAACCTCCCAACCATTTTCCAATTACTGGAATATTTCCCAAACATACTGAACCTTTCCCAGAATAAAAGGAAAGAATTAATTCATCTTTTTTAACTTTTGCTTGAATAAAGCCACCAGTTGACATACTAAACCATTCATCTGCTTTCCACCACCAATGTTCTGCTGGGTAACTATTTGGAAATTTATTATAATTTATTTGTAAAAAAGAGGAAAATATTTTTGAATTTTAGAAAAATAGAATTTTAAAAATTAAATTTTGATGGGGTTTAGATATTTAAATAATTTTGGAAAGGTTACCCTACATATAAATCCAGACTTTAGCGTTAAACTTTGGACGGTCATAACTCGGGGCAAAGTCATTTTGGAGAAAAACGGATATCACTTCGCAACGGGAAGTCGGGGGTCCTCTATCGAATGGTACCACAAATATATCGAATTCACACTGACAAGGAAACAATGTTTACTTGTCAGGCCTCTTTTTTTATTAAAAAAATAAAATCTTTTAACTGTACTAAAACTTTAGCTCCTTCATTTTTACTAAATTCATCCCAATGATGCTGACTTCTATCAGTTGCTGCTCCAGCACCAGAAACAATATAATTTAAAATTTTATTATCATTTTCAACAATTAAATGTTGCAAATTATGGTCATGTCCACTTAAATAAGCAGAAATTTTAGCTTCTTTCATTTTTAAATCCAGATCTTTTAAACATTCATAAAATGAACCATGTCTACCAACTGAATATATTGGATAATGTCCAGCAACAAAAACATATGTTGCACTTGAAGGAGAACTTCTAAATATTTTTTTAAATTTTTTTCTTCAATAATTCTGTTAAATAATTTACATATATTTATTTAATTCCCCAATAATCCAATCTTTTTGTTGTCCAGCAAAAGATTCTTTATCTGGAATTGGTGTATGTGGATTGCTATTTCTTGATTCACTAAACACCCAATTTATTATTCTATCGCCAACAACATCTTCTGTCATACCACAAAGTTGAACCTACCAAAAATTAATTAATTTTATATAAAACACTCATTTCTTTAGGGTATTCTAAGAGGTCTAACAGAAAATTAAAAAAAACATTTTATAAAAAAACCAACAGTATCAATCATAAGAAAATCGAGGGAAATTGTTGTTTTTAATTTTTTAGCTCCAAATTCATATCTAATTTTATACCAAGGTTCATTAGCATTTTTACCAGGGAATGTCCTTAAATTAAAAATTTTTTTAAATTTAATTTTTATTTTTAAAACCATCTAGTACTCCTATTTGTATAATCAATTTCGGCTTGTATATTTCCATGATAATCGTGATTACCAGGAATTGAAAACCAAGGAACACCAAGTGTTTTTTCTTCATAAACATCTTCGAATGTTTTCTGAAAATTTTTTTCAAAAAAATTTTTTTTAAATTTCTTTACTTGAAAACGTTCATCATTAATATTTTTTACCCCATTCATATAAAAATTATCCCCTAAATTAATTATAAATGCTGGCTGATCATCTGCTGCTAATTCACTCATTGCAGAAGAAACACTTCTTTGAGCATGTGTAGAATAAGGAAAAACTGGTGACCAAAGTGAACTTCCTTAAAATAATTTTTATTTTTAAATTACATACATACAGAAATACCTCCCATGTCCCCAATAATATAAAATAGGGTTGGTCCCCGACCCCGACTAACCCCGACCCCGACCCCGAACCCCGACATTTTTTGACCTAAAACCCCGACCCCGACCCCGACATTCCCAACCCCGAAAACCCCGACCCCCGAAAGTTCGACCCCGACGACCCCGAACCCCGAAAAATTTTTATGCCCCCGACTAAAACTGCATTAATTAACTAGAGATCGGAACGGGATCGGGACTTTGATGCTAAATATATGAAGGAAAAGGGAAAGGAATATTTATATTTTCTCCTGTTTCCCTTTGTTGGTCGATGGTTGAGTGGTTAGGTTAACTGACTTCAGCCATTTAGCTATTTTGATAGGAATGTTGTTCGAATCCAGGGATGGAAATAAGGCTGAGAAAATTTTTCTTCTCAAAAATAAATATTTTTAAACTATGATCTTGATTTTAAATTTGTAAATTTATTTTTTTAAATATTTTAAACTTGAAACAATATTAGAAATTTTAAACTAGTCATGAATTTTCCAAAATTTTCGCCTGCGGCGCAGAAAATTGAAGAAACCTGTCTCTTGGCCTTCCAAAATTCTAAAAATTTTTGCCTGCGGCGCCGAAAATGGAAGAAATCTGGCTCTTGACCTTCCAAAATTCTCAAAATTTTGCCTGCGGCGCTAGACACAATGAAGGGATACAGAGGCTTTAGGAGAAATTGATGGATAGATGGATTTCTCCCGTTATCCTTGCAACTCCCCGATATCCCGTCAAATCCCTCTAAATCCCATTATATCCATCTTTTTCCTCTGATATGCCTTCATATCCCCTCAATCCCTTTACATAAGAGGTGGAGTAAGAGTTACCTTGTGGGTTTGGGGATTTTGGGGATTATGAAGGATAACTTGGATAAAGTACTTCTTGCGCCTTCAACTAATCACGAATTAGATACAGAAAGTGAAGATAATGAAGATTAAGTTGATTTTTTAATAAAAATGTTGATTTTGAACAGTAATTTTGGATAAAAATGCTGGATTTTGTAAATTTTCACTTCAACCCCGACCCCCGACCCCGACCCCGAACCCCGACATTATTTTCAGCCCCGACCCCGACCCCGAACAATTTGAGCAACCCCGACCCCGACCCCGACTTTGTCAACCCCGAAAACCCCGACCCCCGACTTTTCCAACCCCGAAGGCTCGGGGACCAACCCTAATATAAAAATTTAATTCTTCTTTAGAATCAAAAAAATCTTTTTTACAAATAACATCATTAAAGTTTGAATCACGAGGATTTTTGGTACAAATAACTCGTTGTTTCGGATCACTAAATCGGTAATTTGAGGTTTGTTCACTTATAAGTGAACGATCGCCTTCTTTGGCATTTATAAATAATAATTGTAAAATAATATAAAATAAAAATAATTTTTTCTTCATTTTATTTTAAACTAGAGAAAAAATAAGGTTATAATTAATAAGAATTAATTTTTATTTAGTAATTCTTTAATTTAAAAATAATCTATTTAATATAAGATGAAAAACAAAATAAATTTTTCCTCCCATTTTTATTTTCTTATTTAAAAATTAAAATATCTAAGTCTATTTAACAAATTTGTTTAATGCAGATAAATTAATCTTTTTTAAATTACTCTTATTCATTTAATAATAATTCCTTTTTTATTTCTAGCCGGTTTTTAAATTTATTTAATAGTTGTTTTTTTGCATTTAATTAATTAATCTTAAAAATTAATTTTAAAAATAATTTTATTGTAAAAAATTACTTTTTTTAAATATTATTTAAAAAATAATTTTTATTTAAAGATATACCTCCAATATTGTTAATCTTTTATTAATAAATACTAAATAAACACGTTCTTTTTTTAAATAAAATAAAAAAGTTTATTGAACATTAATTGTTGATCAAAATAATAATAATAAATTAATATATTTGGGTAATTGAATTCTTAAATAAAGTTAAAATTAATTTGTAAATATAACAATTCCCACAAGAATAACTCTGAAGTCGAGTTAAAAAAAGAAATCAAAATAAGGAGAAAGAAAGTTGTAAAGAGATGGAATATTGTTAAATGAACAAAACAAGAAGAATTCGGGTGTTTTTTTAGCTTTGCTTAGAATTGTTCAGAATTTTTTTGATTTCAGATTCAAGAAGCAGCATTGACTTTAAAATGTCGTTGTCCGATGTTCCACTAAATGTGCGTCATTTTGAGTAAATGTCGTTTCGTGGAATTTTTTAGTTTAGTGCCTGATGACCAGAGAAAGTTTTAGGGTTTTCTCTATTTTTTTTGCAGACTAGTTAAATTTAAATAAATGACATTCATTTAATAAAAAAAGAGTCGATCCGTAAAGGATTCGAAACACCAAATGTAGATTCAAGGGGTTGGTCCCAACTAGGGGTTCGGCAATGGATCTTTTCAATGTCAATACTTAGAATACTGAAAAGTAACGAGTTGGTGCCTTAAGCTACCAAACTCTGCCGAACACTTAATATCCTCAAAGAAGTAGATATCCCTGCTAGAAACAAGTGACACATTGTAAGCCACTAAAATAGACGGGAATATTTTTCCACCCCATCTCTGTGATACTATAAAGGACGGGGAATTAATCGGAATTATTCATCCTCCTTCTTCAACTACTATTATTCTCCATTTTGTCCTCTTCACACAATGCCAACGGTGCGGGAGCAAGATGACGTCGACCATGTTGTCTGCTGCAAACACGGAAAGCCTTGTCAACTCTCATTGCAACGAGTTCCAAAGTCTGCACGTGGTCAAGAAGTCCCAAGATCGCCAGATGTTGGTCGTTGTAGTGGTGGCAGACGCAAGAGACAGCAGCAGCAGTACCATCAGCAGTCGGATAATAACTCGTCCATCACCGACTTAAGAGGGGCAACTCAAGGCAGTATTAGCAGCTCGTCGACCAACTATGAGAACATCCCGGCTGGGGGATTGCCGAATGAGGGTGAGAATTTTTTTTTGTGTTTTTTGAACGTCTTGAACGTATCGAACTTCTTTAAAATTTTTTTTATTTTTTAGCGACTGCTGTTGACATTGGCAGTGGTGGTGGCGGTTCTGCAATTACTAGCGAGACGGAAATCACTGAAGACGAAAGCAATCCTGCGACTGATGAACGCCCTCCAAGCCTGGACTTGTTTCGCCAGAGATTTGAAGAGGAACAACTGTATGAGGACATCCACCACGTGGGGATGCATCGATGTGGACATGCTGCAAAGAAGGCTGCCAAGAAGCCAGGCGAATGTCAAAAGGAGGCTGGGAAAACCAAATCGAGCGAAAAGTAAGAATATAACTGGATTTTATTCTTTAATAATTTTTTTGTTGTTTTAGGTCGCTTGATAGGCCGGTTGCTCCTTCTGCTGCGGGTGTTGCTGTTCCAATGTAAGTTTCTCAAAAAAATTTTTCTTTCAAAAAATTCCTTTCACTTTTTTTAAAGGTCAACTGCTGATGTCAAACGCATTCCTACAGCGGACATGACCAAAAGCAGAGACCTTGTCAACCCTAAGGAGAAGCTGACTGAGTTCTATGCAGGACCGTGCACACCGAGTGAAGCTGAGCGTCAATGTAAAGCTGCCGGCATGTTCCGTCTCTACCATCGAATTGTGGTTGTCGATGAGGATCAGCTGCAAAGTGTTCTGCCGTTGTTCATTGTCTACAGAAATCTGAAGGGAAAATACTGGTAAGTGGGGAATTGAGACAGTCAAGTCTCTCTATAGGAACGCCCTTGAGGCTGAAAAGTCTATAATGAGGGGTATTTTAAATAGAGGGTATCTTTATAATGAGGGGTCTCTCTCTTTTTTCTTGTAACTTAAAAAACAACTAATCTTAAATCTTTTTTCAGTCATGTCCGAATTGTGCGCTGCGGGAAGGACCTCATAAAGATTGATATTGAAGGAGAGCCCAAATTCCGAACGCTTAGCCAGCTAATCACCTTCTACGACATCTACGCGAAATTCGAAGACGATATGAACCCGTTCCCGCGTAAAGGTGGCGAGTCTGTGGATGATGTCAACTAAACAAAAATTGTAAAAGTATATAAAAATGTTAGGTGATTTGTGGGTATATTTGTGTGTGTGTGTGATATGTAAATAAATATATATATTTGTAAATATAATTGTGTGACCCTATTGTTATGTATATTGTTGTGAAATTTGTATTTTTTGTTGTAAATAAATCCTTGATGTCTTGGTATTTTATTTTATCTCCCTCCCCTCCCCATTTGATTAACAAGTTTTGTTCTAAAACTGATTTTTAGAAGAATCAGAACGATAGAGAATAAGTACTTGACTTCCTTCGCTTGTAAAAGTCTAGCTGTTGAGATTAATTTTTGATTACCGTATAACCTGTATTAATTGCCCTCCCTCGAATAATTACCCCCTAAACAAATGCCCTAAAACACGTTTAAATTTTAAATCTCGTATGATTACCCTCCCTCGATTGATTACCCCTCCAGCGGAAGGTCGAAACATTAATTACCCTCGGTAGTTATTAAAGGATATACGTTAGATTAATTTTGTCAAAGTTGGCAAAAAAGTTTTTTGGAGATAATTTTGATTTAGAGTAGTGTCAAACCTTTCTGATATAAATAATACCCAATTCCATGTCACTTATAATAGCTTTGGTCCCGGAAGGGTGATAGTTTAGAAAAGAAGGGAATTCGTTCAGGAAGATGATAATAGAAATTTTTTCCCTGAATAGCCTCTCGTCAGATTTGAATTTAAAAATTACCAACTTTTTTTACCCAAAATTAATTAATTATTTAATTTAAATAATTAAAAAAATATTTTTATTTAAAAAAGTAATAAAAATAATAAAAATAACAGGTGAATGAATGGCTAAATTTAAATGTTTTTTTCAAAAAAAATTTTAATAAATGATTTTAAAATAATTTTTTGCAATTAAATAATTAATGTAGAGTTATAGACAATTTTTTTGAAATAATTTAATTAAAAGTGTGTGAACTTTTATTATTTAAAAAGAAGAAAGTTTTAATATTCAAAAGAACATTTCAATTATACCTACAAATATTTTTTAGTAAAAATTAAAAAATAAATTCAAATATTCTATAATTTGTTTTAAAATTAGGTAGTAAATATAAATATTCAACTAAATTTGGGTAAATGAACAATGATTTGGATAATTATTTAAATATTTTTAATATTTTATTTTGTTCAATTTGCGCCTTTTTCTTGCTTATTTTGATAGTTCCTTTGTATAAATTTTCGAAAGAAAGAACTGCACTTTTTATTCTTTTTAGCAAGGTAAGTTCTTAATTAAAATATTGGCTTTATTTGGATGATTTGGATGTAAAAAATCCTAAAGTATACTAGTTTAGACAAAACTCAGTACTCTTTTAAAGAAATAAGGGAGAGGAAGGGGAAGGAAGGAAGGATATTTGTCGAAGGGAGATGTTAACCAAACAAATTAATGAATCTTCAAATATATAGAAGAACATTTAAAAAATTATTAAATAAATTATTAAAAATTTAAGTCAATTGCCAATATTACCTACCAATTATTTCAAATTTACGTTATTATTTGTCAATATTTTGAAATTTTAATGACATTTAATAGCTTCTTTATTGCACCAACTGCAGCTATCTTGACAACTTCAATTTATGTACACATAACTGCATTGGCTTTAAATCGTTTTCATGCAGTTTACTTTACTTTTAGTTATGAAATAATTTGGAAAAAACGGTAAAATATATATTTAAAGTCTAATCTCGGTTCCAAAACCAATTCATAAACCTGGGAAATTTAGCACATAACCTTAGCACAATCAGTGCATAAGAACCTTGGAAACATAACGCAATTATTTTTCACAAATAATTCACGCGACATAATCTTTATTTTTCTAACTTTCTCACATTTTCCAATTAAATAATAAAATAATAAATATATGTATTTCAGAAACATTAAATACATAATTTTCATCATTTGGTGTATCATTATTTTTTTGTATGTCTTGCTAAGCTACCTTACATTAAATTTTAAAATCTTTCAAACTGGATTTCTTAGGTATAAAATAAATTAAAAAATTATTTAAATTAAATTATTTAAAAAATATATAAAGATTTTTTTCATTCGGAATTATCATGCCTGGCGATTTACTTATTTGGATATCTATATTTATATCAACACCTTTATATTCAGCTGTATTAGCAAAGTTTATATACGATTATAGTAATTGAAATTTTTAAAAATAAAATTAATTTAGTAAATATATTCTTATAAAACTAAATATAAAGTCGAGACGCTAATTAAGTAGAATCTAGGAAAAGATTTGAGCGAAGAATTGGGGAAAAAGAAATTGGAATTGTATTTTAGATAAAAGGAACTTCCTAAAACTTCTTAAACTTCTTCCTTTTCCATTTTTAATCTTTATAAAGTTGCTCATTTATGCTTACGAGTAGGGTTGCCGTTTCGAGTCGGGCGACGGTCGAGTCATTTTTATCAAGCCTCATTTTTATCGAGTTGGGCCGTATATCTTAGGCCCGACTCGATCTTTCGGTCTGAATAGGGCCATTTTTGCAACTCTCTCGGACATAACACAACAAAAACCAAACTTTTAAAAAATTATTTTGTAGAAACATCCAAAATACAAATAGTGGACGTTGACACCCAAAAAGAACGAATAAAAATATTAATTATTTGTTTAGTTAGCCTAATTCCATGTCCATGGTATATTGGAATGTTTAAATTAAACATAACAGTTGCTTCTTCCTTCCAACCAAACAATTTTATTTATATTTTTACAAATATTATTTTCAATTTAAGTCTAAATATAATTCAATGTTGTGAAGAAATTTGTTTATTTTTTATTTCAAAAGATTTTAGAAAATTAATTAAAAAACAATTTAATATTAAAAATGAAGAGAATAGTAGCAGTACTACTATTGTTGTTGGAACGGCAATTAAAGTTGAACAAAATCCTCAAATGTATGGACAAATTAATAATTAAATATGTAGAGTTTGAAGATTTTTGTGAACGAGAATTTTAAAGAAAAGATTAAATTATTTTTTTTATTCCAAATATAGTATAATACATAATTATGTTAATATACATATTTTTTATAAAATAAATCAAGTAATTAAATTTATTTGGATAAATTTAAAAAATGTTTCTCTTAATTAGATGAAGCTAAAATACTTATAATCGGTAATTATTTTATATAAAATAATTTTATGGCACACGGAAGGCACACCTCCCGTTTTTTTCTTACCATTATATTTTTTCTAATCCAAATTGATGTAAGTCAAGAAATTTACTATATTGCAATAAGTACCCAGACCCATGGGTTCTGATTGTTAGAACATATGAGCCGGTATTGTGCGTTGTACCTTAACTTTGGCTAAGTGTAGCTATTTGTTAACATAAAAAATTTTATGGGAATAAAGCGGACCTATTTTAAGTAGGGAGTGGTACACAAATCTATTTTGATATAGGTCCTAATTGCTCAAGCTGGTGAGCTCTTGATTCGTAACAGAAAAATTCACATTGGTCAATACTAAGAAGCGCCCCTCTCCCCAATTGGCGAGAGGGGTGTTGGTTTGGCCCTTGTTTGGCCAAAAATTGGCCCCTCCAGTGCCAATTTTTCTTATATTTAGTATAAATATCAATTTTATTAAAATTATTATTTTTTAAATTATTTTATAAAATAATTAATTGATTAAAAAATTAATAAAATTATTTTTAAAAATATTTTTACACAAACTATAAAAAACAAAAAAAATTTATTAACACCTAATTAAATATTTAAATTTAATTTTAAATTTAAAAATAATTCAAAGATTAATTTTAGCAAGGAAAAAATAAAAATATTTTAGAACTTATTTGTATAAAAAATAATTTTTTACATAATTTTTTTAATTTAAGAGAGGATTCTATCAATAATATGTACGAATTAAAAAAATTTTTTTAATTTTTTAAAAATATATATAAATTATTAAATTAAAATGTTTCTAAAAAATCTTTTATATTTCAATCTAAAATTGGAAAAATTTAAAAATTAAAAAAATTGGCAGTAAAACAAATAATTAAAAAAATTTTTAATTTTAAAATAAATGTACATTTATATATGTGTAAATATTCAATAAAATAAATTAATTTAAAATTTTTTAATAATTTTAATTTAATTAAATTCTAAAAATAAAAATAATTATTTTCTGCTTTCTTCTTTTTTTAATAATAAATGAAGAAAAATTGGGAAATGGCGTAAGTGCTTGTGCATGTGCTGAAACACCATTTGAGAAGATGTATAGTGATTCTGAATGGGGTGAGTTTAAAAAAAATTTTTTAGAAATATATAAATAGGAAAAGTTGAATATTCTTAGGAGATTACTCAAACTAATTTATTATACAACTCAAATTAGGGAGTTTTTTAAATATATAGTTGGCCTCTGGTGGGGAAAGCGCCTAAGCGATACCTTCAATTTAGTGCTTAATTCATTTTAGAATATTATGATTTTTCATTCTTAAACTGTAACGGGATTTGATTGCAGGTAATCTTGAAAATAAAAAAATTAGATGTCAAAATTGAAATCCTTTTTTTCAAAATTTAAACTTCTTAATCCCTCCCTCCCCCCCCCAAAATATCCAAAATAAACAATTTATTTATTTAAAATTCAAAGTTGCCCATGTTTTGCCAATCAAAAGTGAAGAAATAAAAATAAATAATTGGACACAACTTCGTTATGAAGTTAATGTTTTGAATTTTTACAAGCCTATTATTAATGAAACAAATTGTGATCATAAAAATAAAACTAACTATATAATTACACCTTCAAGTGATAGTGATTGTAGTGTAAATCTTCAAACTAATGGAACTGAATATTTACTTGGAGGTAGAATATTTAATTTAATTTAAACTTAAATTTATTTAAAGGGAAATATGATGATAATGGGAATAAATTAATAAATGAATGTAATCTTCATATTAAATGGGATGAACTAAAAGAAGAAACAAAGGAAGTTTGAATAATGGATTATTTAAAATAATTGCAAAGATGTGTCAACAATAAATTATTAAAAAAAATTAAAATAAAATTTTCTTATGGAGGGGAATATTTAAAGATTAATTATGGGAGAATTGGTTATAATTAAAACAAATTAATTGAATATTCTTTTTAAAATGGAATTCGGGATTTAAATTTTTTTGGAAAGGTCTTCAATTCAATTTCAAAATACTTTGTCTTTTTCATAAATATCAGATTATACATAATTATTCTTCTTTTCATTTTGATTTAAAAGGGAAAATAAACATTATACATAAGTTGAAAATAAACTAAGAGACTTTTGGATGAAAATAAATTTGTACATGGTAACACATATTAGTGATTGTTGACTTTGATTTAAAAATTCTCAATTCGGGACTTTTTTTGTAAATTTGTTAAACTCAAACGGACCCCGATCTTTATTAAATGGAAGATGTACTCCTATTATTTGAAATTAATATAAATTAACTACTAAATTATTATACATATGTCCTTTAAAAATTAATTTTTTTATAGTTCAAGACTACCAAATATTTAAATTTAATTTGTTAAAAAATTAAAAAATATATTTAGATATACATATATAAATATTTCTTATATAAATTTTATTTTGTTTATTTTTGAAAAATTAAAATAAAATTTTAAAGGGGAATTATCAAAAGAAGAGTTGGATACAAAATTTATGAAAGTGTACTATAATGTTATTTATGAATTTTTGCAGATAGAAATTAAATGTTAAGAATTTTCTAAATAAAGTCTGGATTTGTTCATTTATTTGATTTAGTTTGTTTTTGGATAAAGTTTTTTTTAGAAAAATTCGAAGACTTCAATTTACTTTCCCAATTTATTACTACAATATTTATCAAAATCTCCATTATTCAAACATTTTTTAATTTCATTTGGAACTTCACACCATTCTTTATTATATTTACATTGAGTTATTTCTCTAGCATTTTTAACATTTCTAAGATCCGCATAATTTCCTAAAAAAAATTTTTTTATTTTTTAAATAAAAATTAACCAAAGAATAAATATTCTGTTTTCTTCTCAAGATAAACACCGCAATAAGAATCTCTTATTTTTGTATAAATAAAATTAGTTTTTGTTAAATTATTTTGTTTATCCTTTAAATTAATTTATTCAAATAAAATTATTTTTAAAAACTTGCTTTATAAACTTTTAACCATTTAACAGTATAACGAATTTCCCATATTGAATTAGCTTCTCGTTGGGGTAACAAAACATGGGCAACTTAATTTTTAATTTTAAAGAGGATTTAGATAACTTTCTCCATTCTTTCCTAATTATAAGTGGTTAATTTCAAAATTATTTTTAATTTTATTTAAAAATAATCTCATCCTTATAATTCTTTTTTTTGCCAAAGGAAAAATAATAGAATACATAAAATCGAGGAAGAAACTCATATATTCAAAATAGGGGGGTGGGGGTAGTACATATATCCATAAAGTACCAATATTTCTAAAATTCAAAATATTATTCTAACTTTTCCTCACCCCAATCAGACTGGCAATAATCATCCTTAATTGGAATAGAAGCATTAGGACATGTACAAGCCTGTATATTATTAATTAATTCTAATATTATTAATAACAAAATAAAACAAAAAATAAATATTTTCATTTTAAAATTAATTTAAATTTAAAATTAATATGTTAATTGTTATTCACAAATTTATATACCTATTATGTATGTTTGTTTTAAATAATACTTGAGGGTTTTATTTGGTTGTTTTGACACGTTTCTCTTACTAATTTTAAAATTATTTTTGTGAAAAATAAATATTTTTTAAACAATTTTCCCCTCTCTTCCCTAACTTTAATTATTTTTGATTAAATAAAGCGTGATTCAAAATCACGCTTCGAATGTATTTCTTCTACGTTTATTTTCCTTTATTTAATCTTCCACATTTATTCTCCTTCCCCATATGTAGTTGGACAACCCTCCCCGTAATTGACAACCTTTCCGTAATCGAAATAGCCTTCCCTGTATTTGTATTAACTAGGACTCGGACTTTTAGGCTATAACCAGAGGAAAGCATTGAGCAATTCTAAACAGAGAAATGCTCAATGCATTTTTTTGCATTGAACAATAGAAAATAATTTCAATTTCAATCTTTATTCCCCATTTTTGTTATGTACTCTCAATATTTTTGTTGATACAGAAAATTTTTTTGTTTTTCATTCAAAAATAAATTTTATTTGTTGAACAAAAACTAAAACAACTCTTTTATTTTTTGAAAACAAAATGTACAATACAAAATTTAGGGGGAAAAGAAAACATTAATTATTTTACAAATTAGAGAGAAAAAAATACTAGGTGGCTTTATATCTATGAGGGAAACAATTTAATATTTTTTTTCTTTTCCCTCTCATTCAGAGCCTCTAAGAGATGAGTTTTACGCGTATTTATGCCTTGATTCATTCAGAGCTTCACCGGCTTATTAGACAGATCCTTCTTTGATGGCGTTTGAGGAGTAGCATGCTTCCGGTCCTTCTTGGAAGATTTCCCACTGCTTGCACTTCGACTGCGAGAACGACTGCCGTCTAAAATAATTAATTTGTATTTAACAATTGAAATGACAAATTTTAAAAATTCACCTTTCTGTCCCTTTCGACCCTTAGAACCCCCGCCAGACTTGCGACTGCGAACTTCACCAGCACCGGACTTGGACACTGGAAATAAAATATTAACTGTTTTTCTATTCTAGCTAAATTCTCATTACCTTTCGACCCGCCATCGCTTGTTGAACCAACTGTCCGACTGCTTTTGCTGCTGCTTGCATCCTTCTTACGACGATGACGGCCGGATGAACCACTTCTCTTCTTAGCCTTTGAAGTTTTCCCATCAGCTCCAGCTTCTCCCGCACTCGTTGGAACTGGGAGTTTACTGCCTCGGCTATGGCCCTTTGCCTTTTTCCCTTTCGATGCCGTTCCAGTACTTCGTTCCGATCTTCCTTTACTCTGCTTTGAATCTTCGCCTTTTTCCTTCATGTCCCTCACTTCCACTGGCCCTACCAAGTAGATTGGAACTGGCACTGGAGCACCTAAACGACTTCAAACATTCAACTTTATGTAAACTTAAAATTGACCTTCAAATTCACTTTCGTCGCCTTCACTTTCTGGGCTGGCATTTGACCGCTTCACGCTTCCAGCCTCCGAAGTCCCTTTCTCCGAACCTACCTAAAACAGGAATTGAAAGTTAAACACGCTATAGACATAAAAACATCACCTCATACTCCCCTGGAACGGGATTGTCCACCGGATCCAATGTGACGTAGTAGACCACAGCAACCGCGATGGACAGCAGCAGTAGCATGAAGAACATGTTGACGAGACAATGCGGCTTCTGATGAGTTGATGGAACGTTTGGTGTTCGTGTCGAATTGAAGAATGTTTTGTTGGCTTGATATGAATTGCTGCGACTTTTATAGGTTTTTGATTATTTGTAGAGTCTAGCTTCTTGTCATGAACCCTATAAAAGCTCGGCTCAATGTACACCGAATAACCTCTTCAATACTCGCAACTCCAACCAACTCCAACCTTTGCGCTCTTCACTCTTCAAATGTACGTTTCATTTTCTTTATTAACTATCTAATTCTTGACTAATCTTTTTCTAATTTTTCAGGCTGGTGACAACTCCCGACGACAGGATCGTGTTCCCGGTCAAGGAGGACTCGCCGCCGGAGCCGCTCGTGGAGCTGAAGATCGAGAACAAAGGAGACACGATCCAGCTCTACAAAGTCAAGTGCACGAAGTAAGCGTCAACCATTTTGCGTCGTTTAGGTCAGACCTAACCCTCTTTTGTTTTTCAGCAATGAGCTCATCAAGATCCGGCCCCCTGTCGGCATTCTGAAACCTGGAAGCTCGGCGACGGTTAGGCTTCTTCTCCTGACCAAGGAAGACCTGCCAGAGGACGACCGCCAATGTTTGTTGCTGCACTCTTTATTTTTGCCACAATCAAGCTTTTTTCCTTTTCAGACGTCGCGGTCTACAACCACGACACCGAAGACTCGAACACGAAGGCGCGAATGCAGTGGGACATGGTCAAGAAGGAGCAGGGCATCAAACGTCTCTACGTGCGCTTCGAACGCGAATAGGACGGAAGCGGAAGATGCGTGATGATCATGAAGTGCCACTGTGATTGCCATGTAGAAAAGATTCTCACCCTTGTGATATATTCCCACTGTATATTGTGTCCTATATGTTGTGCAATCACTCTCATCCTATTATGTTGTAAATGTATTTTTGTTGTGATAATCTATTGCCCAAACATTGTTGTATATATTGTTTGTTGAAAATAAATTCTTTGTATGAGTTCGGCTTTCTTTTTTTTGACTGAGATATAGGAATAGGGAGATGAGTTTCCCCAGGTATAAAAGACTGCATAAACTTTTTAGTTGAGTTTTTGCCCTTTGACTGAGGTATAGGAGTAGGGGTATAGGAATCATTGAAAACTCCAAATACTCATTGAAATGAATCGTGTTTATTCACAAAATTTTGGTAAGAGAATTCCCAGATCCCTTATAATTTTTAAAAGTTATTGCCTAGAAATTTCCAGAAGGAATGTGATTATAGTATCAACAAGTATAAAAGTAGTATCCCCAAGTAAAAAATACCCAAAATAGACTGCCTTTTTAATTGAGTTAACGAAGTTAATAAATGGTTCTCGTTCGCTTAAATCTTTTCTGACATCTGATCTTCAAGCATAAATTTAAAACAGTCTCAAAGACATTGAAACCCCCAAATACTCACCATTGAATATAAAATATACTCCTATGACTCTGATGTTTCTTAAACAATTTTGGTAAAATAATTGCCCAAATCCCTTATAAATTTAAAAGCCTTGTATTCTTAGTTCCTTAGATCGGGATATAGTTTGAGATTGTTCTGTTTCTTAGATGAATAATATTTTCTGTCTTATAATCTTTTTGTCTTAATAAAAATAATTGAGAGAAGAGAAGCTGAAATTTTGCATATAAGTAAATACTAATTTTTTTAATTTCAGAATTTTTCTTTTATTTATTTCCAACTCTTAAATTTTAAAAAATTCTCTAAATATGGTTAAAAAGAGTTTTGCAAGATTTCCCGACTTCCGGCTCCTAAATTGTATTGAAAGTCTAAACTTATATTTAAATACAAAAAATATTTATTATTTAATGTACTAAAAAAGAAATTAGATAAGCAAATTACTAAAAAAGCTTTAAATAGTTGGTTAGATTAAAATAAAGATTCACCCAGAACAACTTTGTTTATTATAGTAATGTATTGTTTAAATTGCCTATTATTACACCAAAATTGTCTATATGCATTTTTAGATTGGCAAAAAATATTTTATTAACAAATATGAAAATAAACAAATAATTGAACCAAACGTTTTAATTAGTTAAATTGAGTGATAAAATTTGGAAAATTAGGAAAATATATAAATTATCTGATTAGTTCTCTTTGAATTTTACAAAATTTAAAATAAATTTAATTTAAAATTTAAATAAATTATTTTTGAAATTAATAGTTTTTATTAAATTTATTTTAAAAAGTTTTCCTTTTTATTTTTTTTGGTGCAATAAAAATGTAGGTGAGAGACAGAACAAAGTCTTCCAAAACACTGTCCAGACAAAACCTATCTCAACGTTTTTTTCACAGCATTATGACGGTCCATCTAAAAACTTTTTTTTGACAAAAAGTGCAACAGTTCATAGGCAATTATTTGAATTTATTTTTTGCACAGAAATTGCCTATTTACTTAATATTTTATCTAAGCAGATGCTGAACTTGTATTTTCCCCTTAGTTGACCTAAATAAAAATGTATATAAAATGTCTGTTTTTTAAATTATTTGTTTATTATTTTTCATTTTTTCCTCCCTAAAAAGTCTAAATAAAATTATTTTAATTATTACTTACCAAAAACACATTAGTGCATCTTTTAATTCGTGATCCGGTTTTTCATAATTTTAATGAATATCTTTGAGCTTTTTTGACTAGTTTTTAAATAAAAATTTTAAAAATACATAATTGAAAAATAAATTTATTAAATTAATAAAAAATAAATTTTATAAAATTTAATTATTAAATAAATTTAAATTATCTTAGTTAGTTTTAAGGTAAAATCTTTAAAGTAAAGATTTTACTAAAAAATTAACATTTCATTTTCCCTAACCAATTATGGAAAACATTTTAATAAATATTTTTTTATTCCTCAATCATTTTTGTTTTAAAAACATTTTTTTATTTTTCACAATTTTGATCACTTAAAAATTTATTTTTAAGCATTTTCATTCAAGTTTTTTTTCAAATAAAAATTCATATTTTTCTTTTAAAAATGAGTAAAACACCTACAGAGAAATCATTTGAAGATGATGGATATGAATGCTATAATCCTGTCTGTTCAGCTTTTCGTCAAGAAATGACTGAGAAATATTCTTCTCTTAAAGTACCTAAAAAAATTATTTTTTGGATATTTTAATTTTTAATTTAGTCTGTGGTTGATGGTCTAACTAAAAAAATTTCTGATCTCGAGTCAGATAAAAGTGTTGCTGGTGATCTTCAAAAGAAGATTGATACTCTTAACAAAAGATTAACTGACAGTATTAACAACCAAAATACAAGCATTTCGAGTTGCAATAATATTTGCTCTAATGTCATTAATAAAATTGATGGAGTTAATGTAAATAAATAGAATTTAAAGTTTAAAATTTATCGAAAAAAATTTTAGCAATTGAAGCGTGACATTGATGAAAAGATTGGAGAGTGGGCTAAGGTTGTGGCTAAAAATACTCCGACGCCTCCTTCTTCTGTAAATTTTTGTTTTTAATTTTTGGGAATTTTTTAAAATAATTTTTTATTTTTTTCAAATTCATTTTTAGATCTACAAACATTGCGAAAATAAATTAGATAAAATTTCTGACACCCAAAATTGTTGTGATCAGAATTGTAAAAATTCCAACGGTTTGTGTAACAACGGCAATGGAGTCGTTAGAATTCGTCCGGGAGGGAATTTTGCAATTTATCGAAGTTCGACACAAATTGACAGTTTTGGGAAATTTTTGAATTTTTTAAAATAAAAATTAATTTTAAGAAGAAAACCGTTTAATTACGGTTTTGGCCAAAAACAAAAATATGAGTGCTAATATTCCAAGTGACATGCAAGATAGTGTTTATGTTACTTTCTACTTTGAAGTGACAATCATGATTGATGAGGATGCTGGAAATGAGTAGGGAATTTGTTTAAATAGAGGGAAGGGCAACGAATGGTTTAATATAGTGAAATTTAGTGTAGGGTTTTGGTTAGTTGGGAGATAATTATTGGATTTTTCTAGTTATTCAAGATAAATTTCTAAAAATTTTTTATTAGTTGTGATGTTCAAGTTGGACTTTTGAAGGACGAGAATACCTATTATCGTATAGGCAAAGACGGAAAGTACCACACAACTGACAGAAACAACAACTCTATTTTTAGCGATCCAATTGTTGGAAATTTTGTTGTTGGTGTTGGACAGACTTTTGCACCTCGAAATATGCCGTCTGCTAAAATGCAACTTTTCTTTACTAAAGGCGGAACAAAACTTCGTAAGAAATTATTCTGAAATTAATTTGGGAGGGAATTTAAAATTTAATTTATTGTTGACACAAAATTCTGTTCTTAGTTTTTAATTAAGAAAATCTCCAAATTTTTCTTTTTAAAGGCAAGATTTTTCTTGTGGATGAGGAAGATATGCTTCCACATATTTTAATGAAAGGTGTTGATGTTGAAGTCAACTTTGGTGATGATTCATCCAAGCCTTTTGTTTATGACATCAATAATCACGAGGCTGCTTATTCAAAATAACAAAAAAACTTGAATGGAAAAGAATTTAAAGGCTTTGATTTTTTAAATAATTTTTTAAATAACATATACTGAATAATAGGTAGAGAAATTGGGAAATGATTTTTGGACTCTGAAAACAAATTTAAAAAAATTTCAATAAAAAATTTTTGTAAATGGATAGAGGAAGAAATAGTTTTAATTTTTTTGATTTAAAGCTAAAATTAAAAATTATTTTCCAAAATTTCTACTTTAAGAATATTCTTGTTTTCTTATTTTTACAACTTTTAAAAATTTTTTCATTTAAATTAACTGATTTGTTTGATAACCTAAATAAATATTTTGGCGATTTCTTTGTTGAATTCTCTTAATTTTACCAATGTTAGGTCTTTAAGAACAAAGGTTTCCGATCATTGAATGCCTCTTTGGGGTTGATTGAAAAATAGATTAAAAAATATTGTGGTTAATATATTATTTCATTTAATATAAATTGATCACATTCAAAACTTCTTAAGATGGAGACTGGAATTTTAGGTTCAAAATTTGAGGAATAATTTCCTATTTACGTTTTGAAATGCTAGGAATTTTAAAAGATTAAAAAAATTTCCGATTTGTTTTTTTCTAATTTAGATAATTTTCTACGTTTCTGATTTAAAAATAGACCCCTTTCTGGTGCATGTTCAAAACCCCCGATAAGTTTTTAGGTTCAAATAGCTCGAGAAGTACGCATGATTATTCCGAAAAATTTTTTATCTTGTAAAGTTAAATAAAAGTGATTTTATTACAATAGATTGTAAATAAATTTAATATCTAAGATTTATAGAGGTATATTATTTTGATTATTTAAAGAAATGCCAGTATATCAAAGTATATATTAATTAAAGAATAAAATTTTAAAATTCCATATCTTAGAAAAAATTCTTTCGTCTTATATTTATGAACCAATATGAATATCACTTTCACTATAAATACAATAAGTTCCATCTCCTTTATTGTTTTCCATGCCAAGAACGTTTGGATTTTTACCTTGATTATTTCCTTGGAATACTTTACAAGGAAATACTTGATTTGCTGTTGATCCAAGAATATGAATATTTTTGAGGGTAGCTACATCTCCATAATTTTTATTTACCCCAACAACATATTGTCCAGCTTGGAGGTTTTCTATAGTTAATCCATTCACATTTATTTTACGGTTACGATACTGTGACTGGCAATTACCACAAGTACGTATTCCTTCTCCAGCACCGTTTATCTTAAATTTATTTAATTTTTTTTTTAAATTTTGACTTTAATAGAGCGGCCAATCGAATTTCTATTGAAAAGACTGGTAAATTTATGTGTGAAAATACAAACATAAAAATTGTTGACATTTAGTGTTCCAGCCCCGTCAAATTGTATAATTTTCCCTTTTCCATTTTTTGCGCCTCCACCTTGAATTGTATATACTGCATCTGGATTAGTCCCTTAAAATTTAATTTTTATCATTCTACTTATATTAATCAACTCAAATTATTCTACTCAAATCTACACATTAAATTTCTCTCATAAATTATGTTTGGCACTTCAAAACCCCCTCCTCCTTTATTTTAAACTATTTCTAACCAAGAAGAGTAATAGAATCATCAGCAACATTTTCATTCCAACAATCTTCTACAATACAGCTTCCATTACAATGAATTCCATCAGCCCCAGAGAAAATACATCTTTTTATCGTAGCTCCTTCTTGCAATTGAAATACCGGAAACATAAATTCTCCACTCCCCCACTTTCCATTTTTTAAATTTGGCACATAACGAGTATATCCACAATCGAGGGATTTATTTACAAGATATGTTTGCTCTAACTAAATAAATTTATAAATACATAAATAAATATATCCCTTTAAATATTTATACCGGAATTGTATTTTTAGCTTGAGGCCAATCAACACAAAAACAAACTTCAAAAAACATTGGGAAACCAAAAATAATCAACAAAATACTAATCATTTTTTATTATTTTATTTATTATTATCTACCCTAAAAAAATTTTAAAAATTAATTGGTGCCCTTATGTTATCTTCCCACATATCCGCAAATGTTTGTCTGAAATTTTTCTTCTTCTCCTCCCATTATTCTACTTTCTTAAAAATTTAAAAAGATGGGAAAGGAAACTTTAATAATTTTTTGATCTAATGCTAACGTTGGATAATAGGCACCATGGGTGTTTTAATAGGTTTATTTGGAATTGATTCACTGTATTCACATAAAATCCTTATGGAAATAGAGAGATGTACCCAGTTATCAAGGCTCTCAAAGATTTTCCTACATCAAGTTCTGGTCGGACAACTATTAAAGTTTCCTTTCCTCCTTTTTAAATCTTTATGAAAGTAGAATCAAGGGGGTGAAGGAGAAGAAAAATATTTTTGTGATTTTAATTCTCATAGAAAAAAAAACTTTATCCCCATCATTCTTTGAAAATAATTTATAAATTTAGATTAAAATTTTTTAAAAATCTGAAATTTTAAAATTGGTGGAGATACTTTCGTATTAAATAATTTTCCTTGGATAAATAAAATATAGAGAGAAAGATAAAAAAAATATTTTAAAATAATTTCTGGTTAATATATTTTGTAGCATTTATATATAAATATTTTTAATCAAATTAAAAAAAAAATTATTTGCTTTAGCTATAAATCATCGTATAAATCATGTGCGTCATTGCGGCAGAAAAGATTATGGGAAAAGGGAGATAAAAGTCGCGACGGATTTCGTCTCTCCTTTTTTTAAAAGTTATTTTCTGCCACAAAAACGTCAAACGACTTTTATGTTAGCACAGTATTTAAAAAATCCACATTTTCTATTAAATTTTAATTTAATTTGTTTATACAGGTATTTAAAAATATTTTCCACATTTATTATAAGCTAGACAGGAAATTAAAAATAAAATTTTATAAAAATTATCTTTATTCGAGTATTTGAACCAAATTATCCACAACATACATATTCATCTTTTCTCTAACCCTTAACTCAGGGCTGTGTATTTTATAAATTAAAATTTTAAATTTCATTAAATAATAAAAAAATCAATTTTAAATTTAAATTTTTTAATTTAAAATTAATTTTTTTTTAAATTTTTTAGTGGAATTTATTTAAAATTTTTACTCAATTTATTTATAATATTCAGACAATTTAAGCAAATCTGAAACATTTAAGAATAAAAATTTCGGTTTCGAATCCAGATATCCGAAAATTTCGGTTCGAATATTTCACAGGATCTGCCAACCTTACGTTGAGCCAAAAGACGGAATGAGTATGGACATCACAATACCCATACATAATATTCAGGAAGAAAAAACTGGCCAATTTCAAAGTAACGGGGAAAATTGAACGTTTGAAATTGTTTGCTTTTTAAAGGAAAATCAGTTCGGCCAGTTTTCTGATAGAAAAAATTTCAAACTTCCAATTTTCCCCGTTAATTTGAAATTGACCAGTTTTCTCTTCCTGAAAATTATGGATGGATATTGTAGCTTCACGAGTTATACATATTTTAATGGAATAAATTTTACCGAGTGTGTATAAAACATACACCGGAGTGTATGTTTTATAAAATATTTAAATAAAAATTCTAAATTATAATTTGTTGGAAGCTTGTGGAAAAAAAAATTGGAGAAAAAAGTAGAGAAAAATAGAGAAAAAAAGGTATAAAAAAATTAAAAACAGAGAAAAAACAAAATAAAATTTTTAATTTAATTTGAATAATTTTATTTAGAAAATAAAATTTCATTTTTTAATCCATCCAAAAATTTATTTTTATTTAAATAAAATATTAAAATTAAAAATCCTTTAACTTATTTCTAATTTAATTTTATTTTTTCATTTCTCTTTATTCTTCATCAACTTTTTGTTCAAAATTTCCTTCTTTATTTAACAAAAAATTATATTTTTTATTTTGTAATAAAGGTAATATTTTAGCAATTATTTTACTAATTATTCCCTCCTCATTTTCTTCAACAATTCCCAAACAAAATTTAATTCCTTTTTTAAATTCTTCCCCTTCAATTAATTTACTAAAATATTTAATTTTATTTAAATTTTTAATTTTTCTTTTAATTTTCCCTTCTTTTTCATCATTACATTCTTTATTTAACGGAATAACCGATAAAAAATAATTTCCCAATTTTTTAAATTTTCCAAAAAATTCAATAAAAGATAAATTTTGAAGTGATTTTTGTTTATCAATATTTGCCGGGTCTACAAAAAATTTACAAAAATTTTTTCCAAAAGGGGGACGGAATTTTCCTTTACATTTAACTCCTCCTTTTAATAATCCTTCAATTTTTGTTAAAATTAAATAATTATTTTTTGGAAATAAAATAGTTTTATTGTCATCAAAATAATTTTCTTTGCTATTTTCTTCTTTTATTTTCCAATTAATATTTTCATTTAAAAGAGGAAAAATTTTAATAAGTTCCTTAAAAATAATTATTTTTTAATTAAATAAATTTGAATGGTCTATAGAAGAGATCAGTCTAAACTTTTCCTGGATCCAGAGTCCAGATCCAGGATTTTTGAAAATACCGATCTCTAGTCTATAGCTATTTCTCCTTCCACTTGTGCAAAAGCTTATTAGGCGGGTGGGAGAGAACCAGAATATCTTCAGTTGTTGGACTGATGTATAGCAACGATTGCGCCTATCCTATTCCTGAACTCGGGATTTTTATGTCAACGAGATCCCTTTAGGAATAAATAGCTTTATGCTTTATAAATAAATATAAAATTAAAATTAAATTACCAATCTTCTAATTAAATTTTCTTTAATTTTAACTTCAATACAAATATTTATTCCTTTTTTATGATTAATTAAATCCTCAGATGAATTTAAAAAATATGTCAATCTGACATTATTATTTACTAAGTGGAATGGATGAAAATGAGAATTAGGTTGTTCTATAAAAATGAGGGAGAAATTTTTGTAAAAAAAATTTTTTTAGTGTTTTTAAAAATATTTTTCAAACTTTTATTTTATTTTGTGCTTATCAATAAATAATTTTACAGGATCTACAATACAAAGAAAATTTTTTTTTAATTTAATTGAAATTCAAAAATGCAATTAGTTACAAAAAATTTACATACGTTCACATCCCTTCATAATCGGATTAATAAAAAGTTTATGTTCAAATGGCAAAAATGTTTTTATATTTCCTTCAATAATTATTTTTTCATTTCTTATTGTTAACGAATTTAAGGTGAAAACTTGTGGAGATTGTTCATTTTGAGGAAAATATTTATTTGCATTGTTTGTTTGAATAAAAATCTGTCCTTTTAATTCTTTTAATAAATAAACAGTCAAAAATAATTTTAGAAAAATATTTTTAATTTTTAACATTTTTGTTTTTTATCTTAAATTAATTAATTTGTGCTTTTAGTTATTATTTAATATAATCTATTAAATAATTTATTTCGTATTAAAATTTTTTGGAAGGAAAAGGAATAATAAAAAAAGGAATAGTAATAACTACTAAATCTTCTAAATTTAGGAATATCGGGGAGATTCGGGTATATAGGGTAATTAAGAGGGATATAGATGATATAGAGGAGATTGCTTCAAAAAATTAGGTGAAAGGACAAATATTTCTAATGACATAACTTAAAATAATACAAAAAAATATTTTTTAAAATTATTCTTTAATATTCTCTAATACATAAGTGACTTAAAAGTAACTATTTTTCAAGTTATTCAAATGGAATTGTTAATTATTTAGAGACAATATTTATTAAAATCCTTACAATCTTCACAGACTTATTAAATATTTTATGACGTTAGACTGACACAAAATGGTGTCAGTTAGACTGACACAAAATGTTAGACTGACACAAAATGGTGTCAGTCTAACAAAATTAGACGGGCATTTAATAAAAAATTAATTTTAAATTTATTCCCTGTTTGTTGCCCTTAATAATATCAATGATCAAATTTTTAATGATGAAATTAGTCTAGCTGTGAAAAAATAATTTTAATGTACTCTTTGGACTTTAATTTAAATCCCAATAATAAGGGAGCTAATTTTTAAATAAAAAAATTTAAGCGGGCTTTTGAGCGGGATCAAGATGAGCCTTTGAAGTTGGAGGCTTTGAAGTATTTAATAATCCATTTAGATAGGAAAAAAATTAAAATGTAAATTTATAGGAATTTTTGTTAATAAAAAACTTAGTATCTAAGCTGAGGAATTTTGCCTTGTTCTCCTTCGAAACTTGTTTCAGGTTAAATTTTAAGAATTTTAATTATATTATTTTATTTTTATTTATCACTTTAAACGGAAAATAAATTTAAAAAACACTTTTACTTTCATTTTTCTTTCAAAAAAAATAAATTGACGGACCTTTCACAATCTTTCTCCATCAATCCAATCATTTTTTTTATTTCTTCCGTCCACCTACATAAATTTACCTTTTACTTGTTTTGCGCGTTTAACCGCCACCAATAGAACATTAAAAACTTTTCTCATTAAATTAAATCTTTTAACGTTTTTGACATTAAATAAGAATAAGTAAATAATTTTTATAGTATTTTACTTTAAACCCGGAAAAACAATTTATTTTTTAATTTTTGGGTGGTCTGGGGATAATAATTATTTTTTGAATAATAATATAAATGGGCGAGGACAGACAGCTTTGGAATATATTTGTGGGAGAGCGAGGTAATCTTTGTATCCAATGATTAGGGTTGGCGCCCGATCCGGTCCGAAAGATCGAATCGGGCATCGAATTTTGACTCGGTCAACCGGCCCGAAAAAATGACAAGAACGTTGGCCTGACGCGAAAACCCCAACCCTACCAATGACGCTTCTTTGTTTTACTAATGAAGTTAATCTCGATTTTCTAAACTTTCTTTTTTCCGCAAATTCTCAATTCAAAGAAACTTCTCTTAATTTATAAAATTTCTCAAAATTTAGTAATTTATAAATGACATTTAAATGTCAAACAAAAATATTATCAATATTAACTCAACAATCATTAACAATTTATTTAATATTTTCTTTAAATATTTTAATTTTAAACGCTGATCAACAATTGCCAGCTCAAGAAAAGGAAAATAATAATAAAGAAAATAATTCTCCTGTCCAAACAAATTGTGTTGATTCGGATCCAAAATGCTCTTTATGGGCTAGTCAAGGAGAATGCCAAACTAATGCTATTTGGTGAATTTATTTTTTTGTTTGTTAAATAGTACTACCGAGATGTTTATGAAAATTAATTGGCTTTAAATGTTTAGTCCCATTAAATCCGGAAAACTGAAAAAAGAAAGACAGTAAAGAAAATTAACAAAAATCACAAATATGTACTTAATACAAATTATCAGTATACCTACATGTGTTTAATTAAAGGATGATGACAAATTGTCGACAGTCCTGTCAAAGTTGCCAAGGTGGTGATCGCGCCTGGCAATTACGAAGTGAATTAACTAAAAACTATGATAATTCAACTTCTGCAAATGCTACAAGAATTGTTTCTGTTGAAAGTGTTAGAATACAACATATGGAAATTGTAAGTGGATTTAGAAATTTCAGAAACATTCTTCCCCAAAAAGGATGAAAATAAAGAACAAGCTAGAGTTTTTGGAAGGCTTGTACTTTCCTGGAATGACTCCAAAGTTAGCTGGGATAGAGAAAGTTGGGGTTTGTCTTGGCTAAACTTCTATTGGGTGCAGGTGTGGACACCACAACTTTTACAAATTAACGCGTTGGTTAAATACATGAATTTAAAAATTATTTAATAAAAATAGTCCTAATCCCTCTCCTGGACAAATAACAGGCAAAGTTTTAGCCGCAAACTATACTGGACAAGTATTTATGTGGACTGGCAAGTTTATATATTTTAATATTTTGGATTTTTAAAAATTTCTTTGGATAACAAAGAGTGAGAGAGAGATAAGTGAAAGTACCTCTAAATCACATTTTTAGACTTCAATTTTGTCGCTCCATTCAATTTTGAATATCAAGACTTCCCCAAAGACCGTCAACGTATTTGTTACCAATTCGATGATAAAAGATATTTTGCTGTTAAATTTATTGTTTCAGAAGAAGTTCGTAACCGACAGCATGAGTCTATTCAAGATGCTCATGTTTCTGGTTGGGATATTGAACAGCTGGATATTTCTGTGAGGGAATTTTTGTTTTTAGTTTAGAGAGCAATGGGCGCTTTTGAGGGCATAATTATTGTGTTTCCCAAAAAAATATTTTTTTTTATTTTGAAGGACAGCAAATATACAGTGCAAATATTGGGTGACTGGCGTCAAAACCCTTTCGATATTCAAACCACAAATTGTGAACTTTGTATTGAATTACGGCGCTCAGCAGTTTATTACTTTACTGAAATGGTCTGTCCAGCATTGGTTAGCTCTGTATTGACACTTTCTTCTGTCCTTTTTCAATTAGCGTTGGGACAACCAGCAATGCTTTGTTTTAGTATTTTGTGCCAATTAATGGGATTACAATTATTAAATGCTCGATTACCTTCTTATACTGGAACAATACCGACAATATGTAAAGAGAAATTAAACTCTCGCTTAGTTGTTTAATTTGGAAAGATTGAAGGACTTGAATTGAATTAATTAGGAGAAAGTATAAAGCGGGATAGATTAGCTAACATTTAAAATAGAATCGAATAAAATAGAATCATAGAGGAGTAATGGCAATAATCAGCTGATTACTGAAGTATAATTTAAGGATCAGCGGAAATGATTGAATTAACTGAAGGCTATTCTTAGCAGAGTGAATAAATAAATAAAGATGTAAGGAACTAAAGTGGATATAGTTTCTATGCAAGCTCAATCCCGTGAAATATCCCAGAATGAAACAAAGTCAAAGACAATTAAGCGAGAGAATTGTGTATTAAAATAAATTATTTAAATTTTTATTTAAGTAAAATATACTTCTTTCAATCTACTTATCAGTAGTTTCCTCCTACTCTCAACAATAATTTTGCGACGAATTTCTCAAGCTAATTCCAACATCCCTCTCCCACGTTTTATCTACACACTTAGCAGTCTTTTAGATAAATGTATGCCATTGCCAAAAGGTGGAAAAGATTTACTTGAGGAAGACAGCAATAATGGAAATACTCCACTTGGAAATTATTCAGAAATTGCTTTAACTTTAAATAATTCATTATTTTCTGCAGCAATATTTATTTATATTTTGGCTTTCATTTTCTCCTTTCTTTTATGATTTAAACGGGACTAGTATATGTATATTAATTTAGATATTGATAGAAAGTGATTTATGAAATTCTTATTATATCTTTAAATTTGTGTTTTGTAAAGAATTTTATTTTTATACGATTTTATTGTTTAATTCTTATTAGTCTTTCACTTTAAAATTAAAAAATAATTTATTAAATTACTTGACAATTTTTTAGAAAGAAATTGAAAACAAAATAAAAATATTTGTTAACAACAAAAAATCAACATAATTTTCAGAATAGGACAGTAGATGATAAAGGAAATAATTCTCAATAACCAGGCGATTTCTAATAATAAACTCGGACTAAAATATTATTGAAATCAAATTTTAAAAACATTCTAACTTTAAACAACTCACTGATCCGTCATTTTCCATCCTCCTCGTCTCCACTACTTGAACTAGAACTTGAATCTGAAGACATTTGTTCAACTTTTGGAATTTGCATTGTTCCATCATTAGAAGTTTGTTGTTGTTTCAATCCTGGTGGCAAATTTATGGACATTTGAAGTTGTTGGCTAGATGACATTATATAAGAGCCTTGAGGATGTTGCTGAGCAGCAACTAAAAATTTATTATATAGCAGTGGGGGCAAAAGTTCAAATTCTATTTAAATCTAATTATGTGGTTCCCCTCTCACATCCAAAAAAGATTTTATAACAATTTTTATAATTTAATATCTTCCTATCCCCAATCACCTTGCATTGTAGCAGCAGTACTTGGACTGACCATTTGACCTTGCTGTTGTTGTTGACTACCTCCAGCAGCACCCATCATTATTCCGAAACGAGGACTTTGTTGTGAACTGCTCCTTTGTAAAATTTTTGGAATATTACGCATAGCAGGAGATGAGAGACGTGGACCAGTTCCTTAAAATAATTTTACAAAAAATCTAAAAATCTCTTTTCTCTTACCACTCCCTGGCGGCCGCCCTCTCGGTGAACCACTACTTCCTGCTGTTGAAGTTCCTCCTAAAGCATTTAGAAAAACATTTGCGGATGAAACAGTGCGTGCATTTGGAGTAAATGTTTTTTGCCGTGGCATTCCAGGAATGTTAAAAAGAGCTGTGGATGTATTCATTTGGTCTTGAGAATTAAAAAAATACAAAAATAATTAGAATTTGCTATTTCTATAATACTCTTTGAGTAATTAAAAGTATCCTTAATAATCACCTCGACCAAGTTATTACGAAAAAGAAAATTCTTTTTACTGGTAGACTGGATTTAATTTTAAATCATATTGTATCTACATATCAGTCAAGTAAATAAATTTGAAAAATTAAAAACATTTCTTAAAAATTAAAATAATACTCATTTGCTGTGTTCTGCTCAACAACAAATTACTAACTCTAAAATTTGCTTCAGTTGGATAAGGCCTTGATGGATCTCCTTGTTGCCAATAAACAGAGGAAGCAACGGAATGATTTTTGCTTATTAAATGAGCATATCGAACAATATCTTCAGAGAAAACACGATTCATTTCTGATTGTTTTACCGATTTTAGTTTCTTTTCAGCCTATAAATTAAAGAATATATTTTTAAAAATTCCTACTAAACCTGAAATGTTGCCTCAACTAAAGAATTATCAATAATTTTAAGTTCACTGGCAATTTTGCTAATTAAATTCTCTCGAGAATCAACCAATCCCTCCAATGTTCGAATATAAGTTTCTCGTTCTTGATGTGCATTTACTGAAACATAAATTGATAAAAATTACATAGAATGGAAATATTGAAGGGATAAAGGTCAAGAAACAATAGAAAAGGGGCTAGCATTTTATTTTGGGGACACGTCCAAGTAGACGCGCTGCCTTAACGGTGCAAAGCCATAACCTCTTGGAAAATGTCTGGACCTTATCAATTTTGGTACCAATCTCTAGCTCGATGAGGAATCGTATGAAATAATCGAATTTCACCTAACAATAGAAATAATATTCTAATCTTTAAAATAAAAAAAAACTTCTTTAAAAACCTCTATTAAGTAAATCCACAAACTCCACTTGTTTCTGATTATATTGCTCAAGAATAAATGAAATATTTGATTGAAGTTCCTTTTCTGTCAATTTCTTGTCAATATATAAACATTCGAGTATCTTTAATAATTTTAGAATTTAGAAATTAAACACAAGAAAACCTGTTTAATTAACAATTCCAGATCATTAATAACATCAGTCAATTGCTCCTTAAGTCCCAAACTTTTTAAATACATATTGAAGTTTAATTAAAATTAAAATAAAAGATTATTTAATTTAAAAGAAATTCTGATCTGAAACATTTAAAAAGAAAAATAAAGTCATAAATTTTATATTTTTTATAAAACAGAAAAAACGTTACAAATTAATTTAAAACAAAATAGAAAAGAGTTTAAAAAATGAAAACAAAAATAAAACCCGGACAGTTCGAGTTATCCAACTTGTACATATTTTTAATACTAAATTTTGTGTGCAATTTTACAGTTAAAGGCTCTCGTTCTATGTGAAGCAAAAAACCAAAGGGAAAAATAAAAACTTTTAAATGAACTGACCGGCACCCAATAAAAAAATAAACCTAAAAAAGAGAAGAATCACTGAATGATGAAGTGAGAAAAATAATTTCAATAAAGCATTCCTTTCAAAGCTCATCACGTTCACCTTCACCATCCTTTTTAAATTCAGACTCTTCTTTCTTTTCGCTCTTCCCATCTTCCAAGTTTTCTCCATCCTTTTTGTCATCTTTATCAGTTTCTTTTTCAACATTCGTTTTTTGATCATCTTCTATAAATTTTAAAATTTTATAGAGGAAAAATAAAAGTTAAGTAAATTAAAGCAACAAGGATATTCAGTTAAGGAAGAAGCCAGGATTAATGAAATGAAGAGGTAGATCCTTTATGACTTGAGGCCCTAATAAAGATTTATACATAAAACCAGCCACGCCTAATTGTATATAAGTAAAATTTAAAAACTGAAAACAAGCTAGAAATTTAAACGAGTGCCTGAATATCGCTTCATCCCGTCTTTTATCACCAACATCATTCAAATAAAAATATACGTCGATTAGAGCAACAATAAAAATAGTAAGAATATTTAGCCCAATTGCTAACGGTTTTTGATAGGCGAAAAAGACAAAAAATGAAATCAATAAAAGACACAAGTATGCAATTAAACGAAGTAATTGAATTGGCCCGATGAAGAATGGAGAAGGGTGAGCTACAAAATTTTAGGATTTTTCTAATATTTTTTACTCAAACATTAAATTTTGATTAACTAAAATAAAACCTTCAATATCCAATTCACAATTTCCATCTTTAGAACGTTTGTGGCCTTCCTTGCATTTACATTCATAAGAGCTATAAAATAAAAATTATTTCTAAATTTTATAATAAAATTCATTAATATGTATCACCAAAATAAAATATAGCCTAATCCCAAAACCCTAGTTCGGCTGTAATTCTAAAATCAAATCGGAATCTTAACCAAACTATTTTTTTCCGCTCCACACAAATGAACGTTAAAACATTTTTAATTAAATATGAATCACCCTGGAGTATTGACGCAAACTTCATTATCTTTTTGACATTTTAGTTCATCTTCCTTGCATTCATCAACATCTTAATTGATATTTTTAAAAATTTCTAAATTTAATTAAAAACCTATACAGCCATTTTCCTCATCCATTTTATATCCACTTCTACAAGCATTGCAGCCTTTTGGCCCAGCAAAAGTGCATCCACTACCACAGCCGTCAAAACATTCTTAAAAGATAAAAACTGAAATACAAATTTAGAATAATTTTCTTATTTTTAATTTTTTTAAATTCCAATTAAAATAACCAAATTATAAAGAATCAGAGGACCATGACATTCAATAAATGTAGCATTTTGTGTTATTGCAAAGAAGCTGGAATCACAATTGCTACATAATTTTCCACTATAGCCACGATGACAAGAGCATGTTCCATTCCCAAAACGTTTGCCGTCTCCCTTAAATAAAATTCGTTATTTATAAAAATCCTATCAAGTCAATTAAAGTTTTGAGCAAGGCAAATATTCTCTTTAAAAATTCTATAAGAATTCAAAAATTACATCACAAAATCCTCGTCCAAAACACGCCTTTTGGGATTCTTTTAAACCAGGACATGCTGAGCATTCAGGGCCAAAATAGCCAGAATCACAGCAATAGGAAAGTTTTTTGACGCAAAGAAATGTTTCTAAACTTGGATCAATTTCTTGACGATTGTAAAACCAGTCTTCCAAATGTTCTTCATTTGTTTCAGCAAGTGAATGACACTGTGAATAAAGAGAAAATAAGTAAAAAAAATTAAGAGAAACCTTAAATCTTTCATCTTTTTCATCATCCTGACAGATATGTTCCATAATTTCAACAAAACGAGTTTCGCTTTAAAAATGATAAATAAAAATTAAAAAAGTAAATATTTACCTTGTCTTAAATTTTCCAAGTTTTTTCTCTTCCCAAGCAGTATTTCCACCACCAAAATGTAAATTTTCAGTTTTAATAAGACCCTTTAAAAAATATATTTAAAATTCAAAAAATCATTCCAACCTCTATAAATGTTTTTGATAAAACTCTGCAGGTTTTACATTGCTCCTCAATTTTTAAAGATGGAAAAAGATGAAATAAATAAAATAAATTAATTAGAAATAAATACATTTTATAAAATAAGCGTCTTCTGAATATTAGAAAAAAATATTTTTTACAATAACATCTAAAATGAATTTTTAAAAAATCTAAAAATCAATCAAACATTTAAAGATCCAATAAAAATTTGACACATAAGGATTGGAAAGGTAAACAATTTGAATTTTTATTTAATTATTTAATTTTGGCAAAATGTTTTATAGCTGACAAAATATCCCAAAAATAAAAATTCTCACAAAAATTTTATTTTTTTTCCTGTTTTTAGGATCGTGTTTTTTCGTACTATTTAAAGAAAAAAAAATTTTCCATACTAAAACCCATATTTTTCTCAGATTTAACTCACAGAGGTTTATTTTCTGTCAATGTTATTGCAATGAAACGACGGCAACAACGGAAGAAAGCGAGCCCAGTAAAGCAACCTGAAACAAATTCTCGAGAAGAGCGTCAGCAACGAACGAAACCTTCATCGCGGATTCCTCTTCAAAGTAACAAAAAACGTGGCGCCCGTGTTGAAGTTAAGTCGGAAACAGCAAATCTTGGAAGATGGGGTTCAAAGGAAATTAATAATTTAGCGGTATATTTTTTAATCGATGATTTTTTTAATTTCTAAATTTTAGATGGCGTTGGGACTTGCTGTCAATCCTCGTTCGGACGAAGATTGGGAAAAGATTGCTGAAACTGTTGGGAAAGGATGTACACGTAAAAGAAGCGGGGAAGAATGCAAAATGCGAGCTGAAAAGACGGGCTTATTGTTAACTGCTACATCTACTTCAAATCATGTCAGCAACGGACGTTGTACTCAACTCTCAAAACCTGCACGGCGTGATAAACCGATAAAGTCTCTCTTTAGCTCTGAATCGGAAGAATCAACGAGCGAAATTCATCGAAGACATTATGATGATTTCTTTGCAAAACAGGTTATATTTAGAAGGGAATATTTTCTCTATTTGACTTCGGGGTGAATTTATGAATATCTTTCTGATTTTTAAGCGTAGTAGATTTAAAGATAGGTACATTAGGTGATATTAAAAAGATGTCTTCCTGATTTTTATTTTTGATTTCCAGAGCCGATTTACTCATTAACTAAATTTATCATAAATTTTAGAAATCACCAATCACAGAATGTTTGGACATGGACGACACTTTGGTGCGTGTATGCAGCACTGAAGTTTCTACTTATCCATATGTGCGTCTTCGTAGCACCCGACGTCCGTTTATGATGAAAATCTTGTTTGAGGATGGTTCTAAAGACGATGATGGGGATTGCTCTTTTAGCGAGATTGAAACGAATGGATAAAGCAAAACAGTAGGGAATAAATCAGGGATCGCATCTTCCGGTGATTTTGTTTAAAAATGTTTCTTTATTTTACCTCAACAATGTAAGAGCTTAATTCACCCAAGTTAGGTGTTTTTTTCTAATTTAGATTGTATTGTATATTTGCTTTGATTTTTCATTTTTTCTAAACAATTTTTGCAATTCTAAAATAATTTTTAAAATTCAAAGCAAAAATATTTTTTTTCGATTTCCATAGATTTTTGTTTTCATTTCCTGTTTGGTCTCAATTTGATGTAAATTATGTAAATTCTACCTCTTCCAAAATTATGATAGTTTTTCTATCAAAATTGTTCCTATCTGTGCAATTATAGTAAATGACCTTGTGATTTCTCACATTTGTCAGATTTCTAAAATAAAATTGTTAGTCTTCGTAAGTGTTCTAAATACCTAGTTCCTCTTAAGGACGTTTTTTTAAAAATTATTTATAGGTATCAAAAATTAATCAAATCTTTAAATGTTTATCGATAAATTAGAAAAAAGAGTATTAAATTTTACAAGAAAAACAATTTACATTTTAAAGAAAGTATGTGTTGGATACAGAGTGGTTATATAAATATATAGTTGAGATTAGAAGAATAATTATTTACAAGTGAATAAAGTATATTTAACTATAATTTAGTATTATCCAAAATACTTCTATGTATTTACCAATTGTTGACTGATATATTTTTTCTAATCTCAACTATTAAAAATAAAATTACCAAAAAAGAATGTTTTTTATATTGTAAAAATAACTTAAAAAACATTTTCAAATCCTTTCAATTCCATTGATTCTCATAAGCAGCTTCGTGCTTTCCAATGTCGTAAGTGAAAGGCTTGTTGTCATCCATGCCAAAGTTGACCTCTGCATCGCAATTCTTAACAATGATGTGTGGAAGTAAATCAACATCTTCTGACATCAGAATTGTCTTGTCTTAAAAATTTGATTTAAATTTTTGAGATAATGAGAGAATGGAGGTTGGATTTGAACAATTTTATCAACCAATTAATTTTGTGTGATACTGATGTGAACATACTGGGGTTCCCTTTAACGGTAACGTGTTTTACCAGAAAAGTTCATTTTCTTTCAAAAATTCATTCTAAGGAAATTAAAAAGAAAATCATAGTCAGGCATAAAAAAATCATAGTCAGGACAAACAAAAATTTAAAATGTTCAAACCGATTTGTTTCCCATTCATTGTAAAGAATATTTGGGTCGGTGCATTTGGCTTGTTGCGTGGAGGAAAGATCTGACCAACTCCAAAGACGACACTGCCAGTTAGAGGCTCGCTAAACATTCGCTTAGTAGTAGCAGTGTAATAGTGACCATCACTACTAACGCGGAAGAAGCAATTCGTGTCCTTATAAAGACCAAGTTCTGCTTTCCAACTAAAAATAATTTAATGTAGCATTGAGATCGTAGAATTTGAGAACTTACTCCATATTCTCATCAGTGTCCGGAATGACCTTCATTTCACAATAGAACACAACATAAGTCTGTCCTGAGACGTCAGAAGGGATATTAGCCCTCATAAATTCACTCTCAGCAACGACCATTATTGGACAATTACCTTCTTTAAAAGATTTTTATTTATATAAATATTCAGAAAAATAATAATAACCAAGATTCTGAGTAGAACTCAGATATTTTGCCAAAATACCGCATTTCTGTATCTTGACGATTCCATTACCATTACGGCAAAGAGAACCGGCAGGCAAACATTTCGAATCACAACAGCTCATAACCTCAGCAATTTTTGCCAATTTGTTTTTGGACAAAACAAACATCTTGAAATTAAACATTTAATGATTTTCTGAAGGTTTCAAGAAATCTTAGGAGATAAAATTGTAATATCAGAGAAGAGAAGCAAAATAGAGACCAATTTTTAGCCAAATACTACAGAATACCGTAAATACTCGAATAGAAGCCCATCTCTAATATAAGCCCATCTGAGAGGACCCATTGAAAAATACAAGCCCAGGGCTTCTATTAGAGTAATTACAGTATTTACTATTTTTCCTTTAAACTCACCGTTATAGGTTGTGGTGGAATGTTTCGTTCCACCAGCTTTTTGAGTTGTTCCATCGTTGAGTCAGCTTCTTGTTGCTTTCCAGACTGCTAAGAAATACAAAAAAATTAAAAATTTTCTTTTTAATTTCGTACATGGATTTCTCCAATTTGTTGATAAACATTAGTAACTTTTAGTTGTAACTCCATAACAATAGTACAAAGACTATCGTATTTGTCCGCGTTTTTCTTGAGATTTTCGTCCATAGCAGTCAAGCGTTTAATCATTTCATCACGAAATGTTAAACACTCCGAGTTGGTACAAGATTCAATGTCGTCAAGCGAGTTAGCGATAGATATGGTAGATAATTTTCGATCCATTTTCATGGAAAGAATTTGATAATGCTTAAAATCTGATAGTGCTTAAAAATAAATAAATTGAGGAAAATTTTAAACAAAATAAAATGATAAATTTAAAAACAGAAGGTAGAAAGTTAATAATTTAATAAATGATTTTTCTAATTTGGCAGTTAATGCTATATTTTCAGTCAGTTAAAGCCAGTTAAAGCTATATCAGTTAAAGCTATATTATGTTAAAAAAATATATTGATAATTAAGTAGAAACTTAGTAGATATTTAATAAATAAAATGAATAAATGATTAAAAAAAGTAGATGGACAGGCATTTTATACTTGGTCATTTACTGTTGTAATTATTTAGGTCATCTAATGGCAAGTGAAAATATTCAAAGTTTTGTCTGTTTTTTGATAAAAGAGTGTAATTAGGCAATTTTTGCATTAATAAATTCAAATATATTTGCTTTAAGACTGTTACACTTAAATTGTGAGTAAAAGAAATAAAAATAAAATAAAAATAGTACAACTTGTCTTGAAAAATTTGAAATTTTGAAATTCAAAAGAAGCTGGATTAGATAAAAATGATATTGAATTCTAATTTAGTAATTCTGTTTTGTTATTAATTCGTAGAAAAGAGAAAAGATATGTACATAGTACCAAATTAATTAAAATTTAAAATATCGACTTTTGTTAATAATTTTTATGAACATTTCCAAAGAACGATGTCTCTAATTTATTTCAAATCTCAAATCTCTAAAATCAAAGGAAATGTTTATCTGAAAACCCATAAAATTTGCTACAAACTTAGGTAAATTTGCCGTTAAAAAATTCATGGAGATAAAAGCCAAGAAGTTGAATCATTTGTGGGGTATTTTAGGAGGTTTAGGAGTTCCGTACTATTTTATAGAAAAACTATGGGCTTTTAGATGGGTTTAAAATAAAATTTTTAATGAAAGCTCTATGGTGTTAAAATATTTTTTGAAGTACTGTATTCCCACATTCCAAGTCCGAAAAAATTTGTCGTCTTGGCAAGTGACCAAAATTTAATTAGGTAGTCAAATTGTAATCTTTAGATTTTTAAAATCACATTTATCATTAATAACAATTTTTTAATTTTAAACAGTTTTTTTCTTTGATTTTTACGATTTCATCTTGATTTTCAATTATTCCAAAAACTATAAGCATAAAAATATTTTGTATAAGAAGTACTTATCATCATTATAATTACTATACCTCTTCTAAATATACAAGTATTGTTATTGAAGAATGTTTGAGATGAAAACAATAGGATATTTTTATGTTTGTTCTTTTGTTAAACAAAAAATATTTTTTTGTAAATTTAAGAAATAAAATAATTAACAAAAATTAAATAGTTTAACGGAGACTTCTACATAATCTGATATAATTTATCATAAAAATTGTCCATAATTTCATCCCTGACAATTCTAAAAAATCACTTCATATATTTCCACCCCCGAATTTGAAGTTGCTACATATTTTTCTGCGATAAATGAGGAATAATAGAGTTCAATTTAGCTGAGTTTATCGAAAATTAATAATTAATAAAAAATAGCAGTTTATATTTCAAAGAAGCGTTCATCGAATAAAATCATTCAATAAATCTTCTGACAGTCTGTTGTTGCTACCTGACAGCTTTGGCCTTTAAATAATATTTTCTAATTTTCTCTTTCTCTTTTTCTAATTTGTTTTACAATAAAAATATGTAGTTATTTCTATGGCCACAATTTAAATAAATATATTATTTTGTTAATTAAATAATAAAATTATTTTTGTTAAATTTAATATTTAGTTAAATCTCCATTTATTTTCACCCAAAATTACATAACACTTTCGATTTTACATACATATTTTAAATTATTTTTGGTGACTGTTTGTGTGGTGGTAGGCTGCCTAAATGATAATCTCAACCTTGAATACACTCAATTTTACATAAATTTTGCTGTCCCGAGAGTGTATGTAAAATCAAGATTCTTTTGTATTGGAAAAAGTTAATCTCTAACATTTAAGTGGGGGCTTTATTACTAACAATAAGTAACTTACTATTATTATTTCCATCACCTTAAAATTTTCTTATTTAGGTAGTTCTATTGTTTTTCTTATATTTTTTATGAAGTTGGTTTCTTTAAGATAAATTCACATTCATTTGTGATAAACTAACCATTCGAGATTCGATATTTCTAAAAGAAGTTACCCTTGCTGCTGTACAAAAATTATTAAAAATCTTTTGACTTTAAACTCTTACTTTCTTATCTAATTTTTGTTCAACTTATTAAATAAATAAATATTTTTAAATTTGGTCCAATACCCTAAATATATTTAATATTTATTTTCTCTCTCATTTACTACTTATAATCCTTTGTTTTATTTAACTTTCAGGATCATGTATCACGTCGAAGAATTAAAAATATATTTATTTATTTACTTTCTTCCATCCTCTTCCTCCCACTTTCTTTTTTCATTTTTATCGCTCGCATGCCTTTCCCCCCTTTCAATCCACAAAAATATTTTCCCGGCGGTCTCGACCAGGACGCTTTTAAAACCAACAACATTCCCTATAATACACGTCTCCTTTGTTTGTCCCTTCTCCTTCCTTCCCCTCCATTCGCGATCAATCTCCCCAACTCATCCCTTACTTTTTTAGCATCTATCCATTCATCTACCACTTTCATAAGCGATTTTAGCAACACATTTATTTCTTTTAAATATAATTTTGTTCAAAGTCAAACACTTTTTCTATCTTTTTTTTTATTTTTGATAGCACACATTTATTTTTTTAGTTTTTAGATGACACACAATATTTTGAATTAAATACTAACACATTTTTACTTTTTTTTTTATTTTCTCTATTAAAAGTGAAAACTCTGTTGGTTAATTTCTTAATTTAAATTTTTTTCTATTTAATTTTAAAATTTTTGAAATTAAATCCTATCATTGTTTAAATAATTAAAACAAATAATTGATCAAAATCATCAGATTTTTATTTAAATATTACTTAGTATTTTAATTAAAATTTTCTTCATTATAAAAATTTGTTTATTAACTTAATTTTCCATTAACCTTATAATAAAATAAAATTAAGAAAGGAATGTTTCTTTCCCTAATTATTTCTTGCGGGATTTCCTTTATTTTTACAATTAATTCTTTTACTTTCTTTCTTATAACCAAATATTATTATTAAATATTTTTGATTCTTTCCTCCGATTACGCCCATTAATATAATATAAATAATCTATGTAGTAATAAATATACATTAAATAAATACATACTCCATCCATTTTCTTTACAAAAAAATAAATTCTTGAGTTAATTAATTATTTTTGTTTGGTTTTTAATTTTTTTGAGAATGGGATATGGAATCTTAGAGGATACCTATATTATAAGGTATTACTATTATCACAATGTTCGAGCCCAAAAATTAAAAAAAAGAATTGGTGAAGGGAGTGAAATTTTCTGTTCAAAACAAAGAATCTCTTAGTATGTTTTGCATTTTTGTAAAAGAAATGCAAAAATTCCTTCCGTAGAAATGAAAGGATTTACTTGGAGGGATTATCTCTACAAAATAAATAATCTCCAAATATTTTTGTTGAACACAAATCCCTCAAAATAAATGATTTTTATCTAAATATATAAAATATTTTAAGCATTTTATTTTGATTTTATCTAGAAATAAATTGAAAAAAATTAATAAATATTTTTTTTGAATATTTTTTTTGGTTGTCAATAAGGGGCATTTTCCGCGAAACTCTTATTTTCAATTTGAAGCAAAAATAAAAAGGAAAATATTTTTTGGTTTCTTTTTGTTTGTTAATTTCTTTTGTTCAAAAATTAAACAATACACGTTATAAACACTTGCACAGATTTTAGTATTAGAAGTAGAAACCGGACATTAAATCGATATTAATCGTTAGACGAATATCGGTATTGCAAAACGATATAATTTGACCGATCTCTAATTGGACTATTATAATTAATTAATGTAAGCCTTTAGAGGCAAAAAGTTTAAAAAATAATAGAAGGTTTTTTGATAGGTTTTCTCCTCTCGTGAATGTATTCTAATTTAAAGAAAATTATAACTTATTTTCTGGTCAAAAATCAAGGATTGTGGGAACTCAAATATTTAGCTATTTAACCTGAAATTTTCTATATTTTATTGTAAAAATTAAACTTCTAATCACTGAATTTTTGTTAATTTTTCTTTTTGAAAAGGCCTAACACTTCAAATTATTTTTACACATTTTCTCTAATAATCAAAATAAACTAGAAAGAAAATTTTTCGAAAAGGGGATGTTTTTTTGTTTTTGAAAGAACAAAAGATTGGAAAATAAATTGAAAGGAAAAAAGGAGGGAAGGGAGGAGGGAGGCTGTCTTCTTTATTTAGCGATTCATGTCGCGCATTTATCGTTATTAACAAAAAACCACTTTTTTCTTTTTTCTCGTTCATTTCATTCTTCAAATCAATTAACCTTTCTTTACCAGTTAATTTATTAGTGGCTAATTCGTTTTACCACCCAATAAAACATTTTTTTCTGCAAAAGTTTTTGTTGTACTTTTTATTTTATTTATTTTTTAATTAATTAATTTAATCACTTTTTTAGCAAAAATTAAGACTTTTTTCATATCTCTTTTTTATCCCAAGTTTTTTTCTCATATCCCTTATTTCCCTCATTTCCCTTCTAATCTACAAATATAATTTCTTTTGTTTTATTCCTTTTATTATTTAAAAAATGATTTTTATTTACCGTAAATGCTGAAATAATTACCCTCTCTCAAATAATTACCCCCTAGTTATTTTACTCAAACTTTAAAAATATTTAAAGAATTACTATCAAATTTAATTATTGGAACATCTTAAGACTCAATATCAAAAAATAAATCAATTTTGTCCATGATTGAGATAACCTAAATCCAGCACATCCTCTCTAATAATTACCCCCTCCAGCGAGAGATTAAAACGATAATTACCCAGGGTAATAATTATTCCAGCATTTACGTTATTTATTATTTTCTTCTCAACAATTTGTCTCTAAATAATTTAAAATAATTTTATTTAATTTTTAATTAATTATCTTTCTTTTCTTAATTAATCATTTTCGTTTGTTTTCATCAATTTTTTAACCTTTCCACAATATTAATTTAATTAATTTAAAAGATAACAGGGTAAACATTAATGAAAGAAAATATTTTCTTTAAATTTTAAATATAAAAATAAGGCCACTTTTTTAATGGTAGTACTTTTTATAATTTATAACTTTTTTTTATTTTTATTTAAAAAAAGAAATAGTATTACAAAATCAATTGGATTAGAAAAGTGTTAAAACGCCACGAAGTGATTAAAATAAAAGTAAATAAATATAATAAAAAATATTATTTTTTGCCAAACAATTTACATATTTATTTATTTTTATATACCTAAATATTTTTTGTGGAACAATTAAGTTAAGTTACCGTATTTACTTAAACAATTACTCCCTCCCTATTAATTACCCACTTCAGTCAAGGATTGAATAAATGATTACCTACTTAAAATTATTAATTTTTTATTAATTTTTAATTAATAAAAAAATTAATTTTTTTAATCTATTAATTTTTTATTACCCCCTACTGCGATAGATTACCCAGGGTAATTATTTTTTTTTATTAAATTTAGATATTTTTGAGTGTTTGAGTATCTACTGTATTTACTTTTTATAATTAGCCTTTTTGATAACTCTCATTTAAATTTTAATAAAATATAATTTACCTACTTCCCTAACAAAATTAATCAAGTAGATCTGGTAATTTAATTAATCTTCATTAACAATATTAATTTTTTAAACAAAACAAATTTACTTAAAAAATACACGGTGCTTTTTTATTTTTCATTTTAACCTTTTTTTACCTTTAAGTGGATATAATCTATCATAAAATATATTTGCTAGGGTTCCGTGACTTTTGCGCCGAGAACATTTGCGCCGCGACTTATGCGCCGCGACTTTTGCGCCGCGACTTATGCGCCGAGCGACTTTTGCGCCGGGGGACTTTTGCGCCGCGACTTTTGCGCCGGGGGACTTTTGCGCCGCGACTTTTGCGCCGGGCGACTTTTGCGCCGCCACTATCATTAAAAATATATCAATAACTACAGCCGGACCTCACTTTAGTAGGGTTGTCGAATAGTTGGAAATCTTCGGATCTGATATCCGAACTGAAAGTTTCGGATATCCGGCATTTTTCGGATCCGGATTTTCTAAACAATGGCGGCGCAAATGTCGCGGCGCATAAGTCGCCCGGCGCAAAAGTCGCGGCGCAAGAGTCTCGGCGCAAAAGTCGCCCGGCGCAAAAGTCGCGGCGCATAAGTCGCGGCGCAAATGTTCTCGGCGCAAAAGTCGTGATACCTTTGCTAGCATTCAAAAAATAAATAAAAAATATTTTTATTTTGTCGATATAAAAATAGAATATAAAACAGCTGTTTTTAATATTTATAGATTTAATTTAGATATTTTTGGTATATATGTATGTATGTAGGTTAAAAGAAAATTTTATTTGAATTAGAAATTCTGTTAATTAAAATTTAATTTTTAAATTAAAAAAATATTTCTACACAAAAATTTTGAAAAATTTTTTGTGTTGCCCAATTTTTTATTTGCTATCCTTATTTTACAAAAAAAATTCCTCTAATTGAGTGGCTGGCTGATTAACCTTCTTTCTTTCGAACTATTCTCTAAAGGGTAGCTAGCAACAAAGGAGGTACTCAAAACCAATTTCCATTTTCATTTAAAGATTTCAACCTATTCATTTTCCTATCAAAATTTTTTTTAATTTTTCTATTCAATATTCAAATTTAATAGTAATATTTTTCTATTAAAAAAACTTCCTTCTTTATAAAATTTTATGTAAAATCTTTAACATTTTCCTCTCTTCTAATCTTTTTAAATTTTCAATGTGACAGACTTACATATTTTTAATTTCTTTTTTATTTAAATCCTTTAAATTTTTCCAGGTGAGGGTATATTCTACCATCGACGGGGCCCGTCCCGGCCATTTCCCTAAAACTCCTGACAAAAATAAATTGTCTTCTTTCCATATTTTTATTAAATAAAAACAACAAATAAATTCTTTTCTGCCTTCATAAATCGTCCTAAAAATTTTTATATTTAAAAATGGACGAGGCTCGTAATATGGCACTTCTCTTTTTTGTAGACCATTTAATGCTAAAGGGAGGACAACGGACTATACACGATTTAAGTTGTAAGTTTTAGGGGAAAAGGGGGGAAGGGAGAAATGGAAAGGAAGGGCGGAACTTATGGAAATATTTTTTTAATAATTTTTATAGGATTTGGATTTAGAAATTTAAATAAAAAGGGAAATTGTATTCTTCTTTTTTGTCATTTTTAATATCGTAAATTAAAAAAATAAATTAAAAAATATTTTTTAATTATTAAAAATGATAGCGAATGAAGGTTTGGATTATGTTTAAAAATCAGATTGATAGATAACTTCAGCCGTTACTTAATTTAAAAATGCTAACGAATAATTCTAGTTAAGCCATAATTAATGTTTTTCAGCAAATCATTTTAAATTTTATTTTTAATCTAGGTCAATTCGGCGCACGCGGCTTTACAGAAGAAATGCGTCAGTCTGTCGGTACCACTCAGGTACTATTTATTAATAAAGCATACAGTAAATTCTAATTAATCTTCCTTTTTGCAGGAAGGCCTAACAGAGTTTCTCGGGCAATTTCCATCTTTATTTGTTCTAGATGGGGACCAAGTTAGTTATTGTTTTTAAAAATTATTTTAATTATTTAAAATTCTCTCTCCCTTGCCTTTCAAGAAAACATATCCGCATACATTTGAATGTTTTGTGAGACCCTACTTTACCCTCGGAATTTTCTTATCCTGAAAAGAATTCTCTCAATCATTACAACTTTTTATTTTGGAATTTAAGCCCTTACAAAAAATATTCTTGCTGTTTATGATATTACTGAATACTTTGTATTTAATATGCAAAATTGTTGAGTATTTACTACTAATCTGTTATTATTTTGTAAAATTTTGTTAGTGTGAGAGAATGATAAATATTTACAAATATATGTACATATGTTTTATTATTTTTGAATAAAGCAATATTGTATTTCATTATTCTATTTTGAAGGTAATTCTGAAAGGATTTGGTGAAGTCGAAGGAAAAAATCACCTTATGCATATTCCTGCTACTGGTCGACAAAGGCAAAAAATTATTTTATTTTATTAAATTATTTTTTTGTTTCTTTAGAGACTACGCAGCAGAAGCTGTCCAATTTTTTGTTAAAAAATTGGAAAAATTTGGGCCTGAATTGCAGATTAAATCATTGCTTGGTTAATTTTTTTATTTTTAATAATCTATTTACAAGCAATTAATTGTTTTCTTAATTGTAAAATATTATTAAATTAGGGCAATTAGTTAAAATAGAATGACAGTATCTTTTTAAATTACATTCTTAAATCTAATCTTATTGATACTGTCGGCTTCTGGTTCTTTTAGCTTCTGGTTCTAAAAACTACATATGTATCTCACTTATAGATTCACTCAATGCACCTCAATTTAAGAATATTCAGGTGCAAACCTTCCTAATTAGTCTCTGTACGGGATACTTGTATTCTATATTGAATAAAAACAATTAAATATTAACCAAATATTTATAATTTATTTCAAACAGGCCATCGTTCCCAAGCAGCACCAGAAATCCGTTTAGTTTCGGGTCGTCACCTAAAAGAGTTTGCCGAGTTTCTGGCCTCACAAATCGACCATTTTGTTGTCGAAGGTGATAGAGTAAGGCTAGCAAATATGTCAGAACCAAAAACTTGTCCTGATGAATTTGTGGATGAAGAAGGACGTCCATTAGCTGGGCACAAAGCAAAATTGGCAGCTATTGAATTTATGAAATCTGTTCTGGAACAGGTAAAAATAGATTTAAATTTTAATTAATTAATAAAATTATTTAAAAGAACGAAGAACAGCCTTATCCACTTGATTTATTCTACAAAAAATTTTGTGAACATTTCCCCCATCATATTCGACAGGAAGTTGCTACAAATCCTAAGGTAATTATTTTAATTTTTTTATAAATGGTTATTAGTTATTATGAGTTTTTCTTTTAATTAATTAAAATATAAAAATAATATCGAGTACTTTTATTAAAAATACTAAATTAAACTATATTTTTGTACTATTAACTAGAAATTTTAGAAATTACAAAATTACCAAAGATATTTTTATTACCTTCTAGCAGCTTAAATTTAAACTTAGTACTCTCGGAAAACCATCTGTAGATCTAGTACATTAATCAGTTAACTTGGGGATCCTTGTTGAAAGTTCACTCAAACTGCACTATATACATATTATTAATTTTCCCCTTAATTAAATTTTTAAAATATTTAAATTTCTCTCTATTTTTTATAGGAATTATTAATGTTTCTAAAATTAAATCGTCATCTTTTCTTCATTCGTTCAAATAAAGTTCAATTAGTTAAAAATCGTATACCAACATCTGAAGAACAACAAGACTCTGAAAGTGGAAGATCTACAGAGGATATTGGGGGTGGAGGAAATACAACTGGTTCTTCTTCATCTTCTAGTGAAAGAAGTAATGTTGCAAGTCCAGAAGTTATTACAACAACAAAAAATAATTCAGTTACAAATATTATATCACCAGTTATGTTTCCTTTATGTAGAGATAATTTACACTATGTACAATTTGTTAATACTTTGAAAAAAGCACAGGTAGTAAATAATTTTATTAAGTTAAATTAATATTTTTGTTGTTCACTGGGATAGTTTAAAAGATTTTCATTCATTTTTTGGTTTCTTGTGAGCCTGGAAGTAAATTTTTTTATTAGACATCCAAATAATTTTGTTGTTTAAAGCAATCCTCTAAATAAAAACACTTTAGGCTCCAAAAAATCATAAAGATCTTAGATTTTTTTGCTTTTTTCTCAAGTACGAGTAAGTACGAGGTACGAGGCCAAAAATAGGAGTGGTACGAAGTACGAGTACGTGCAAATTTGAAATTTATAGGCTCTGTTTAGGCCTTGCTAATATTATTAGTTTTTGAATTTTATATGTAAATAATCCCTTATTTCTATTTAAAGGATGCCGTAGCTTCTTTAAAATCCGACTTAGAAGCAGCTTCACCCAACGACCCTTCCAATTTTCTAGTTGTTGATTTTAAACTTGTCTGTCTTGGAGGTGGTTCTCATCATACCCCATCTGAACAATTTGTTGCCCTAGTAATTGTTTCAACTCCTTTAACAAATAAAAAATCACAACAACAAGGACAGTTAATTGTTTTTGATTTGGCACATTGTGAAGGAATATTAACTGATAAAGGAAGTCTTGGGGAATTATTAGAATCAGATAAAATTATTAAAGTAACACATGATGTTAGAAGAGCTGCCTGGTTACTTGGACAAAGATATGGAATTGAAATTAAAAATGTTTTTGATACACAGGTTATTTGGGAGTTATGAAATATTAGAAAATGTAGAGGGAAGCTTTATGCTAGGATGGGGTTTGTAAAAAGAAAGTTTAATGGATTGTTAACCCTTTTCCTTTGGGACTGTTTTTACATGAAACATGACTGGGTTCAAACACATTTTAGACACATCTGAATTTGATTTCGCTAGGTAATATAAGTAATATAGGTAATATCCTTTTTAATATAATATAGGTAATATCTAGGTAATATCCTTTTTCTTTTCATTTAAAAATTAAAAATTAATTTGAATATCCTTGTAGATTGCCCATTCTGTCATTCAACACCACAAATTTGGAAAGCCAATGGGAGAATTAAGAGCTATTTCTTTTGTTAATCTTCAACGTGTTTATAACCCTCAATCATTGGTGCTTAGCGACATTAGTCCTAGAAAACTTTCACAAACACCAAAGTTAGTAATTTTTACTCTAAATTTTTTAAAAAGACTGAGGGTTAATAATTAGAGAATTTTGAAAATTATTGAAGAGGTCATTAGGGAAACTGCGAGGCCCTCTCCTTTTTTTCTTCTAATTTCACATTAAATATTTCAAGTTGGGCTGATCGTCCTGTATCTCCAGACATTCTCCTTTCTGCTTGTGAAGAAAGTCACTGTTTGGCTAACGGTCTTTTTCGTTTGTTGGACTCCCAATTACCTCCACAACTTCGTCAGTTTTTTGAACAACTTTGTATAGAAGCAATAACAACTAATAATATGGAACAACAACAACTAAATCCTGTATTAAATAGAAATGGACATATTGCTCAACAAAATGGATGCTCAGAATTAGCGGGGGGACAACAGCAACAACGCCGCCCATTGCCACAACCACTTATGGAACTCCCTTTGAATGGCAAGTGGATATTTAAAGTTAAAGCCGTTGAGTCTTGTTATATGCCCAACTAGAAGAGAATATATCTCAATCTAAATATTTATTGTAGGTATTTATCGCCCTCCAGGCATCCGCCGTCGAGGATCCATTCAACCTCCTTCACTTCTTAACGGAGGAAGCCCACTTGGAAGTCCACTTTTTGGAAATTCACCATTCAGTGGAGGAGGGTATATTCCTCCACCTTTGAGAAAAGTTTCTGCTCCAATGGCGGCTCAATCACTTATGGGACAATGCCGTTCACCAACAATAAGAAATGTTTTTGGGGGTTTCCCAATTCCAACAACACAGAACCAAAAATGTGAAATGAGAGATGCAGAAACACAAACAATAAGTACTGGAGAGATTGCCGTTTTGAAAGTTAGAAAATTAAAAAAAAATAAAGAGATTTTAATTATTAGGGCCTTTTTTGAGGCCCTATGTTCCCAATTAATGATAATTTTCTGAATTTTCAATCTATACGTTACTAAGTCCACGAAATAGAACTTGAAATTATTTTGAGAATCATTGAAACCATGTCTGTGACTGAATTTTTTCTAGATCCCGATATTTTTTATATTTTTTCTCAAAGGTTTATTATGACGACGAAGAAAAAGAATTAACAAATGGAAATTCAAACAAAAATTTTAATTCAAATGATAAGGCTATTAAAATTGAAAATATTGAGACAAATAAAGAAGAAAAGCAACTTTTAAATGTAAAGGAAGAGGAAAAACAAAATAAAGATTCTGTTGGAGAAACAATTTTAGAAGGAAATGAAACTGTTTAAAAAATAAATTTTTAAAAATTATAATAAAGGCTGTCATAAAAAAAGAAATGCCATTTTTTATTCAACCCTCATAACTAGGGTTGTCGGTTTACTGGAAAATTTTCGGATATCCGAAACCGACCCGAAAAATCATCCGGTTCTTCTGTTCCGACAACCCTACTCATAACATTTTTTGATGAATTTTAGTAACCTATATTTTTATCGACTACTTAAAATAAAAACTTTATTAGCGCCTTAATGTTAGCCTTATTTCTTTCGAAAATAAAAATATTTTTCTCTGTAAATATTCAAAAACTTTTCTTAAATTGTGTTTTATCCACAAAATACCTTTCTTTACTTTTTGCCATTTTTCTCGCAAATTTTTCATATCTTATTAATAATTGCCCAATAAATAAATTAAATTAATTAATCTATCTTCACATTAAATAGAGGTTCTATTTATTGAATTACTTAAAAATTCTTCAAAAATTTTTAAGAAAATTTTTAAAAATTTAAAGGAAAATTTTTAAATAAAAATGCTCACATTATTATTTAATTTCTTCTAATTTTCTTTTTCTACGCCAAAAAATAAAAATATATTTGTTTAATAATATGCCAAAATGCCTTTTTTGTATCAAAATCGCTCCTTTTTTATTGCACGATTTTCTATGTGATTTTTGTTTTTTACATATTTGTTAATAAAAAATTTATTTTGTCTTAAAAATGAAAATTAAAAAAAAATTTTATTTTAATTTTTGGGGAAGAAATTAAGGAATAAATAAAAAAATTTTCTCATTAGAAGTTGGTTTTGGTTGTGTTAACATTTAACTTAAGAGCTTTAATTAGAAAGCGATACAAATGAATTAATTAAACACAATAAGGGATAAGGAATAAGGGATTTACGTCCTTTACCAGCACAACAAAGTGTCATAACAAGCCAGTTACTAGTTTATTTTTTAAAGGCAAAAAAGAAATTTACGTTGAATCTGTAGAAAAAAAAACAATAATCTCCATTGCAATGAAAGCCCTTCTTAGGGGGTGTGAAAAGGATTAAGAGACAGAGAGAAGTTTCTGTCCTTACATGGGGACCTGCACTCTCAAAAATTAAAAAGGTTCGAGTTTGATCAATGCTCAAACAGAAATACATATTGCATTTAACCCTATCAAAACAATGAACACAAAATTTACAATTTTTATTGAACCAAAATAAATACACAAACAACAATGGGTGAGTAAAAAGAACCATATATGTATTATACAACAAAGTGAATGCTAAGAATTGAGGATCTAATACAAAGACATTTAGGGGGCATATATACATTTATGATGCATACATATACTTTCTATCGAGAGAAATATCACTGCTTTTATTATCGTCTTCGTCTCAAGGAAAGCCCTCTTCATTCCGCGCACAGCTTCACATCCAGCTTGAACTCCGATGCTCCATTGGCGAATGGTCCTTTCGGATCAGTTTGACTAGCTTCGACAGGCTGGAACAGAATCTCCAGACGATCATCACTTTTCGGCGGGCCAGGCTAGAAAAAATAAAAGAAGTTAATGGTTAACAGTCGATTTATTAAAAGTTTAAAATCCAAAACTCCTCACCAATCGGTTCACGTCGATCTTCACAGAGCCCAGAGGTTCAATGAATCCGTAGACAGAGCTGACACGGTAGTGCTCATTGTTCGTCGACTTGACCTTGTAGCAGTAGCGATTCTAAATAAAAAAGAAAGATTAAACGATGTAAAGGATGGAGGAGGAGGACTTGAGGACTTACATGAGGACTTGCATTCTCCAGCACGATTGGTGAAGTCCCGCCGTTTGCCTCCACAACAACAGAGTCAGGATCCACAGCAATCGGAGTAGCCATGGTCGACGAATGAGCGTGAGTAGACGAGTAGCAGATGAGTAGATGAACGGAGCCTCTGTTGAGTTGGTTGAAGGGGGATAAATCCAAGGGTATTTATAGTACATTTTTACAGGTTTTAATTAAATTTCAGATTTAATACCTAAATCGGAAATAGAATGGAATTTGGTGGAATTAAGGAGGATATTAGAAGTTTTGGACGGATATCGCTGATTTAAGAATCAGAGGAGTTGGGAGAAAAAATTCGTTGTTTATGAATAAAGTTGGCGGGTCCTGGGAAATACTCGAATATCCGGATCCGGAACCGAAATTTTTATTAAAGTAGTGAAGATTGTCTGGAGACGGACAATATTTCATGCAAAAGTGATGGATAATAAATATATATTTTTTTAAAAGTTAACTGGAACTGCTTTTTGAATTTCTTTAGTTCCAGTTCTGGAACCGGTTCCAAAACATTTCCAGTTTAAAATTTTTTAGCCTATTCAATTTTTTTTTGTTTAATCTCAATATTTAGCTTCGAAATTTTATATATTTTATTTTCAATGGAAACACTATTTTCATGTTCTATTACTTTAAAGCATATTAATTCTTCTATAAGAAACTAGAAACCTTATTTTTTCACAAAAATATTAACTTCTAATTCTATTGGTTTATGTAAAAACCGAACAGAAAATCTTCAGTTATTTGTTCTAATTTGAAATTTTCAACTCTTTGTACAAATATTTCAAATGAATTACACCATAAATTACACAATTTTTAAGAAAAAATAATAGAGAAATAACATAACTAACTTTGATTTTTGATAACTTTAACAAAAATTTCAAAAATAAAAATTAACAATTTTAATAAACTTTTTTATATCTTTTAATCGATTTTATTAAAATTTAAAAAATTTTTTTGTCGTTGAGATCGATTTTGATTTTTTAAAATTTTTAAACAATGGATAATTTTAATTGATAGACGATTAAGCAATAGACAATTTTATTCATTAAAGATTTTTAAATTAATTATCATTTTTTTTAATATTTAAAATTTTAGAAAATAATTAATTAATTAAAATAAATAAAGTTTTAATAACCTTATGAAAACTTATTTCAATTCATTCTGACCAGAGTTGTTTCGAAAAAACATCGAAAGTTCGAAACCGCTCTGATCCTGACAGGCCACTTTAATATAAGAATATAGTATTTTCTCTAATTGAGCGGCGGCCACCATCTCAACGCCAGTCTCTAATAGATCGGCACCACCTCAATAACTGCAGATTATTGCCTTTAATTTAGGTTTCAGCGGTTCTTTGGTGTCTATTTCCAATTACTACATTCCGATTCATAATTAAAAATTTTTATGTGTGTAACACTAGAATTATGTTGGACAATTTATCGTTCTTTTAATTGTAGGGGTGCAATGGAGAGCTGGGGATTTTTGGGATTAACAGAGATTAGCTCCATTGGTTTCTCAGTTGGGGATATATCGAATAAACGGATTGGCAAACTTTAAAAATGCCAATTCCAATTGGAATTGGCATTTTTAAAGTTTCTAATTCTACAAAATTATTTAGTATTTATTTAATAAATTTGTGTTTATTTATTTTTGTAAATCTTATTTTTACAATAGAAAATTCAAAAAAAATCCAAAAATGACTAAATTCATTAAATCTGTTCAAATCCTTTTATTTTTATTATTTTTGGTGTTTATTACCAAAAATGTTTATTGTGATGATAGTGACGATGAGTGTAGTAGTTATTTTGGTTCTGATGATGAAAATGATACTGATACTGGGAGTGATACAGAAGAATCTGATGTAGAACCTCCTGCTGAAGACAATGGAGGATATTGGTCTGACGACTCATTAGATGGTATTTTAACAATTAAAAATTCAATATAGTAATTTAATTTTAATTTAGATTAAGTACTTAAAATAAATTTAATTAAAATAAATTTAATTAAAAAATTTATTTTCAGGTATTAATGTTGATAATTTGCCTGTGAGTATTATTTAATTAAATTGACTAAAATTTTTAATTGGAATTCAATCATTTATAGGACCATTATCCTACTGACACCGACGATGATGATGATGATTATGATGGTAATGATGATGATGATGAGTGAGTGGTATCTATAAGAAAACCAGTAGTATCTGGTTATTCGTTTCCTCCATTTTTATCTCCACCTTCGGAGATAAAAAATTATTTCACCTTTATTTATTATATGGTAACCGCATTCATATATCATTCGATTCTTCCCGACAAACGGAGTATGATTTATTTTATTATTTTTTGTTAGCCAAAAGCAAACCTGAAAAATTACAGAATTAAAAAAACTATAAGAGGAGTAAGTTCATTTTTGGATTAAAAATTTATAATTCTGTTCAAAATTATCGAATCAGACTGCTTTTAGTTTTATTCAATTCATCTCAACGAGCTCTATCGAATGATATATAATTTATCCTTAAAACTATCAATCCTCGATTATCATGTAGAATTCTGTGAATTCTGTTCCCCAACATATTTTTGTGTTTAATTATAAAACTGTATATATTTTTAGTTAAAATTTCTTATTTAAGTTATTTTTAAATTAATTAAGTTATTTTTTTAAATAAGCCTAAATAAGCATAGCTTACGGCACTAAAAAAAGAATGAAATCTGGTTTTCGTAGTTGGAGTACATCATGCGATTTAGGAGTTATCCTTTCAAAAATTTCTATACAAATTCTCTCCACAAAATTAGATTCTATGAAGGAAGTGAATGAATATTTAGATAAAGAATAAATACTGGGCTGATTTCTTGGTTTGGTGCTGATTTATTGTAGAGTTTTCGATTTCAACCAAATCGTTCTGGAGCCGGAACTATTATCTCCTGCAAGACGGAGCTTTTATTCTACTCAGCCGGAACTTTTATCTAGTTTAATAATGAAACATACATATACAATAATGAACATATACTCTTTATTCCTTCAAAGCAGATTTGGATTAGAAGTATATCGGGGATTTAGTAGGGTTTGGACGATTAAAATGGATATCGTTTAGATTTGGAAGGTCTTCACTGTTTCTGAAATGTTTCATTTAATAATGTTAGAAACTTTTTTAAAGTGAAAATTAATTTATTTATAAAAATTTAAAATTTTTTAAAATTCTTTAAAATAAATACCTCTAGACTCTCTCTGTCAATGAATTATTTTCACAATTTAATGCTTAGGTTACGGTTTTAGATACCTGTAGATCCAACGAACCACCATCACTAATTTGAAGGTCTCTCTTCTGTCCGAGAGACTACGCACTTTTTATTCCCTCTTTTCATTCTTAGCTCATTTATCATTTTGGCTCATTGGCTCATTTATTATTTTGGCTCAATTTGTTTAAAATTTAATTCTTAAATTGTCAAAGTTGGGTTTAATAATTTATTAACTTAACTTTGGCTAGCTTCTATGAGAAACTAATCTAATTTTTCAGAAAAATATTAACGTCTAGTTTTATATGGCACAAGTTGTGTATTTTCACTAAATTACATAATTAACTTTTAATCAGCCAATTTTTCTCAAAATCTCTCCTTTTTCGTTTTAATTTAAATTTTGACTTTATAAAGAAAAAATTATCGGAAAAGTAAGCAAACTTTGATTTTTTATTATTTTAAGGAAAAATTCAACAAAAAATATCAATTTTAATAGAATTGTAATTTTTTAAAAGTTTTAAGTTTTTTTAGTTTTTTTCGTTTAAAGCCTTTTTTATTTATATTAAATCAATTTTTAAAATTTTTAAAATAGATTTTGCTGGGTTAAAATTGATTTTTATAGATCCCTTTATCTTAAGAGTTTTATAAATTCTTAGACAATAGAAAAATTAATTCATTAATTATAATTCTTACCAAGAATAAAATTTTTTAAGGATTACTTAGAGAAATTTTAAATTATTTCTCATTATTTTTAAAATACTTAGAATCTTAGAAATAATTATTTAAAGACAATAAATAAAGTTTTGAAGAATTTTAGGATAAATTTGCTTCAATCCTTAACGTTCCTCTTTTTAAAAAAAAACTAATAATCTATTTTCGGATAATAACGAAACAATTTATGCATATTCTGTATAACTAGTGTTTATTTCTATAAATTTAACCAAATATTTTGTAAATTCCATTTTTACAATAGAAAATTCAAAAAAAATTCCAAAAATGACTAAATTCATTAAGTCTGTTCAAATCCTTTTATTTTTATTATTTTTGGCGTTTATTACCAAAAATGTTTATTGTGATGACAGCGATGATGAGTGTAGTAGTTATTTTGGTTCTGATGACGAAAATGATACTGATACTGAGAGCGAGGGAGAAGAATCTGATGTAGAACCTCCTGCTGAAAATGATGAAGACAACGATGGAGGATATGAGTCTGATTCGTCTATCGACTCATTAGCAGGTATTTTATTTCAAATTATAATCTAGATTAAAAAGATAAATAATTAGTAACTCCTTTTAAAATAAATTAAATAACTAAAAGATATATTTTTAGATTTTAGAGGACTAGATTTAACGCTTGTGAGTATTATTTTTAATTTTGAAAACTTAATTAAAATTTATTAATTTATAGCTCGGCAATCTTTCTGACCTTTCTGACACCGATGATGATGAAGAGTGATATTTATAAGATTAATTGATTTGTGATATCCAGTTATCCCCCACAAATTTTTTTATCCTTTCGGCTTTATTTTATCATGTGGTAACCGTTCGAAACTCGTTGATACATTGTATACCATTCGATTCCCCAAAGATTACTGAAGAGGAATATCGAATTACATATTTCTTTTCAACGAAAAAATATAGTAAACAATTGCAGACCCCCAAAAATTAAAAAACAAAAATTTTTTGATTTTTATAATTTTTTTGAAAACAAAATTAAAAAAAATTTTTGGATTAAAAATTTATAATTTTGTTTAAAAATCATCGAATTAGACTGATTTTTGTTTTATTCGATTCATCTCGACGAACTTTTTCGGATGTTGTGTATATAATTTATCCTTAAAACTAACAATCCTCTATTATCATGAAGAATTCTGTTCCCCAACATTTTTATATGTTTAATTGAAAAACTGTATTTATTTTTGGTTTAAATTTTTTATTTAAATTATTTTTGTTGTTTACAACTATGACAATGTGAAAAAACTGAAAAAAATAAAACAAGCCAGGAATTATTATAAACAAGATTTTCTTCAAATCCCAAATATATAACAAGGTTTTCTTTAAACTCCCAATATATTTTAGTTTAAAATTTTTTATTTAAAATTTTATTAAATATTTTAAATTTACTGCCTCCCTCCTGGATAATTTTGCGGTTAATATAATTAGATTTTTGAGGAAAATAAGGAAAATTTCACTTGGCACCTCTTATACAGTATCAAAGAATACTCCTTATTTACATAAAAAATTAAATTGAAGTTTCTTCTTAAATTTTTTTAAGAATAAAAATCTTCGAAAATAGAAAAAGTCAAAATAATTAAATAGAAATAAATCCCTTTAATTAAAGTTAATTAAAAATATTTTTAAATAGAGATCGAGTAAAATAAATTATTTAATAAATTATATTCTTTATTTAGTTTTAACAGAATAAATTTTTCTATAAAATTTTTATAAATTTTTTTAAATTTCCTGTCTAGCTTTTATTAAATGTGGAAAATTTTAAATCATTGAACAAACAAATTTCAATTAAAATTTAACAAAAAAAGAAGAATTTTCTTCTAAAATATACGAAAAGGGAAATAATTTTTTGTTTAGCTTTGATTAAAAATATTTATATAAAAATGCTACAAAATATTTAAAAAATTTATTTTAAAATATTCTTTTTTGTCTTTCTCATTAAATTTTAATTGTTCAGTGAAATAAACTAAATGGTCTCACCAATTTCCAAATTCGAAACTTTGTCTTAAGGAATTTTTATCCAAAAAATATAAAATATTTTAAATAAAATGATGGGGCTAAAGTTAATCAATTTCTATACATATTTTCTTAATTAAAAGTTCTCATTGAAGCTTACCGTGTATCCTTTAATAACTACCCTGGGTAATTATTGTTTCGACCTTCCACTGGGGGGGAGTAGTTAATCGAGGGAGGGTAATTATACGAGGTTAGAAATCTGAACGTGTTTTAGAGCATTTGTTGATGGAAGTCGGGTAAGTATTGGAGTGAGGGGAGAGCAATTAATGCAGGTTACTTAGTCTGTAGGTCTCTTTGGGTATTCTGATTTAAAAATATTTTGATCCCTTTGTTTCAGATAAATTTTAATAATTCTTTTCTAATTTAAAATTAATTTTCAAAAAATTTTTAGGGTAAATAATAATAAATAGAAAAATAAAAATTACAAAAAATGATTAGTATTTTGTTGATTATTTTTGGTTTTCCAATGTTTTTTGAAGTTTGTTTTTGTGTTGATTGGCCTCAAGCTAAAAATACAATTAATGTATGAATATTTAAATATGTATATTTATTTATAAATTATTTATTTAGTTAGAGCAAACTTTTCCTGTAAGTAAATACCTCGATTGTGGATATAATCGTTATGTGCCAAATTTAAAAAATGGAAAGTGGGGGAGTGGAGAATTTATGTTCCCGGTATTTCAATTGCAAGAAGGAGCTACGATAAAAAGATGTATTTTCTCTGGTGCTGATGGAATTCATTGTAATGGAAGTTGTATTGTAGAAGATTGTTGGAATGAAAATGTTGCTGATGATTCTATTACCCTTCTTGGTTAGAAATAGTTTAGAATAAAGGAGGGGGGTTTTGAAGTGCTAAACATAATTTATAAGAGAAATTTTATTGGAATAGATTTGTATAGTTCACATCCCGAGCTTCAAATATTCGCAGTTAAAAATGTTTAAAAATTAAATTTAAAGGGAGTAATCCAGGTGCAGTATATACAATTCGTGGTGGAGGTGCAAAAAATGGAAAAGGGAAAATTATACAATTTGACGGGGCTGGAACACTAAATGTCAACAATTTTTATGTTTGTATTTTCACATATAAATTTACCAGTCTTTTTAATTAATGGACTATTTCATTATCCCCTTTATTAAGTCAAAATTTAAAAAAATTCTAGATTCATACATGTGGACAAGGAATACGTACTTGCGGTAATTGTCACCCACAGTATCGTAACCGTAAAATAAATGTGAATGGATTAACTATAGAAAGCCTTGAGATTGGACAATATGTTGTCGGGGTAAATAAAAATTATGGAGATGTAGCTACTCTCAAAAATATTCATATTCTTGGACCAAACGCAAATCAAGTATTTCCTTGTAAAACATTTGAAGGAAATGATCAAGGTAAAAATCCAAAAGTTCTTGACATGGAGGATGATAATGGAGGAGATGGAAAATATTGTATTTATAAAAAAAGTGACATTCATATTAACTCATAAATTAAAAATAAAAAGATGGGAGAAGTTTGATGTAAAATATGGGCTTTAGAAAAATTTAAAAATACTATAATTCTAAAAATTAATTAAATATTAATTTCGAAATAATAAATAATAACCTATACATACCTCGAAATATTCAAATTATCTACATATTTATTGTAATATGTAGAATAAATTTTTATTTAATTTTACAAGATAAAATATAAAATTATATTTCTCATAATTAGTAGAACCTGTTGATCTTGTGTACTTTTCGAGCTAGGAGTCCCGGAAAAAATTGGGCTCCAAGATTTTTTGGAAAATTGAGCTCTAACTTTATGGAAAATTGGGCCAGAAATTTGGGCTCTAAAATGTCAAATTCACTATTTAAGTTTAAACCCCCCGTTCTCCTTTGATTTTTTAAGACTCGATGATGCGATCCAGTTGGTTAGTCTTTTGGGATAACTTAAAATCTTAGCCCCAATAAAATTGAGGATAAAAACTTTGTTTCGATTATATAAAATTATCATCTTCAACAACAGAAAATTGTCAAATTATTTATTTAATTTATCAAAAAATCAGTGAATTTAAAAAAATTTAAATAATTGTTAATATAAAAACCAATAATATTTTTAAAGCAAAAAGTTTGCTAAATGATTTTTAATTTTGGTTAGAAAATTAAGATCGAAAAAATAATACCCTCTCCCAATTTACAAAAATTTAATATTTATTAAAGTCGGGTTCTAAAAAGATATTTAAAAATTCCAAAAATCATTTCCCAATTTCTCTACCTATTATTCAGTAAATGTTACTTAAGAAAGCAAAGCCTTAAATTTTTTAATTCTTTTTCATTCAAGTTTTTTCTGTTTAATTAACTTCAATAAGCAGCCTCGTGATTATTGATGTCATAAACAAAAGGCTTGGCCGGATCATTCCCAAAATTAACCAGAACATTGACACTTTTCATAATAACATGTGGAAGCATATCTTCCTCATCCACAAGAAAAGTTTTCCCTTTAAAAAGAAAAATCTGAGATTTTCATAATTAAAAACTAGAATTTTGTGTTAACAATATATTTCTTCCCAAATTAATTTAAGAAAAAAAAATTTTTATTTACGAATTTTTATCCCATCTTTAGTAAAGAAGAGTTGCATTTTAGCAGACGGCATATTTCGAGGTGCAAAATTCTGTCCAATACCTAAGACAAAATTTCCATCAATTGGATCGCTAAAAATAGTGTTGTTGTTTCTGTCAGTTGTGTGGTACATTCCGTCTTTGCCTATACGATAATAGGTATTCTCGTCCTTCAAAAGTCCAACTTGAACATCACAACTAATAGAAAATTTTTACCAAAAATTCATTCATCCAAAAATTCAAATAATTATTTAAACATAGACTTATACTAAATTTATCTACATATTCTAACAAGCCCATCCTTAACTAAAAACCCCCTCTCTCTCCTCAAAAAATCCCCTACCTATTTCCATCATCCTCATCAATTAAAACAGTCATTTCACAATAGAAAGTAACATAAACATTATCTGGAATGTCAGCTGGAATATTAGCGCCCATATTTTTGTTTTCAGCGAAAACCATAACAGAACGATTTTCCTCTTAAAATTAATTTTATTTTTAAAAAATTTGAAAATTTCCCAAAACTGTCAATTTGTGTAGAACTTCGATAAATGGCAGAATTCCCTCCCGGACGAATTTTAACGACTCCATTGCCGTTGTTACACAAACCGTTGGAATTTTTACAATTCTGATCACAACAACTTTGGGTGTCAGAAATTTTATCTAATTTATTTTCGCAATGTTTGTAGATCTAAAAATGAATTTGAAAAAAAAATTAAATTTTGGAGAAGGAATTGTAAGTTGGAGAAGGACATATAAACGAATGAAATTTGACAAAAAATAATTAAAAGATGAATCTGAAAATTTTATTTTTCAGCCTTTTTATGATTAAAGGGATGCCAAAGCAAGATCGAAAGTAATTTTGGAAGAAAGGAAAAAATTTGGACATGTTGATAATGTTTAAAGAACTTTAAAATTAATTTGCAACAATTCTAAGATAAAAAAATGTTTTTAAAAATTCCCAAAATTAAAAACAAAAAGTTACAGTTGAAGGAAGTGTCGGAATATTCTTAGCCATAATCTCGCTCCACTTTGTAATCTTTCCATCAATTTCACGCTTTATTTCCTAAATAATTTTTCAATTAATAAAAATTCCTTTATTTTTACATTAATTCCTTCAATTTTTGCAATAACATCAAATACTTTATTATTGCAATCGCTAATACTTAAATTTTGATTTAGAGTAGTAGTAGTTAGTTGATTTTGAAGATCTTCAATTTTTCTGTGTAGATCGAGATCGTTAATTTTTTTAGAAAGATTAGACACCACAGACTAAATAATGAAAATTAAATTTAAAAATTAAAAAAAAATTTCTTTTTTAATACTTCAAGAGCATAATATTTATCGCTCATTTCTTGATAAAGAGAAGAACAGACAGAGTTACACGGCTCATCACACCCATCAAATGATTTTTCTGTAGCTGTATCCTCCATCAAAAGGAAATTTTTTTGAAAAAAACTTCAATAAAAATTCTTTAAAAAATATAAATTTTTAATATATTTAAATAATGAAAAATGGGAAGAATAAAAATAAATATTTTTTAAAACACAAAAATAATTGTGACCAATAATTTGTGTAGTAGATTTAGGTTTAAGATTAAACTAAAATAAAAATCTAAACAATATATTTAACCATTTTATAAACATTTGTGAAGGATAAAGAGGGGAAGAAAATGTCTGTTTAATGGACAAATGTGTTTATGTAAATGTGATCATAGAAAATGATGACTAGTCAAATAAACATTTGTGAATATATTTATGTAAATTAATTGCAAAATAAAAAAGAAAAATAAATTCAAAATGTATTTTTTTTGTGAAAAAAATTTTTTTAGATTAAAAATAGGGGGTTGGGTGGACACAGAGTTTTACACAAAATTTATAATGATTCTCTAAAATTTTATCAAAAATTAAATTATAATTTCAATTTTCTTTGTTCAAATATTTATAATAAAGCAGGAAAATGTGTTGTTGCTTTGCTGGGAGAAGCACCTCCTTTTTTCTCTTCTAAAGGATTCTCAAACGAATACTAAAATATATTTTTGAGAGAAAATTTATTTTAAAAGTTTTGTTATTTTTAAATGAATTTTTTGAGAAGGGAAAATTTTAAAGTTTTACCGTATAAATGTATGTGTCATGAAGGGATCCATTTTCATTTTTCTTTTCTTTTTGAACGTCACCAAATTTTTGTTCAAAAAATGGAGGAATATTTTTAGGATATTGTGTTGTTGTTGGCCTTTTCCAATTCCTCATTGTTCCAGCCCAACGCCGTTGATATTGGTGTCCGTGACCTCCTTGAGCTGGCCCTTCATTTAAATATCCAGGTTCAAGTAGAGAAATGTGACGAGATATTTTGGTTCCAGCATGTCTGAATGATTGATAGAATTACATACATAAATATCCACATAAAAGTTTGGAATTGGGTCTCAAAAATTCTGATCATACTAATCCTTGAGAGCCACAAAGTAAGGGGAGATTCATAACTATCGAATGAATTTTTTGGTATACTATGGCTGTTTGGTAGAAACGGAAGTAAATCGTTCAGTGAGTAACATCCGATAGGGGAGGGTGGTGTTGTGAGAATTCTTAAATGATCAGCAATGAGATAGACCTTTACTAAATCTAACCTAAACCCTTCCTTTTGCTCAATTTCTCCATTTAAATTCTCTTCATTCAAACTTTGCCTTCTATTACGTCTCATTTGTGCTTTGCGTTGTAATGGTCGATAAATACATTGTTTGCACCCGTAAGCAAAACATTCAAATACAAGTTCGACAATTTCGAGAACAGTAATTAATGAAAATCCAATCCAAAGACCAATATTTCCTCCGAGATCAGAAAATAAATTAACTAACTAAAAAATGTCAGAATAAAATTTTCTAAAAATAAATAGGAGGTTGATTATCATTGATTACAATACAGAGGTAGGTTCAGAAATTCTAAATCTATCGGACCTCTGCCATAAGAGATTAGTTATTAGTTGTTAATAATTTTGTTAAAATTGTGAAATTGAATTAAATAATAGGAACAAAGTAAAAAAAACTAGCCGTATATCCAGGTGTTTCTTTAAGTTTCTCATAGTTCAATTGCTCATAATAAATTTCTATATAAGCAGTATTCTTTCGATAATATCTTTATATAAAAATAAGAATTAAATCTTTAAAAAATTTTTAAACTCCGTGCAAGAAGCCATTGTAAAATTATTTCCCAAAACTAAAGCACAATCGTCCTGTCCAATATTAAAATTTTGGGCTGGCCAAGAAGCTGCTGAATATGCAGTTTCGAATGTATTTTCTACAAAAATATTTAATTTAAAATTTATTTATGTAAATTAGAGGTGTATCCCGAATGTCAGATAGTGGGCATGTCGTGGTATGAGGTTCTCAAGCTAGGTGCGGGACTGGATTTGGGGAGTAGGTGAACATGATGTGTCGAGAAATCTTTCGAGGTACAAGGGTATAACACTAATTAAAATCACCAGTGCAAGGCTGTACACAATGACAGTCATGTGTTAAGTGATGGAAGCCTCCCAAGACAGCTGTTTGATTGGACAGACAAGCACGTTCTTTTGGGTTGCGGGCATCACAAGGACGGTCTTCACTTTCGTTGGGTAGTGGGAAACATGAAAATATTTTTTAAAATTAATTTTCTTTAACAAATAATTACGAGGATCTCCACATCCACAACGTTCCAAAATTATATGCTGAAAGCCTGTTTAATATTTAAAGTAAGCGAGATAGATTTTTATGGAAAATTATGTAAAACAAACAATTACGGTAGCAGCCCTAAAATTAAGAAAATTAATCCTCGGAAATTAATAGAAGACATTAAAAAATTATAAAATCATAGTTCATTCCTAGACAATCAAGTTTAGAAAAAATTACTTCAGGAGAATAATGTTCAGCATAAATATATCCAGCAGGTCGAAAAGTGTCAGAACATTTCCCATATGGAGCATCCAAACGATGAAGAATTTTTGTTTTTAATCCAAACGAGGAAACAAAACCGGTTGGGGCTGAGTAACCTTTTTAGAAATAATAATGAATATTTTTAATATTTCTTTAAAATTACCAAAAGTATCGGGAAATGGTTCTTGGTCTTGTTCGTGTACAACAATCCTTACCTAATAAAATAATTTAATTTTTATTTTATTTCGATATTTACTCCAGCAGCCTCAGTTGTAGGCATATAATCACTTTGATTTACATTAAGTAAAAGCCTAAGTCCATACATAGGACCTGCACGGGAATTTTTTAGCTAAAATCAAAGAAAATGATGAGATAAAAATTAGAAACAATCTCGTTTACCTCAACAGAATCATTAAAATTAAAAGTCCAACTTTTAATAAGAAAAAATTAACATATTTCAATTTAAAAATTCTTAATTTTACCAGTTTCCATATTCTGGATCTATTTGAATTTGAAAATCTCTTTAAAATTTTTTTTAATTTTCAAAAAATAATATTTAAACCTATTTAAATCACAATCTTTACTGTTAAAAGAACATCGAAGTACAAATTCATGTAAAGTATAACTTAAACTTTGCCTTATTTGCCGCGACATTCCAGCGACTGGAAAATTTAGATTTATTTGAATTTATTTATTGGTCTAGATTACCAAGAAAAATTAAATTTTCTTTTGTTCGCGTAGTGATGGCACCTCGATCTTTTAAATCCTTTAGAAAAAATGAATTTAAATGTTGATATTGGAATAATACAAGAAGGAAATGAGGGAAATTTTATAACTAATTTTTTGGTTAACCCCCCCCCCCCTTCATTTGTTTTTTTCTCAACTTCTAATTTCAAGCTAATCTCATATTCCAATATATCCCATATTCCTACTTATCTAACAAAATTAGTTTATTTAAAAGATTAGACTAATTAATTAGTTTACTTCAAGTCCAAAAGCTTCTTCCAATTCTGAAGGTGGTGGACGTGTTGTAAATGGATATATTGTATAATTATGTGGATTCCACCTATTTTTATAATTTTGTATTTCTTTTTTAATTATCAAAAAACCATTTAAAATCCTGTCCTAATTTTCTGCTATCTTTAATACAATAATGAGAGATTGGCTGGCAAAGACAGGGAATTGATGGTGAAGTTAATTTAATATTAGTTTTATTATTTGGAAGGTCTGGATCGTCACAAGTATTTGAATGAGAACAAAAAGAACAATGCTAATTAAATTTACAAATATTTTTAAAAAAAATATTTAGGATGAACTTTTTGTTTCCATACAAAATGAGCATAACAGGGCCATATATCCCCCATTTGTTGATCTTCATAGCAAAGACAAACAGAAGAATTTTTCTTTAAATAAAAAAAATATATAATTTGGAAAATCTATTTTATGGATTTTGTTGAATTTGAAATTATAATTTAAATCAGCTAGAAAAAGGAAACTAAATTTTAAGACCTAAAACTCTTTATTAGCCTTTCTCTAATGTAATCTTCCACTAATTGCAAGTTTAATGGATTTTATTTTTAAATTAAACAATTGTCTTTAATTTCAAAAATAAAAAAATATTCACATTATGTTCATCAGGAAAATATTGTTGCGGAACACATTGATCATCATAATGTGTACAAACACATCTAAAAAATTATTTTTTGAAATATAAATATTTTCAATATTTTTTTACCTAGCCAAAATAGGCCTATAAACAGCTTGTTGTCTTTTCAAGCGATTATTACTGTTAGTCTCTGGATTTGATTCTGTTTGTTTGAAACGATCCAAAGTGGATATAGCCCTTTCCCAAAGTTGAATCTGAAAATAAAATTAATTTAAATTCTATTTTATTTAATTATCAACCCCTTGTTCTATCTCTTCATATTTCCGAACTTCAGAAAGTTTAAATGCATTTAAATTGCAACTTAATTTTAAAAGAAAATAATATTCAAATATTTTTTAAATATTAATTTTATATTAGATAACATACATGGTGGCAGCAGGAAATGGCGCTGAAAGTTTTGAAAAAATTAACTAAGGGGTTAAGGTTAGAAAAGTCTCTTTAAAAAATATTTATAAAAAGGTATTTCATATAAATATTATTTTTATAAAAACACGAAAGTATGTGTTTCAGTTAGCGAGGTTAGGGTTAATTTAAATGGCAAAGTTATTCTTTTAGGAATTCACCTTTTCTAGCCTAAGAAGATAAAAAGGTACAATGTATTAAAACGGATATGATGGATAACTATTATTATTAAGTTATTTGAGTTAATTTAAGAATATTTTTACATCTATAAATTTACCTGGTTCAAATTTTAATTGCATTTCTATTATAGTTCTAAATTCTAAATAGTCTGAAAGTGTATAATATGTCTGAATAATAAAGGAACAAAAAGCAATTGCTGTAACTGTTGCCCAAAAAGGACGGCCAAAGAATGAATGTGTTCTTTATTAAATTATATGTAAATTCTCTTTTTCTAATTTTTTCACAAAAAATTACCCAACAAAAGGAATTCCGTGAGAACTTGTACGTGCACAAAAGTCAATTCCGATATCTTTAAATGAGAGATATTCTCTCGGACCATGCTCCATTCTTGTCTCTTTATTGGTTCTTTAAAAAATAATCAAAAATCATAGAAATCTTCAACGTGTTTTATTAAAATTATGTAAGGCCTATTGAAATTTTAATATTTTCCCTTATATTTTAATATTTTGAAATAAATTTTTAGACCGAAAAGCAGGTAATTATCCCAATAAATTGGTGTTTTCCACCATTAAATAAATTAAATTCTAGAATTTTAGAGTCAAAACTAAAATATGTCTATAATGTCTATAAAGACTAAAATATGTCTATAATCTTGTCTAGAAATTTTTTATAAGAGAACTCCTAAAATAAAATTTTCTATAACTGAATTTAAAATTTTCTCAAAAATATCCAAAATTTCAAAAATATCCACCCACTTCCTGGAACTTGTATAAAGGAAACCACAATCCTTTTTGACACAATAACTGTTATCCTTAATTTGTTTTTTTGTCTCCCTTTCATCGTCGCTGCTATTAGTTGTTGTCCCTTCCGATGTTGACCAACACCTATGACGACGATGACGAAATTTGTTTAAATTCTGAATAAAGATTAAATATAAACTTTTAAATAATGTATGTATTTCAAAAAATAATTCGTGTGAAATTGTATCCAAAAATTTTATACAAAAGGTTAATATGGGACACGCCCAAGTAGGCGCGCGGCCAAGTAGGCGCAAAGCCATAACTACCTGAAAAATTGATGGACCTTAACAATTTTGGTACTATTCTCTTTAGCTCGATGAGAGGAATCGTTTAATACCAAATTTGGTAAGATTCGGAAATTTTGAAGCAAGTTATGGCTTTGCGCCTACTTGGCCGTGCGCCTACTTGGGCCGTACCCGGTTAATATAATATTATAGTATATGCAGTTGCGTCGATAAAAAAAGTTCGTTATATACCTTAGTAATTAAATTTATCTTTATTATTTCTTTAAAAATCTTAAATAATCGTGTCCAAATATTCTTTAATCTTTGTTTCTTTTAAATTCCCAATTTTGCAATTTATATTCTTTGCATAACTATTATTCTTTTACCTGACTAGCAGAAGTAACTGCACCGGAAAAACAATCATGCACCACTGCTTTGGCTCTATTCCAATAATTGTTACATTTTTGGCAATCCAATACTAAACTATTATTAAATTGTTTCCATTTTTCTTTCTTTTTAAATAATGGAGAATGTTTATGATTCAATGAAGAATTTTGGTGTTTTTGTTGCGAAGGAGTTGAAGGTGGATGTGAGGGTATATTTATTTGAGTGGACCTTTAATTGAAAAAATTTAAGGAAAAAATTTATCTACCATAGATAAAATCTCCTCATCTTGAGATTTTCAAGATATTTCTCATTTATTAAGGGCCTGTGTTTTTCTCTAAAATTTTTCATCTAGAAAGCATTTTTGTCAGTCAATTGCTAAAAATTTTTCAAAGATTATTTTGGTCTACCTATTTGGATGTTTTTCTCTTCTTCCTAAATTATTTGTCCCATTAGAAAAAATTAATAAATCATCCTCGTCTGCATAAATTATTTCCTCATTATTAGGTATTAAACCAAAAAATTTGGCACGAAGTTGGGCATTTCTTTGAGAAATTAAAGGTTTTTTGTCTGAAGAATAAGACGTTGATGAAGAAATTGAGGAGGAGGAAGGTGGAATAATGACTACTTTGGGGGTTAAAAAATTATTTTTATTCATTTTTTAGAAAAAATATTTCTTGGATTATTTAAACTTTTAAAATAAATAAAAACAGTTTTTTATACTTTTTTGAATATTACTAGTGACCACACTTTAATTTATTCCCAAGAGATATTATCAAAACTAGATTATATATTTGTCCTTAAAATGACCACCCTGTATTATATAAAATGACTTTTCAAATTCAAAATTATCATCACTTTTCGGGTGTATTTTTTTGGAAAAATCTTGTTAAATAAATAAACTAAAAATTAAATTAAAGAATTAATTTTTAATTATTTATTTTTTGTTTATGTAATAAAAAATATTTAAATAAATCGGCAAAAAATTTAAGAAAAATATAAAATGGAAGTTGTCAAAAAAATATTTAAAAATACCTAGGAGATTCTAAAGAATCAGTTGGCCAATTGGAAGCAGAAGTTGTTGGAACAGTTATTGATGAAAAAGAAGCAGCCAAAAGACGATTGGCATACCACCCAAAGAAATAATTAAAAATAATAAAAGAAATAATCCAAAAAATCCAATTAAATGGTTGTAAATGTCTTTAAGTAATTTTTTATTTTTTGTATATAGATTTTAAGAATAATTTAATAAAAAATTTAAAATAAAAAAAAAATAAGAAATTAAAATTTTTATCGAGTTGAAGTATTAAATAGAAATATATAAATATTTATTTAATTTTTTGAATTATTTTTATTAAAATATTCCCATCGATTTATAATCCAATATGCTTAAATAAAAAAACAATTTATTTAAATATGTATATTAAGTAGAGTTCAAATTTTTAAGATGACAGAGATCCGAGTTCCGAATTTCAAAAAGTATTTTTCCAAAGAAATTTAAGAAAATTTTAAAGTTTTCGGAAACTCTGGATTTTATCAAATTATATTGATTCGAATTATCTGATCCGAAAAATCCTGGAAATGTCAGAATTTGAACGCTACTACATATAAATTAACAAAAATAATAGAATTTAATTAATTTTATTATTAAAATAATACTTACAATACATTTTCCATTTTTACAATATTCCGTATTTATATCACAACAACTAAATAAAAAATTTTTTTTATAGAATAAAAAAAGCCCAAGTATCATTTTAATTTTATTTTTAGAATACTTACTTATTGCCACAGCAAGCATTTTTTTACAGCATCTTAAAAGTTAAAAAAACATTATAATTAAAAAAATTACTGAGTTCCACAGCATTCATCCCAATTATTTTTTGAACAGCATCTTAAATTTATTTTAATTTAAAAATAAAAATAAAAAATAATTACGTAGTTCCACAACAAAATTTATTAGCAACACAAACACCACAATGCGAATCAATTAATTCTATAGAAAAAATAAATAAAATAAAAATAAAAGAAAATAATATTAAATTATTTATTTTAAGCATTTTAATTTAATTTAATTTTTAATTTAATTATTTTTTAATTTAATTTTAATTATATTAATAATAATTTATTTCCCAAATAAATTAATATTTATATTGCCTAAAATTTATTTAAAAAATTATTTACACGTTTAAATTGAGTAAACAATATACATATTTAATTTTTTAAATATCATCCCAAAAATAATTCTATTTTACCAAAAATTAAATTAAAAAAAGGATTTATTAACGTTTATTCTTTATGTTAAGCTGTTTAAATAAAAAAAAGTTTCCAACTCATAAAAATTTTTTTTATTAATTTATTTTTAAAAATCAATAATTTTATCTACTATTTTACAATTTATACACTACTTTTTGAATATTACTAGTGACCACACTTTAATTTATTCCAAAGAGATATTTATTATCAAAACTACATTAAATTTGTCCTTAAAATGACCACAGCTACAGGGTGGGGCAAAAGTTCGGCGACAAATGTTTTTAATAAAATCTATTGTAAAAAATTTTTATTTAAGATTAAAAAATGATAAAATATAATCAATAGGATATAATAATCATTTTATTAAAGTAATTTCTCAAAATGACCGACCCTGACTGAAATACACGCATCCAAACACTTACGGATGTTACTAAAATGACTTTTCAAATTCAAAATTATCATCACTTCTCGGGTGTATTTTTTTGGAAAAATCTTGTTAAATAAATAAACTAAAAATTAAATTAAAGAATTAATTTTTAATTATTTATTTTTTGTTTTATGTAATAAAAAAATTTAAATAAATTGGCAAAAAATTTGAGAAAAAATGGGCAGTGACTGGCAATAAAGGCAGAAATTTTATAATTTAATTTATATTTAAATAAATAAATAAAATATATTTATGGTAAACAAGAATTTTGAGTTGATTTAGGAAATAGTAATTTGAATTTGTTAATTAAAACATATTTTTCAGTCAATTCAAAATTCTGATTTATATACTGTTTTGTAAGAAAAGCTCTTAGAATATATTTGGGAACAAAAAAAGAAATAAAGAACCACAATTAAAATTTAAAAAAAATTAAATACTTTAAATAAATCTCACTAGTAGCGACTCAGTTAATAGAAATAAACTAAAAAAACTTTCCCAAATGATAAGAAACATTAATAAGAACCTGTAATAATTTAGTCAAATATTTCGCTATTAACGAGCTTTCGCATTTTTTCATTTTAGAGATCGAAATACGGTTTTGGCATTTTAAAGACTATCCAACTTTCCTAGTCAAAAATCTAAAAATAATTCCAATTCCGATCTCTATTTTCAAACAACACTAACTAAAGGATGTGATAATTGATTATTATTATTATTTTGTTCATGTTTATCTCCTTCATTTAAATTTTTTGAATTTCTTTTTAAAATATTTCCTTCATTATTATCTTCAAGAAAAGCATTTAAATCCTCTTCCCCATCAATCTCCTCATCTTCATCTTCTTCACTTTTAGCAAATATATTCGAAGTTAATTTTAAATTTTGATTTATTAATAAATTTTTTTGAAGTCTGGAAGACCTTCCCCATTCTTCTGAAATTAAAATTCCCTCCTTTTCATCTTCTAAAGAACCTAAAGAATCCATTACAGAAGAATCTTGTGCTCCTATAGACGTTGATATTGTACCGGAAAAACGTTGTTGGGCAGGTGTTGGTGTTAATTGGTTATTTGAAGTATTGAACTGGTTATTTGTGTGTCTTCGAGAAAATAAATGTTGCATAAAATGACTGAAATTTTGAATTTATTTTTGAATTTATTTATTAAATGGGATAATTATGACAGAAAATTCTTCGAAAAATTATTTGAAATTAATGTTTTCTGACATTTCTCAAAATTTCCTTTTAAGTTTTTCATCTAGATTTCAAAAATTTTCATAATTTTTACCGTTCTTTTACAGATAAATTATCTGTCGTATTGAAATTGTTAATATTATTTCTATCATATAAAAGAGTTTCGCCTGGGGCGATAGGTTGAAGTTGGCCGTGTTCCTGGATAGTTAACATCTTTAAAATAATTATTTTTATTTTAGAGATAATTAAATTTTTTAGACTTTTGATTATATATTTTGAGAGTTAATGGATAGTTTAATTGATAATAGTGATCGGACAATAAGTCTCTGAATAAGCAAATTTAAAGTTTATTTTAAAGTTTAAAAATGACATTTTCGTATACTCCCCAATTTGAAAAAAAACCCATCGGAAAGTGACACATTTTGTGGTTTGTAAGGGTAATGACGAAATATACTAGAACTTTAGTCGGGTAGGCATTTTAATTTAAAAATAAAATCTAAAAACATTTATGTAAATACCATTCTTTCATTTTGACTAATTCCATTATTTCCAACTCCATTTTGATGAACATATAATTGTTGTTGTTGATTAATATTTCCATTTCCATTATTATTTTTATAAATTCCATTTCCATTACTAGAATTACTAATTAATTGTCCTCCCCCATTTAATTGGGTATTCTGTTGCGGCATTTTTGATTGGATTTTGACAAGAAGAAAATGAAATAAATAAAGGCAAATAAAAGTTAGCAAGTGAAGAATAAAAAGAACAAGACTTTTTAAAGTTTCTGTTGGCTGTAGAAGAACTAATAAATTGGAAATGGGAAATAGTAGAAGAAGCCAGGAAAGGCCCGAAGCTTTTCCTAAACGATGAAGCAGGCGACGTTGAAGAAGTAAAGGTGTTGTGGATATTGAATTTGTGCTTAAAATAATTAAAATAATTGAAGAAAATTGTAGGGATTTAAAGAAAGCACAATTATAGAGGATGCAAGGAAAATTTTTTATTCCCGTTTTAATGATGCTTTAGCGGTAAAATTTAGGATAAAAGTAGAGGTCGGTCGGAATCCCGATTTCCGACAGTTCCAATTTTAGGACAGCTTTCTTTAATAAAGGTTTTTATTTTAAGTAGAGTTCACAATACTAGAAAATTATTTTAAAATTTAGCATTTCTTTACTGAAATTGAGATTACATAATAACTTTAATTTACTTGAATTTCAAATCACTTTTTCAAAAATAAAAATATTTAAAAAATACCTCGGAGATTCTAAAGAATCAGTTGGCCAATTGGAGGCAGAAGTTGTTGGAACAGTTGTTGATGAAAAAGAAGCAGCCAAAAGACGATTGGCATACCAAAAAGAATAAGCTCCAAACCCCATAGCAATACCCAAAGAAACAATTAAAGGTAATAAAAGAAATAATCCAAAAATCCAATTAAATGGTTGTAAATAACTTATAAGAATAATAATTAAAATTAATATAAAAAATTAAAAAATATTACGGATCATCAGAGTCAAGTCCTTCAAGTATTTGACCATCAAGAATTAACGTTAACACACTTAGCGATAACGGCAGAACTGAAAAAAATTAAGAGAATTATTTTGTTTTTGATAATTAAGCTGAAGTTTTTGTGCTTATATGTAGATAATTAAAATCTGGATAGCGTGATAACTTTCCCTTCCAAGTCCCCAACAAAAAAATTTTATCTTTACCTAAACAAAATAGTAAAGTAGCCAAAGATCTAGCTCTTCTCGATTTCCCTTTTAATGCTGTTCTCACTTCTAGCTTTACAATTCGTGAATAAATTGATGTAGTTAAAAGAGCTATTGAAGAAGTAAACGAAAGTAGAGATAATTGAAAAATTAAAAATAAAATATTAGAATCTGGCCACCATCTCCACCATAAAAATGAAGAATTTGAAGATAATTGTGGACGAATTAGCAAAAGAAAATGGAAAAAATGGAGCAAAATGAATGATAAAAGTAAAGTTAAATGGGCTGGGTCTGTTTGTTGTTTAGGGCGATTTGATCTTAAATTCAAGTGATTTATTTGGTAATTTTTAAGAAATTATAAGAATCGCTAATAATTTAATTATGTAAAAAATAAGTTTCCTCATGGCATAAATTAGAGACCGGCTTGAAAATCGACCGCAATATGAAATCATTTAAAATCATTATCTCTAAAATCCAAGATTTTTAAACGGTAGTTCGTTTCAATCCGATCGCTAATATTACACCGTCTGGACCTGGAATTTGAACAAATACTCAACTTAAACTAACAACTATTTTGCTTGGTATCTAAATTTAGCCTATTTTATCAAAAATAGGGGTTTTCCCTCAGTTTTCCCTCAGTTTTCCCTCATACTTATATACATCCAAATATTTTAAAAACAATCTGAAAAATATTTCTACCTCCTAAAGATGCTAAAAGAGAAGAGAAGAACCAAAGAAAGAACAATTGTAAAAGCAGCACTTATTGTAGGCCCAAAATTTTCAAAAAATAAAAGAAAAGCTTTTGCCAGCCCTAAATCAGTTTGAGCAAATAATCTATCAGGCAAAGCTGCAAACACTCCAGAAGATTTTAAACCGTGAACTTCACAAAGTAAAATTTGGCCAGTTGGACGGCTTTCGCGTGAAAGAACAACAACACCAGAAATTGACCAAATTTGGGCTAGAAAATTTTCTTTGAAATATTTTTTGAAATTTTCCAAACCATTCTGATCATAATGAGCGCAAGTATGATTATCATCGTCTTCAATTGACATGCTAATTGAAGGTAATCTAAATCCAACTAATAAAGGTTCACGATCTCGATTTTCTTCTGATATTTCTTCTGTTAATTCCGAAGGAAATGTGTTCGATTCTGATAATATTCCATCTATAAAATTGAGAATATAATAGTTTTAAAAAATAAATATAAAAATTTTTCCATAGATACTAAATTCATCTATTAATTTTGGGGTAATTTAAATAATTTAATATTCTTAAATTGGCTTGATGATTATCAATTGACAGAATTTAACAGCCTTGAGGTGCCTTAAAAATGGGTTGATTCTACGTTCCCCTCACGTAATGTGGCAGAAGTTAACGGAGTTAAATGCATTTTATTAAAGCCAGTTTAATTTAGTTTTTACCTTCATTTCTTTTCTTCTTTTGTCCATTCCTGCTTTTCCTAACTTCCAGCATCAAAACCGGATTTCCACTAATAATTTCAAATTCATCCAGAGTGGGGAATAATGCTATAGTTGCATTTTTAAAACAAACAGCACGAGCTATTCTCGCATAATTATTCCTTCTTCCCTTTGGAGGTTGAACGAAACAAGAGCCAATTTGCACACCTCCATCATCGTCTTCGTCTTCTTTTAAAGAATTTTCTTCCTTTTTATCTTCTAAAAATATATTCGGGTCATCAAATAAATCTTTATCAGTGGAAAGCTGTGATGATGATGAAGATGAAGGGAGTATATCCCAAACACGCATTTGAAGTCCTCCACTTGGACTTTGAAGTAAAAATGGATTCTGAAAGATTAAAGGAATATGAAACATTAAAGAATGTTCTGATTATAAAAATTCTGATTGTATTTCCAGCCGACGGATTCGCTATGTGCGGCGAAGTCTCCATATATCCTCCATTACCTATCGGTCTTTGAGAAACGATTGAAAAATAAAACGGCCGTCCCTCCCGCTTTATAGCAACAAATATCTAAATATTTACCGGCAATCTTCTCGCAAATTCTTTAGTATAATCAGCAATTTGCCGCCTAAGTAACCGGGAAGAATTATCATTATTATTTCCAATTCCTCCCAATGCCGAAAAATTTTTTGTTGCCAAAACATCCAAAACTTGAGCTACATGTTCTGCTATTTTTGCATCAAAATGAGCAGAATGAATATTTATTTGAAATGCTGGGAATTGGAGTAATGTAGAGAGAAAACGCATTACTGATTGAAGTCCAGAAAGGGTCTGTTCATTTCTTTGGCCATAATTAGCTAAAACACCAAGATGGACAAGTACTGAACTCTGAAAGAAATTATGGATAAATAGAAGAATTTTTTTAATTAATAATAATTTATAAGAAAATTCCCAATGAATGTTTGATCTTGCAAGGGGGCTGAATTATCTTCTAAGCTCACCTGCGTTCTACAACTACCTCCACCAATTTCGCGTTGTTCTGTTTGTTTTGAGGTTTGTTGTGAAGCTGTTGCCCAAATTGGCATTTCTGTTTGTGAATCCCACCCACAACTTCTTTCTAAACGACGCCCATCTTCATTATATGGACATGTAACAAAAGCAGAATTGTTTACAGTACTGAAAGAAGGAAGATTTCAGAAAATTTTTAAAAAAAATTTCTAACGTTTCAGGCCAATCAACACCTCCATATTGCTCGAGAACTCTTTGGGCTGGGCAATGTTCCGAAATTAAAAATAATTAAATAACAAGGTTTCGTGTAATAGTTACCAAGTTTATCACACTGAGGCCCTGAAAAGCCGGCAAAACAAAGACAATTTAAATTTCCATTTGAATCTCGAAACTAAGAAAATTTTTAAAAATTTTAAATAATTCTTAAATTAAATTCTGACTTGTCTTAAATAATGTGCACTAGAAAAGTAACACATTGGAAGGCCAACATTAGGTGATGAACACTGACCATCACATTGAGGAGCTAAAAACGTTTTTAAATTTTAAGTCTCGGGAACTTTACTTACCATTCTCAACTGTTTGAAAATTAATAATTTCCGAAGGAGTTTCTCCTTCAGCATCTACAGCCCAAATACAAAGTTCTACTTGTTCTCCAGGCAATAAACGAACCTTTAAAAATTATTTTCAGAAAAAAATAATCTCTAAACAAAAACTCTAGTCATTGTAATCGTTTCTGTTGGTTCAATCATTTGTTGATGCAAAATTAATTTATTCTCTCCCTCATTTTTATTTGAAGGTTTCCTTTTCAAAATTAAACGGAAACGTTCAGGAATTCCAAATGTAGGTAAATCCCATTGAAATATTTGGTAATGGGTATTTGCTATATTTACACGGACATTTTGTGGGGCTACAAAAATAATTGAATAATTTTTGAATATTCTTTTAAATTTTATACCAGAAACAGAAACAGGTATAACAGAAACATTTGCCAATGAAAAAAGTTGAGGGGATCCAAAGTCTATAGCCAATAACCGAATCTTTAAATTAATTTTTATGTTAGTTAATGATTAAATTTTGAATTGAATATTGAAGGTAAATTTAAATCTCTATCTCTTTCGGGGCATATAAATCAAGCTTTTGTGTATCCCCCATAGAAAGGAGGTATAATAAGAGGGTATATTTTCACACTATATTATCCACTCCTGTGAAATTAAATATAAAAAAGCGTCTACTATATAGAGGTTTTAAAATAATTCTAAAATAATATTTATTTTAAACTCAACAAAAATTTTACTTGATAAGGCTTGTAAAGGCGTAATTGACGTAAAGATCTTTTGACTATAATTAATCCTTCTTTAGTTATATCCCAATGCAATGACTGTTCTTCATCAGAATTAATTAAATTATTAGCACTTCTTCTAGGTTGGGAACCGAGAATTGGAGTTGAAGAAGATGAAAGTAAAATACTTAACTGGACCTTTAAAATTTAATTTATAAAAATTATTTTAATTTAATTTTTATTACCTGGCTGTTGTAAATAATTGGATCTTGATCCTAAATAATTATTTAAAAAATTTTTATATCAAAATTAAAATCAGAATTGAGTACTTTTTGGTAAATTATACAAATTTTTAAAATTATTTTCAAAAAATAGTCTGGTAACAAAAAAATAATTTTTGGGAAGAATCTACAAAATATATCACCAAATTCTTCTTCCCCTGACTTTTAAAAGGCCTCCATTACCAAAAAAGAATTCAATTAAAATTTACCTGAACTTGAACTCTACCAATTTCTGCCCCAACAGACAAATCTATCGGTGCATAAAATTTATAATCGGATTCAAGAAATTTAGGTGCATGTCTATTCCTTCTAGTAATATGAACGGAAAAATGGAGAGAATGCTTTAAAAATTAAATATTTAATCTTTATTTATTTGAAGGAAAACTTTTTTTGTTGGGCAAAGTAAATGAAGTACTGCAAATTGTGCTGGTCTGCTATTATTATTTTGAGGCATTTCAGAAATTGTTTCGAAAACAAGTCTTAAAGGATCAAAATCTAGCCAATCCAAATCCGAATCCATTTGTGCAAAACAAGAATTGAAAGGTAACTTTAAAAGAAGAGAAAGTTTATAATTAGACAAAATAATGCTTGTGTGATCAGCCTATAAATCTACCTAGAAGTCTAGAGGCCAAGTAAAAAATGAAAATTTTTAGTTTGGATGAAAATTTCGGATTTTCAAAAAATACGTAATAATTTAATTTTCGTAGTATTATAATAAGTAATATCAAATTAGTGTTCATAAACAAACACACAAACATCCTGTCTCAAAACTAAGCAAAAATTATTTTTATAAATAATTTAATTTTTGCTTAGTTTTGAAACTCAGTAATAACCTAACAACAAACTAATAATAAGCCTATTTTTATAAATAATTTTATTGTATAATTAATTTTAACAAAAATATTTTTTAATTCTTTACCAATGCTTTATCGAAAGCTTCATTTAAGGTTGCCTTTGTTCCAATAGGCGCTCCTTCAAAGACACGCACCTCATATAATTCTAAATAATTTTTTAAATTATTATTTTTCAAAAATATTTAATTTAAATTTAAAGTAAACAAAAATTTCCATATTTAATTAAAAATTATTTTTTTTCTCAAAGATTTTTCTCCAATTAAAAACCAGTCTTTACTCTTTAAATGCCTTCCAGGCTTAATTAAGGGCTATTTAAATGCTTTTATATTTTTCTCTGTTGCTTCAAACATTTTCTATTTTATTTTAATTTTATTTTAGTTTATATTTATTTGCATTTCCCTCCCCCCAACTTTTTTTATTTACCCCGGAAACCAAAAATTAATTTTCCAGCCCTAAACACACCCTAGAGCTATAAAAGAATTAATAACATTTTTATTTGTTTTTCTAATATTTTTTTTCTCATTTAAAAAAATATGAAGGGTATAATAATAACACAAACATATTTGGAGAAGCCGTAAAAATTAGAGGAAACAGAGGATATATTTAATAAAACATTGCCAGAAGTGGAAAATAATTTTTTATTTAATTATTGCGTTGAAGGGTATTTTTATAAAAAATAAGGACAACTTTTTTTAGAGTTATTTAGAGGAAGTCTATGAAAATACGATAAAATTCTGTTTATGTTGCATTATTTATTTTATTTAAATAAAATAAAGGATGCCGATCGAAATATAATAATTTAAAATTTAAATTTAGTAGTAATCTATCAAAAAATAATTATTAAAATTTAAAAGATACACACAGAAAATGACAAAGTTTGGATAACTGTAGAGAGGGCTGAGACGAGAGGGTACAGCCCATTACGGCGCGGGCCAAAACGGCGCGACCGAAACGGCGCGACCGAAACGACGCAGGCCGAAACGGCGCAAGGCCAAAACGGCGCACGACCCAAAACGGCGCAAACCCTAAACTGCACAGTGATAGTGATTAATCGTGTTATCATCATGTGATCAACTGTGAGATTGATCAATTATCTTTATGATCAACCTATTTGTGATCGATCTGACCTTAGTGATCGATCATTAGCCACTATTGCGTACACTGATCCTTTGAATTATTTAAAATCTGCAATAAGGTTTTGCGCATTACGGGAAAATTGTTCCAACAATGTGGAAGATCATTCCATCATTGAGAAAAGTTGTTCCAGCAGCGGTGAAATGTTCCGACATCAACGACCAGAATAAAAATAACCAATTCTAGATGGTTACGGTAATAATATGGGGATAACCATATAGTAGTTATAGGGGGAACTAACAAGTAATATATGTAGTTATAGGGGAAACTAACTAGTAATATAACTAACTAGTAATCGATCTGACCTTGCTGATCGATCAAAAATCGATAACCACCCTTGCGTACTCTGATCCTTCAAATTATTAAAATTCTGCAATTGTTCCAACAATGTGGAAGATCGTTCAAACGATGAGAAAAGTTGTTACAACAACGGTGAAGGCTGTTCCGACATCAACGACCAGAATAAAAATAACTAAAGTCTAGATGGTTACAGTTGTAATATGGGGATAACTATATAGTTCTAGGGGGAACTAACTAGTAATATATGTAGTTATAGGGGAAACTAACGAGTAAATATAGTTATATTGGAACTATCTGAATCCCGCAGTTATTTCTCGCAGTTATACTTACTAGTAAGTATACGATCTAAATAGTTTTGTTATCACTCTTAATTTTTGTTATCACTCTGTTATCACAAGATGTTGTCCAAATGGTCCTTTACATCTGCTATTTTTTGTTCACATCACCAAAAGATACGATCACCATCCGAGCTAAACCTCACGTAACAATATGTAGCCTGTGGGAAATTTTTGCGCCGTTTTGGGCCGTGCGCCGTTTTGGCCTTGCGCCGTTTCGGCCTGCGTCGTTTCGGTCGCGCCGTTTCGGTCGCGCCGTTTTGGCCCGCGCCGTTTTGGGCGTGTCCCGAGACGAGATATGGGTCAGAAACCCCGGTTATCCAACACGAGAATAGTGATATGAATTTCTCAAAATTGTTTTTAATTTTAAAAAATTTCTAAATATTTTCAAATTTTCTCCCACCTTGTGAACGTCTCTGTCTAAAATTCTCAGAGGAATAAATTGGCTGAAATATTGCTGCAAATAAATGAAATAAAAATAGTCGAGAAATTGATGATTTAATTAAAGATTTAATTTGCATGTTGTTAATAAAAGATATGTAAAATTAATTTATTTGAACAATTCATCCATTTATTTGAATTTTTTCTATTAAATAATTTGAATAATCAACCTGTTTTTGTTAAAAATATTTAAAAAATTTAATTTAAAAATAATGGAAGTCTCTCTCAGACACAGAGGTGGGTTGGCCCAGAGGTTACTCAGACCCACCGATTAAAATTGTAAAGATAAAAAATTTGAGTTGATCAAAAAGTTGTAGGTCTTCAGGGTAAATAGGTCTTAAGCGTGTAGGTCTTAGGGGTAGGTGTAGATCTTTAGGGTTGATTTATTTGATCTGCATTTAAAGGCTAAAATAATACAATTATTTTATGATTGTTTGAGAGTTAGGAGGAGAAGAACCTGGAATTTTAATGAGGAATATCCTAATTATTGTTATAGAAAACAAAAGAAAATAAATATTTTATTAAAATCCAAGCGGGAGAATTTCCCTTAAAATTAACATATTTTATTTAGATATTCTTTTTTTGTTATTCTAAATATATCATTATGGGAACGGAAGAAAAAATTAAGAGAAAAAATGCAAAGAAAAATGAGAATAAGTTGGGGCCAGGTTTAGTGAAAGAACAGATCTATTTTTTTAAAAGAGAAGAGAAGGAGGTGCGCGAGAAGATGAACGACGGTTGTTGTTTTTTCTTCTTCCGGAAGGATAAGGAGATGGAAGCAGATGGGAAGGAAGGAAACGGAGATTTGAGAGCTTTAAGAAGGAAAATAAATTTTAAAAATAATAAAAGAGAATAAATTAGCAAAAAAGGGAAAGGGAAACGCTTAAGGGGGAGGGAATGAATAAAATAGTAGCAGTAGTAAGTTGGAAGGAAAGGGGGAAGTGCCAAATGCTGTGGGAATTGCTTAATAATTTTTGCTTATTGTTAAATAAATAACAATCCTTTAAAATGAAATTATTTAAAAATTTTGAACTAAAGACTATCCTATACCTAATTTTTATGAAAATGATTCAAAAGTCACAAATCCAAAAAATAACTGAGCATTTAGTAAAATTATTTGTAAAGGTAAATTATTGTATTTAAAAATAAATGAAAGATTAAAGGAATTGTGTGTACATATTTAATTTGAGATTTGGAGTGATCAATCAAAGATCACTTCTATCGGTATCTAGAAGCATCTATCGGTATCTATCTATACCTAAATATATCAAACTCATCTATAATTGCATAAAAACAGCCTAAAATTAAATTTAGGACAAAGAATCCTTTAAAATAATTTTTTAATTTTTTGTATTATTTTTGAAAATAACAAAAAAACATCAGGCGCCAGGCACAGAGTTTTGATCCTAAAGGTTGAAGGAATGGACAGGTGAAGACGAAAATGGACGAATTAGAAATTGAGAAAAAAGGGGAAAGGTTAAAAAAGGGGGGAAGTCATTGCTGGCACAAATAAATTATTAATTTATCGTAAAATTATTTGCATTTTAAGGTCCACTCGCCAAAAGGTAGTAGTTGTTGGGGGTGGTCAGTAAGCATAGCAAAAGTAGGGAGGAAATGAGGAGAGTAAAGGAGCATTAAGGGAAGCATTTGAGTGAAAAAGGAGGAAATTGGCGGAGCAGTTCAACTGAGTCCGCACGATTGAGTCCCCACGATTGAGTCCGCACGATTGAGTCCCCACGATTGAGTCTCGGCACAATTGAGTCCCCACGATTGAGTCCGCACGATTGAGTCCCCACGATTGAGTCCGCACGATTGAGTCCCCACGATTGAGTCTCGGCACAATTGAGTCCCCACGATTGAGTCCGCACGATTGAGTCCCCGTTGTATATACCTCAATTGAGTACCCGTGGATTTAATTTTAAAAATTCCATATCCTGCATTAGAGATCGGCAAAATCGCATTTCCGGGATCCCGTAACGGGATTGAGTTTGAAAATATCGAACGGGAGGGATCCCGCGGGATTAATCCCGTTAATCCCGGAGTCCCGGTAATCCCGTTCTCAAATTTACCGGGATCCCGCGGGATTCCGGGATTTTAATTTAAAAAATTTTTTAATTATAAATATGTTGAATATCGTCGGATTTGGAAATAATATCGGTGGATTTCGACAGATTAAGGGAGGAATTAATAGATAACAGAGGATTAAGAGGGATATCAGTGGATTAAGAGAGATTGAGCATTTTAATGCTTATAGGTGGATTTAGGAGGATATCGGTAAATATTTGGAGAGATAAAGGGTGATTTGAAGAACGGTGGGTTAAGGTCAAAATAGTGGATTTAGATGGCTCAACTAGATTTGAATATGTGGGTAATTTTTAGAGTTCGAACCCGGGCCGGGCCCGGGACCGGGTTTTCCGGGCCCGGTAGCCCCGAACCGGGTAGTTTTGAGAAAATCCGGTTTTTCGGGGTTTCCGGGGTTTTAGCCCGGAAAACCCGGCCCGGGTCGCATCTGAAAAATCCGGGCCCGGCCCGGGTCCAATTTTAAGTAAATTTTAAATAAAATTCTGACTTTTTGGCCAAATCTACATTCGACTCACTACTTTCGAATGAGCTGTCATTCAAAAAATCTCTCGATTTTCCTCCTAATCCCCAAACCCACAATATCCATCTTAATCTCTCCAAATTTGTTGATATCTGCCTTAATTCAAACGATATCCCCGCTTAAATCTACTTATATCCCTTGATGTTCACCAATATCCATCTTGATACCTCGATGTCGCATACAAGTCCCCTGATATTAACATTAATCCCTCCAAATCCCCAAATATCCCTCTTAATCTTTTTTAATATAATTAAATCCAGGGGACTCAATTGAGGTATATACAACGGGGACTCAATCGTGCGGACTCAATCGTGGGGACTCAATCGTGCCGGGACTCAATCGTGGGGACTCAATCGTGCGGACTCAATCGTGGGGACTCAATCGTGCGGACTCAATTGAGGTGTACCGGGAAATTGGTAGGTTGGAAAAAAGGCGCGCAAGAAATAAAAAATTAAAAATTGCGGATTCTTTGTGTAATTCAAATATATATTTTAAAAATTAAAAAAATTTTTTTATGAAATATTTAGAATATGGTATCAAGTGATTCTGAGGGTTGAAGAAATTATTAAGAGAATAAGCTGCCTTTTTTAAGGATTCTCGAGATCAAATTCGTAGGAAGGGATTCGGAAAACTCCAAGAATAAGTAAATTCCCGAGTTCAGGGTTCCTTGAAGGGGGGGGTGAATTTATTTGAAATTCAATATTAAGAGAATAAGAAACAGATTTAATAATAAATAATAAATAACAGTAGATTTCCTCCTTATCAAAGAACTCCTTCGAAATTTCAGAGCCCAACAATCTCAAACTTAATGATCTAAAATTCTCGAAAATATTTCCAAAAATTATTATAGGACATAAAATAATTTTTAAAATTTCTACAATACTCCATCTGCATAGAAATATCAAAAGCTATTGCAAAAAGTAAAGGTGGAAGTAAATGGGCCGAAAGAGTAAAAAGCAAAAATAATAAAAAGAATTTTTGAAAAAAAAAATAAAAAAGAGCAATTGCTGTAAAATTGGTTGCGCTTGACCGCAGGCCAATAATTTTACTAAAAAATTGTAAAAAGGCATGGATACGGCACTTAAAAAGGTAAAAGAAAATAAAGAGCGTTCAATCGGGTGAAAGAAATTTTTGTGTGTCCCCAACAATTGTTTGAGGGGGGATTTTTTATTTGGGCGGAAATGGTTGTAAGTAATAAATATATATAAATATTTTCTTTGTTGTTTTATTAGTCTTAAAATAAATTTTTAAAGGTTGAATAAATAAATGAAAATATTAGTGAATTTTGTGGTTAAAATATCTCTCTAATAGGAGGCTTTGGAATTTTATATTTTCATAAATAATTAGCAAAAAGTCCTCAACTATACAGAGCTCTCCTTAAATTTAAAATCTTTTTATTTTAATAATTTGCTACAAGTAAATTAATATACAAATTTTCAGAAATAAATATTAAAAATAAAAATCTAGGAATATACGTTTATTATTTACTCACAAAATTTTTTGTTTATAAAATGATATTTTGGTGAGGAAATAAAAAAATATAAGGACGAGGGAAAGAGATGGCTATTATAAACAAAACAAAATTAAAACAAAAACTTTTTTGATTTAATTACAAAAATTTAACAAATTTACAGGAAAACATAAAAAGATTGTTGAAATAAAAATAGGGTCCTCAATATTTTATTTGGATAACTCCTCACACCCAAGTTTTCCTACCTTAAAACAGGCCAAAGAGCAAAATTTAAAAATATAGCCAACTATTGCGCGCCTAGTATTTTTAGCAATATCCATCCATTTTGCACTTAGAAAATGCTAGTAAAAATAAACATAAAATATAAAGGTAAATACACTCAATGGCCAAATTCCACCTTCCTTCCTTCCGTTCTCTTTCTCCCTTATTTTTATTTTCTTTATCCAAAACTTAAAACCGTTCAAATAACATAAAGGTAAGTATACCGAAAACTTCCGCCCATTTTGAGCGTAAAATGAAATGGGAGAATTTGACCAATTACATATTTACATTTAAAAATAAATAGAAAATACATAAATTATAATTTTTAAAAAATTGAAAAAAAATTTTGAAATAATTTAATGGAGGAATGGAAAATGGGATTATCCAAAATATAATTTAATAAAATTAACAAATTATTTTTTTAGAAAGCTTGGAATATTAAACTAGTTTTTTACTTAATAGTTTTATAATATCTAGAAGGAAGCTGATTAAAGTCTCTCATTCTCACGGGAATCCTGAATTTTTGGTTTATGATTTTTATTACAGTTGTTCAGTCTCACATCCTTTTATTGGTTTCTAAATACTATTCCTGTTCCATAACCTAATACAATTTTTTACTTCTCTAAATTAATAAAAATAATTCTAAATATTTTTCCTCGGGTGATTTTAATTATTTATTATTTTTTTCCAGTCAAATTCTTTCCTTATTTCGTAAAATTCAAAACAAAATCATAGTAAAATACACTTATGGCCAAAAAAAGATTTT